AAGAAACGTTTGAAGCAGGGGTCCCCAACCCCGAGGCCCTGGACCGGTACTGGTCTGTGGCCTCTTAGGAACCGAGGTGCACAGCAGCAGGCGAGCGGCGGTTGAGTGAGATTATCTCCTGAGCTCTGCCTCCTGTCAGGTCAGCGTTGGCACCAGATTCCCATAGGAGAGCAAACCCTACTGGGAACGGCGTGTTCGAGGGATCGAAGTTGTGCACTCCTAATGAGAATCTAATGCCTGATGATCTGAGGTGGAACAGTTTCATCCCAAAACCATTCCCCTACCCCCACCCATGGAAAAATTGTCTTCCACGAAACCCATCCCTGGTGCCAAAAATGTTGGGAACCGCTGCTTTGAAGAAGATCGAGTAGGGAAGGAGGGCTGAAGAAAGAGTCCAGTGCCAGCAAAACTTCAGACCTGATGTGTGCTGTGTGGAGACCCCCATCTGGGCTCAATGTTCATCTCTGAACATTGAAACGCTGCACACTCTGCAAATATTGTCCTTTGTGGCTGCAGCATGCAGTTGTCACCTACTGAATTCCACCATTCCGTGCACTACCGTAAATCCCAGAGAAGTGCACTTAAGGCCTTTGGTGGCAAAACTGTCTTCTGAACAACAAGGGGTCCTCCCAATCAGTGTGCACAGAGCCAAGAGACTGGAGGGAAATGCTTCAATTGACTTCAGTGCATTTAACTGATCTGTTTCCGCTGTGTTCTGTGTTGACGGGGTGCAGCCAGAATGCTGGGGCCAGAGCTCCTCTGACCTCCAGAAATTCGATCCTGCCTGAGGTGTGGGCTCTTTACATGCAGGCTGTTTCTGAACAAGTAGGATCTGGGAGCCACAGTGAGAAAGTGAGGGGGAAATTGACAAAATCAATCTCACAAGCTCATCCTGAGTCCCTTTCCTTTGCTTTTCTGAGAACTCGTGGTCGGCCCTCTTGCCTGGTGCATGTTCACTGCTGTTGGGCCTTTGCAGTTGAGCTGAGAGCCAAGCAGACAATGCATGAAGTCTGCAAAAGCTGCAGCGTCCCTACGTCCCCTGTGACCCCTGTGTCCCCTGCGACCCCTGCGTCCCGTGACCCCTGCATCCCCTGCTCCCTGGGTGCGTGGCTCTTCCCTTCCCTCCACTGTAAGCTAAACTCTCGCAGCGCTTACCACTCTCTATCTTCTGTGCAATCTCTACCGACCTGGAATGTTCTGGTTCTGTTGATTACCAGTCGGCCCAGGGCACTCATGACCAGCCGTTCCTCCCTCTCCACTTCCTCTTACTCGAGATGTATGAGTGACCGTCCCAAATCAGGCCGGTGCCAGGGTGGCATGAGACACTTAGTTTGAGAAGCGGAGACCAGCTCATGTTACGCAGCTGTGTCAAAGCCCATGAGCTGCCTGCCTCATGCTATCGTGTGTTTTTCTGTGTGTCTTTCCCGAGCATTTTCCTGTATTCAACCCAGAAGCCTGGGGATAATAACATTTTTCTCTCAATGCTTTGCTGAACCTGACCCTATCTCAGATGGAATCCCCCTTGAGTTACCGTCACGTCACCTCTATTTGCTAATACACCTTCATGAGAACCACCCACTAAGTCGGTGATAGAAATCTCTCCCCAGCAAGTCGCACACCCAAACCCACTGCTGCCAGCCCGTAGCTGCGCCAGGTGTGTCTGGTGGCTCAACTGCAGCCTCCTAGTAGAAAGCCCTTAAAACATCCAGACCACAAAGGAGGAGAGATCCAGCTTCCCTGAGGGGGACAAGCCGCAGGGACTATGGACTTGTCCTGAGGTCACTGCCTCTCTGTCTTTCAGGACTCACACCACGCAGCAAGAACTGCTCACTACGGCTCCCTGCCCCAGAAGTCACATGGCCGGACTCAAGATGAAAACCCCGTAGTCCACTTCTTCAAGAACATTGTAAGTGACGATCTGTGGGAAGAGGTAGCAACTGTGAGGGGAGGAGGGGTGCTGGCGGCTGCTGTCACGCACACAGGACGTTCGTATGTTTGGGGGTGGCACCGGGGCCCTCATCAGGGTAAGGCTGGCCGGGGAACTCACCCCTCGCACCTGATCGCGAGTTCCAAACAAGCACTTCCCACCACGGATTGCACGGCGCGCTCTGTGCGTTCTCCAGACAGCTCACTTCTCTTGAGATTAGACTCCCATGTAACACTTAGCCTAAAAACACAGGCCTTGCAGTCCATAGAGAGCTCTTGCCATGCGCTGGGAGAGGAGGGGGCAGCAGAGAGAGCACAGGGCACTTTTAGGGCAGTGAACCTGCTCTGTCCAAGCTGCAGTGGTGTCTGAAGAGCACGCACTTGTCCAAACCCGTAGAATGCACGGCACCGAGAGACCCTGATGCCGTGTTGCTAATAAGGGAAACTGTTCGGGGTATGTGGAAACTAATTTCTGCACAGTTTTTCTGTAAACCTAAAAGTGCTGTGCAAAACGAAGACTAATAAAAACAATAAAACCACAGGCCTCTAATTCCAAGATCTCAGTGCAGCATTTTATGGTCGTATTTGATAAGTGCGTTTAGGAGCTGCAGACCTGGGGGCATCCCCTTGGAAGCTCTGAATGTCAGAGGACCTGCTACTTCCAGCCCCTAATAGGACTCACAGTGAGGCAAAGTTCACCGCCTCCATCAATGAGGGCGGGTGAGCATCATCCCTGTGTCCCAGGATGGACCCATTCCCCAGCTACAGAGCCTCTGGGAGGCGTTTCCATTCTCTGAAGCACTTTCTGAGTGCCCTGGAGGATCTGCGTCATCTAGAATATTTCCAGTCTCAGGTCTATACTTCTTGACCAACTAGGAAAGAAATGGGGAGGCTGGGCGCCCGGGTGCTTCTGACGGTGGTGGGTGCTGGCCACCCTCGGCAGGCAGGTGCCCGGGTGCTTCTGACAGTGATGGGTGCTGGCCACCCTCGGCGGGCAGGCGCCCGGGTGCTTCTGATGGCTGATGGGTGCTGGCCACCCTCGGCGGGCAGGCGCCCGGGTGCTTCTGACGGTGGTGGGTGCTGGCCACCCTCGGTGGCCAGGCGCCCGGTAGGAAATGGGCGGCCGCACGGGGCTCCCAATGCAGCCCATGGTTCTCTGTGTCTTTCCAGGTGACGCCTCGCACTCCACCCCCATCGCAGGGAAAGGTAAGACCTTGGAATGTTTTGATTAGTCATCACTTTACTGATAGACCTTCTCTAAAATCCCGTAATGTACCAAAGAGAGAGCTAGGCTCAGAGCTACCTGAATTCATCCCAAAACGTGTTGCCTTGCGGCTGCCAAGTAGAACAGGTCGGCAGATCCATGCACCCTCCTGCCTCTCCCCCCGCTGCACACCTGCTGGAGCCCTGAGCCTGCGGCCCCCTTGGAGCTCCGGGTGGAACCTGTTTTTACCACCTCAGCTCTACCGCGCTTTCATTGTGTTTCCTGTTTATTGAAAGGCCTTTCCCTTCGCTGACCACCATGTCATTATTTCTTTGTCTTCCTCATGCAGGGGAGAGGACTGTCCCTGAGCAGATTTAGCTGGGTAGGTGATGAACGCACTTCCGTCGGCTTCCTCTTCCATCCCGGTCCCCATAGCCCCGCGACTTTTGTGTTCTGCTCTGTTTCGGTTGCTTCCTGGCCCCCTTTTCTCTCCTCTCAAGACCTCTCTGCCCACAGCTGGGATCGGGCCGCCTTCTCTTCCACTGGGGAAGTGAAACGTGGTCTTCCCTTCTGGCAAGTCCGGTCTCTTGCTCCTGTGCCTGGGACCTGGCCCTGCAAGGCCAGACCATCTTCTCCCAAAGGGTTCCCAGGAGACGTGACTGGTCTCCCTCCCATGGAGGGAGCAATACCTTGTCCGAGAACATGTTTAACTTCTTCCAACACAACCAATGCGAGAAACAAGTCCCAGGAACCCGCATGTGGAAGTGGGACTGGCTGGCCCATCTCAGTAACCCCAGATGCTGATGCTGGAAAAATGATTCTGCTAATGAACAGAAAAATAGGCTCTATAGAGTTGCTGGATTTATAACCTCATTAATCCAAAGATTTTTGTTTTGTATGTGTTTTAATAATAAAAAACATAGATATCAAGCCATCCAGAAAATCTTCCTTAGGCATTTTAGGCTTGTTAATGCTGAACGCAAATGTTCAAGGAAGGTTTAAAGTGGCCAATTTGAAATTTCTAGTGAACGAATTTGGTGTCTGAGCCAAATTAAAATGCCAATCATTATATTCTAACCAAACTTATAGACTTTAGTTAGTAGCAAATATCAGATATGATTCTTACTGTATAAAAGTTTTAATTTTAGAATAAAATGGAGGAATAGCCACTAACATATCATAGACAGGTTGTATCTGTCTCCAAACTGCAATGCCCTCATACTCTACAACAGAGCCTGTCTACACCTTCTGCTCAGTTAATAAGCATCATATAAATGAATGAATACATTTTAAAAGAAAGGCAACCAGGAAAAAGAACAGGAAGAAAGAACTGGAAAAGAAAACAGAAGGAAGGTGGGAAAGAGGGAGGAAGAGAGGGAGGAAGGGACGGGACACTAGAGAGAAAGGCAGAGAAAAGATTCCATGAGGATCGCACATCAGTCCCACACATGATTGAACTGAATTAGGAACTAGGATAGTTACTGAAACATTTCCTATGAATGCATATTTGACTTGCTTTTTCTGACCTAATGAATTTGCAAAACGATGACAGTCACGTAGCAAATGTACATGGACTAGTACTCACAGACAATTAATTTTTTATTTTCTGTGCCAGCAGGAGACAAAGAGGATAGAAGAAGGAAATTCACTTTTGACCCAGAAATCTTATTTTAGCTACTGCTTTATCTGCTCTTAATTTTCTAGGAGTGGACTTTGGGGCCATCGTGCAGGATCCCCCCGAATGGGGAGCGATGGGGGGCCGTGCACAGGCCACTCTGCCCAGCAGCTAACAAGAAAGACGCCTGCATTTTCCCGCATCTCTCCTTTTGGGGTCCTACTAATGTCTGTTGCATTTCTCTTTTTTCCAAAGCAAAACCCTCCTCTGCATGTTGTCTGCTTGTCTGTTTCCCAGAGCCGCAGGACTCTCTCCTTGTCTGGAGTTCCGGAGAGCCCCACTTTCTCTTTCTAAACTGTGTTGTGTGTTTCCCGGTACATTCTAGGTTGCCCAAAGATAAACATGACTGAGGATTTGAAAGGAGGAAAGGCCAAGCAGATTATTAATCTGAAAGTCAATCCCCGGATTTAGTTCTCGAAAACTCTATTTTTGGAGACAAGCAATAGACTAGGACAGAATGATGTAGCGCTTGCAGGGGAAGCGGCTCTCTGCCACGTGGAGCTGACAGCCTGGCCTCCCGCACCCTCTGCCATCAGGGAGTGAGCGCAAACCTGGAAACCTCTGGGACGCAAGGGCGAGGCTGGCTGTCCCCTCGTGCATGGTGCTTAGACCTTCTTGCCACACATCCCCTGTCCCTCACCTCACTGGATAGCCCCTGAATCAACTGTTCACACAAAAGCAGCTGCCTGGCTCTGAGTGGCCGTGCTCGCTCCCAAGCACAGGTTGAATGAAAAGAAAACTGTACAAGTAGCATGTAGGGTGGGAAGCGCCCAGCAGAGGCTGTGGGTGCAGCCAGGTGCTCTGGAAGCCTTGAGCCCTCTGGCGTCATCTTCCTCACCTCTAAATAAGAGATGGGCTAGGTTGCTCAAGGTCCTCCCTGTCCTAAAACACTTTAATGAAATGGAAAAAAGGCTGCAGGCTGATGGAGGGGAGACAGTTTGGTTTGGTCTCCACAAGTCTTCAGGAGAGGGCACCAGGAGAGTCTCCCATTTCTTGTTGGCAAAACATGAAGTGCAGTCTGGACCCTGTCCGTTAAGTAGAGATTCACGAGACCAACCAAGATGCCACCCTGAAAAGCTAACAGCGCGGTCGGCCTTCCCACAGACAGTGCACCCACCCACCGTGGGAGGACACTTCGCCCCCGGGTGTTAATGTCCACCGCGTTCAGACTCCACAGCGAGCTCCTTCCGTTCCTCCCCATGTTTGCAGTGGAGTTCCCACTTCCATAACGACAGCTGGCACCAAAGCCCAGAGTTGGCAGCCTCCACTGAGGAGCATGTTCTTGCACAACCCCATTGTGTAGATGAGGAAACTGAAGCTCAGAGAGGTTCCTGCCCTTGCCCAAGGCCACACAGCTGGAGGAGCCAGAAAGGTGCTGGGGGAATGGGAGGAGACGCTGTCCCGCTGCTGCCAGGACGCGGCTGCCCCCCGTGCCAGCCAGGCCTGCCTCCTCCCTCTGTCCAGTTCAGCAGCCCCGGGCTCCTGGCAAGGGCCTTGCTCCCAGTCCGAGCTATGGCCAAGGAGACTTGATTCCTGCTCACGCCTGGGAGAGAGCTCAGGATTTTGTCTCAAAACCTTATAAAAGATATGAGGCTCGACATTTCACTAAGGCCAAGGACTCTCGATTTCCCAGACAGATCCTAGAACCACAGAGCCCATGTGACCAGAATCCAATCTGTGCAAATCAATCAGCAAAAGGAGCCCCCAGGAAAGGGCGCGGGCCAGGGCCTCCAGGGACTGGTACCTACACACCGCACAGCCCCCCAGGGTCCAAGTCCTCCAAACACGTGTAGGCAGGAGCCTCCTTACCTTGATTTGCTTGATGTTTGCTAATCTTCTCTTGAACACCCCACAGCGTGAAGGTAAGCAACTGTTCCCTAAATGATTTAGATCCTTAAAATATGTGTGTTTGGGCCGCATTATCTCATGAGAGAGCCTCCGCCCAAACCAGAGCGCTCCTCTCTCTGCGGCCAACACCCCGGTAGATCTGGGGGAGCAGCCTCTCCCGCCCCCACCCCCTCAGCGCGGTGCTGGCCCGTGGCTCCTGAACCACTCACCAGTCCAGTCCGGGGCCTGGGCCCTTCCCCGGGGCCCTGGTGGCAGCTCCCAGTGGCTCGAGCAGCCTGCCTAGCACTGCGGGTGGAGGCTGAGCTCTGTGGTCTTTTCTTGCAGGGGGCCGAAGGGCAGAAACCAGGATTTGGCTACGGAGGCAGAGCGTCCGACTATAAATCGGCTCACAAGGGATTCAAGGGAGTCGATGCCCAGGGCACGCTTTCCAGAATTTTTAAGCTGGTAAGGTACCCTCTGCTCAGCTCCACTGAGCGGGGACTAAAGGGTCCCAGACTCCCCAACTGAGCTGAGCACAAGGGTGGCTGCCGCCTCTGACTCAGCCGCACTGTACCCTGGGTGTGCTCTGGCCCAGTGGGCGTGCAGAGGCTCAGGTGGCATTGCCCACTCGCATTTACGCGCGGGTTTCCTCCGAGATGCATGTGGGGCCGGAGGCACCTGAGGAAGGGCTGCGCCTGGGCTGGTTCAGGGGCCCTGGAGCAGGCAGCTGACCTTGACTCTGGGGCAGGGCCCAGCTGGAATCCAATTTGCCCATGCTCAGGGGTTGGAGCCCTCAGAGAGCAAGCAAGAACCAAGCAGACGTGGGTGTTGGGGGAGATCCCTGGAGCCACGGGAGGGGATGCCCAGGAGACCTCAGGGAGTGGGGAGTGGCCCGTTGGCTCATGAGGACCTGGAACCAGACCCAGGACAAATGCCAGGCCCGTTGTTTGTGAGCCGTGTCTCTGAGCCTCGGTTTTCTCATCTGTAAAATGGAGGTAACCCTTCCACTCAGCTCACAAACTCGCTGTGAAAGTAAAAGGTAGTGACAAACACAAAACGCGCTGGCAGGTGCGGGGCTCGGATTCCTTAGATAAACAGTCACCTTTATTATTGTTAAACGTCACCCAGAAAACCAGAGCTCTTAGACAGCTGCTCTCGTGAAGCAAAAGCGGAGGCACACGAAGCTCAGGCAGGGCCGGGAGAGAACCACAAAGCCAGACGGCCTGGGAGTCCCCCCGAGGCACCTGCGTTTGCATTTTCGTCTTGGAGGAGACCAGGCCTCTGGGGGGCCTCCCCGGGGTGCAGAGAGGAGCAGTCTTTCTTGGTGTGTAACATACTCATTGATTCAGTGACCTCACCTTTGACTCCATGTACTTATTGAGTCTGGATGTGCAGTGTGCTCTGCCCAGCCCGCTGGGATCCACATGGGCACAGACACGGTCCCCCCGCGTCCTCGGTGAGTGCAGAACCTCTGCCATGAGCCTCAATTCTGGAAAGTTCTGCGAGGTTCTGTGGACAACAGGCAATTCATGGCACAGCCCAAGATCTTAAGGATAGCCGGTCTTAGGAAAAGCTTTTAATATATGAAGTGAGCAGTGAGTAACTGAGCTGCTTACTTGCTTTATGTCAGCTAAAGTGGTAAGCAGGATTCACTCCTCAACGTAAATTCTGAGTAAGAAAATAAATTCTCCAAATATTCAAGTCTCAGGGCCATCATGCTGTACACTGCCGCAGTTCTGGGGTGTGGCCACAAGAGGGCAGAGATGAGGCTCCCCGGGGAGCAGTGTCTGAACCCAGCACTGCAGTCAGGACGGCCCCTCCCCACCTGGCCAGTACCACACCTGCCTCTGAATCGCCTGGGATGCACGCCCAGACCCCTGTCTGTCTGGGCTCTGCCACAGGCTCACTGAGTCAGAATGTCCAAGGGTGAATTAGGTGTTGCCAGTTGTGATGATTTTGCAGACACCGTGCTTACTTGGGAAACACAGATTCATCCCATCTGGATAACTAATTCCTCCACTGCCAGCTTAAGGACTGTTAGACACACTGAGAGAGTTGAGTGCTGGCTCAGAATTAATGGGATGGCCCAGATGAGTGAGGGGCCCCATTTAGCAAATATTTCCTTGCAATATATGCAAGGCTTACAACCAGTCACTCGAAATGCTTGCAAGGCCAGAGCTTACCAAGACCACCCTGAGGAACAGAAAGCTGCATTTAGATCTGCATGTTTACTGTGTGCAAATATAACCAATGTACTGTACGCATGTATTTTCTTAAATAAGTTCAGTATTTTCCCTGAATTTTTTTGTAAGCAGCTTTAAAAAATTATTTAATTTCCGTAGAGTTCAAGGGAAGCATCAATGTATCAAAGCAAATTGCAAATCATATGGTTGTAATTAAATTTTACTGCATAAAAAGTTCATAACTGGCCTACTATGGCCGTATGGTTGAATGAGTTGACTTGGAGCAGTTCCAATAGATTAATAAATCACAGCTCCCCCAGAAATGAGGGGTTTAGAGGCAGGCAGGTGGAGAGGACAGGAACTTCATAGCATTTAATGTCATTTTACCATCTTTCTGTTCTTTCTGGCGCTGTTGGAAATCAGTAGTGAGAGGAAAAGACTCAAATCTGGAAGTCTAGCATTGTCGGTAGGAACTGGGTAGAAAAAACTATGCAGGTCACCCCATCACTCGGAAACCACATCGGAACATCATAGGAGCCTCCTGTTTCCATGTGTATTAACTTCCGCGAACATACATGTGAACGTTTTCCCACCTGTAGTGTTGCTGTGGAGTTGTGAGGCGTCAAAGTGGAGGCAACAGTATCAAAAGTAGGTTCTGTTCTTTTCCTGTCCTGAGAGAGGAGGTCAGTCTAACCCTTACCTTGTGAGTTCAGTCTTATCCTGACCTGAGCCCAGGGCAGATCAGATGCTTAGATCATGCGACTCCAAGTTGCAAGACACATAATAGAGAGAAGCGTGACTGCTGCATCCATGCAGGCTCTAATCCTGGCTCGCTCGGGCTGGCTGAGCTTTGGCTCCTGGGCTGTAAAGAGAGGATGATAGGAACACCTACTCCAGGGGGTGCCGTGAGCACAAAAGAGAAAATGGGGAAAAATGGGTTTCCTTCATGGTCAGTGCTCAACATATTGTAGGTTCAATGATAAAAAGTGAAACCAACATGCCCACCGTTTTCAATGTCGAAAGTTAAAGAGGGTATCTCAGTGAGTCACCTTGCCAGAGGCTGTAGGGAACTTGCTCCCTTTTAGCACAGAAGCACTTTGCTTCATAGGACAATGGTTCTACCACTTTCCAGGAAGTCCAAAGGCTGATCTCTTGGAAATGCAGCAAAAGGTGAGGTGCGTGCTGACTTCTGGGCTACTCCAGAGGGCAGCTCCAATGCCAGGGATGTTCAAGTTAAGCCAGAATCAAACAGGAAAAACCCACGCTCCTGAGGGAGAGGCTGGCCCTCAAAGGGCAGGGCCCTGCACCTGTCCGCCCCCAGGCCGGCAGGCGGCCTCCGCCGTATGTGAGAAAGCCCCTGTCTTGGAAGGGAAATCTCACTAGATGGTTCCTAAGGCAGTTTCGCAGGCTAGAATTTCATAAACGTTTTCACTTGTGAAAACAAAAATCCCTTAAGTGAGTTGTTAACCACAACATAGAGGCTTGTTTATAATGCTAAGTATGTACTTGGAAAACCCCCCAAGAAATCAGAACTGTCACCTTGGTCTGTTAGTTGCATTCTTTGTAAGGATTCTTGGCGTCCGCACTCTGGTTATGCATTTACTGGGCAGTGTGGAAGACACAGAATTAGATGAGGACAGCGTTAGTTCATTGCTGATCAGCCACGGTGAAGAGCATATTTCTTTTCTGTCTTGCTTTCTGGGGACTCTTCACCAAAATTGATCATTTCATAAAAGGGGAAACCCAAGGAGAGAGACTAAAATTTGAATAAAAATTTCAATGCAGAAAAAGTGCAGTTCTGCTTTGTCAATCTAAATGACGTTCTGTGTGACCAACGCATGCCTCCTTCTAGAGGGATGCCCACGCCTGGCTACCTCCACACCGTGGGCCACGGCACACCTGTGCACCATTTCAGTTAGCTGCCAACTCTTTCTTAAGCATCGAAATTATCTGTCCCCCAAACATGTAAATGCATGACTTTAAGACCCCTTCAAAGTTTGCAGACAAAGCTCTCTGTGCATTTGATTTGTGTGGTGTGGCAGATGAGATGGCACACAGGAGGGACGTCCCCAGGGATGGACATGTGGCTTTGCTCTTTTCTGGTGTGTGCAGCAAGGGGTGTGCTAGGGTCCCTCCGAAAAAGAACTTGCTCCTGTTGTGGTTGGCAGTTCCCCCCAGCCGCTCTGGAATCTCTGGCTGAAGAGACGAAGTGCTCCTTCAAAGCAAAGCAATGAGCGGTTACACTTTCACCCACGGAAGAGCAGCGCTGTGACGCAGAAGGGTGGTGACGCAGGGCACCACTCCCTGGGCCCTGGGAATCAGATTCCAGAGACTCTTTCTCACAGAACTGAAAATTCAATTAGCATTTGCTGAGGGAGGTCGGGAGAAAAGGAAGGAAAAGACTAACTCTCCGTGGTGCCATTTCTGTTAGCAGATGAGAGAGACACCCAGGGGCTCAGCACCCACCTGGGACCACAGCAGACGGATGCTGGTGGGGGAGGACTCCGCGGCGCTCTCGTCCTAACTCCTCTTTCTTCCTTTTCAGGGAGGAAGAGATAGTCGCTCTGGATCACCCATGGCTAGACGCTGAAAACCCACCTGGTTCCGGAATCCTGTCCTCAGCTTCTTAATATAACTGCCTTAAAACTTTAATCCCATTTGCCCCCATTACCTAGTTAGAGCAGATGACCTCTCCCCTAATGCCTGTGGAGTTGTGCACGTCCTAGGGTCAGGCACACGGCAGCCTACCGGCAATTTCTGGCCAACAGTTAAGCAAATGAAAACAGAAAACAGTTCAAACTGTCACTTTCTGTGTGAAGGTCACATTCCTTACCCCACAGTGTGCCCCCAGACGCTCGTGGGTCTTCAGGGGGCCAGGTGCACAGACGTCCCTCCACATTCACCCCTCCACCCTTGGACTTTCTTTTCGCCGTGACGGTGACACCCTTGCACTTTTGCTGGGCACTGCGATGGAGGCACACAGCTGCAGAGACAGAGGACGTGGGCGGCAGAGAGGACTGTTGACATCCAAGCTTCCTTTGTTTTTTTTTCTATCCTTCTCTCACCTCCTAAAGTAGACTTCATTTTTCCTAACAGGATTAGACAGTCAAGGAGTGGCTTACTGCATGTGGGAGCTTTTGGTATGTGACATGCGGGCTGGGCAGCTGTTAGAGTCCAACGTGGGGCAGCACAGAGAGCGGGGCATGCCCCCAGGTCGTGGCTGCCCACACACCCCAATTAGCTGAATTCGCGTGTGGCAGAGGGAGGAAAAGGAGGCAAATGTGGGCTGGGCAATGGCCTCACACAGGAAACAGGGTCTTCCTGGAGATTTGGTGATGGAGATGTCAAGCAGGCGGCCTCTGGACGTCACTGTTGCCCTGCATGGTGGCCCCAGAGCAGCCTCTACGAACAACCTCGTTTCCAAACCAGAGCCCACAGCCAGAGAGTCCAGGAAGACTTACGCACTCAGAGCAGAAGGGTAGGAGTCCTCTGGACAGCCTCGCAGCCGCGCCAGTCACCCTTAGACACTGGCTGTGACCAGGCGTGCAGGCAGCGGCAGTGCACAGTGGCCAGCACTAACCCTCCCTGAGAAGATAACCGGCTCATCCACTTCCTCCCAGAAGACGCGTCGTAGCGAGTAGGCACAGGCGTGCACCTGCTCCTGAATTACTCACCGAGACACACGGGCTGAGCGGACGGCCCTGTGGAGACAGAGAAGAGCTCTTCTGACCACATCCTTCCTAACACCTGCTGACGTCTCCTTTTGCTCCTCCCTCCCTAACCTACTGACCCACCTTTTGATTTTAGCGCACCCGTGATAGGCCTTCCAAAGAGCCCCACGCTGGCATCACCCTCCCAGAGGACGAAGATGAGGAGTAGTCAGCGTGATGCCAAAACGCGTCTTCTTAATCCCACTCTAATTCTGAATGTTTCGTGTGGGCTTAATATCATGTCTATTAATATATAGCCTCGAAGATGAGAGGGTTACAAAGAACAAAACTCCAGACACAAACCCCCAAATTTTTCAGCAGAAGCACTCTGCGTCGCTGAGCTGAGGTCGGCTCTGCCATCCATACGTGGCCGCACCCAAACAGCACGTGCTGTGACGACGGCTGAACGGAAAGTGTACACTGTTCCTGAATATTGAAATAAAACAATAAACTTTTAATGGTATTTGCATGGGTGTCTTCTTTTGTGTTCTGGGCTGGAGCACACAGGCCCACATCAAGCGAGAGCCAGGTCTGCAGAGCTGCAGAGCTGACGTGACTCGGTGCCTCTGGGTCTCGAGGCAGGGGGCCTGGCGGTGCCTGTTGGAGGGGGTGTCCTCATCAGAGGGTCTATGGTTACTAAAGAAAGTGGAACAGAGGTAGTTGTAGGGCACTGATTCTCTCACCAGGAAAAATATACTTAGTGTCTCTGAAGACAAGCTTCCAAGTCTCTCTGTGTTCTGCCGTGTTGCTAGTGTACACACCCTGCAGGTGTGAACCGGGAGTCTTGGACGATTTCCCCTTGCCACCTTTTTCTCTGAAAGCATGAAAGAGCGTGAAGTGATGTTTTACTTATAGTTGCCTTTGGTTACAAGAATTTTTCTTCAAAAAGACGAAAGTCTCTTTCGTTTTTTCTCTTTCTTTTTTTTTTTTTTCTTTTTTTTTTGACCGGGTTTTTCTTTTTTACCCAGGTTGGAGTGCAGTGGTGCAGTCTTGGCTTACTGCAGCCTCAACCTCCCAGGCTCAAGCTATCCTCCTGCCAAAGCCTCCCATGTAGCTGGGACTACAGGTGTGCGCCACCACACCCAGCTAATTTTTGTACTTTTTGTAGAGACAGGATCTCGCCATGTTGCCCAGGCTAGTCTCTTCCTGACCTCAAGTGGATCTGCCCACCTCAGCCTCCCAAAGTGCTAGGATTACAGGCATGAGCCACAGCACCCAGCCTTTGTTTTGCCTTTAATGGAACCCCCAGTTCCCTTCTGTGTCTCAGCAGCAGCTGTGACAGATGTCCTGCATTTGTGACCTTTACGGAGGGAACTTCCATGCTGATTGAAGGTAGGATTACGTGCTCCTGTTTCCTGGGGGTCAGACAGCCTCAGACTCCAGCATAAAGCGCAAGTGTGAGAAGCTTGGGAATATGACTGCATTCATTGCAATAGCAGGAAAAACTGCCGAGGCTGGAGGCATGGCCGCCTGAGCTCGCCTGGCAGGCACGGCAGACAGAAAGCCCATGTCCACCGGTACACTTCTCTGCCCAGACCCCTTCCAACTGAGGAATTTGGAAAATCATGCAAAGATAATTACATTTTAAAAACTGTATTCTTTTCATTGGCAAGTCTATCTTAATGTAACATACATGGAAAATGCATTAAAAGACAAACCAAGGGTACATCGTAAGCTAGCTCTTACCATGACAGTACAATACTTGGTTGAGTATTTTAAAATAAAACACAGCAAGATAGGAACTGAGCCAGGGAGCTTGTGAGCTCACTGAACCCATCCCTGAAGCAGCCCGCCTACTTTCTCCTGAAGGTGACTGGAAATTAACTCACCAGGCTGAGAGCCAAGAGGAGGGGCTGCTGGAGCCCCAGCCTCATGGACGCAGACGCCCTTCCCCACCACCTGCGCAGGCTGTCAGGACCTCCCCCATGGCCTGCACAGGCTGCCAGGACCACGGTCAGTAGAGGCTAGAGGGGCCATGAGGGTCTGTGGAACTGAACATAGAAAGCCGTAGTGATCACGCTTCCATCTGCACAGCCACACCCTGCCATTCAGTGCTGGCCTGCCCATCTGTAGGGGCGGGGAGCGTGTATGAACTTAATAGAACGGTCTCTGAGCTTGGAGCGTGAAGTACCTGGCATGGAGGAAATGAAATCTCTACAGAAGGCTGACAATGAGTCAGTCAAGAAGTGAGCAGAGCAGGTGCTGGTTTAGCCCAGGAGACATACTCTGCCTGGGCCATGAACTATAAATTGGAATTGGGACTATGTGAGAAGAAAGAACCAGGGACTGATGGAGAAACTGTAAAACAGTGAGTGAAAAGTTCTCTCATAGCAATTTTACAGAAGAGAGTGAAGCCATCAGTTCATGTTGGGTGTTTGTTTGTTAGTCTGCTTAGGAAGCCACAAGAGAATGCTACAAACTGGGTGGCTTAAACAACAGACAGTTACTTTCTCAGTTCTAGAGGCTGCAAGTCCAAGATCAAGGTGTCAGTTTCTGGTGAGGCCTCTCTCCTTTGCTTGCAGACGGCCGCCTTCTTGCTGTATCCTCACATGGCAGAGAGAGTGGCCTCAGGTGTCTCTTTCTCATCTAAGGACAACAGTCTTACTGGATAAGAGCCCTGGTCTTATGACCTCATTTAACCTGAATTCCCTCCTTAATGCCCCTGTCTCCAAACACAGTTGCACTGGGAGAGCTTCAAAACACACATTTTTGGAGGACACAGTGCCATCTATAACAGAAATATATTTTCCCTCATGCAACAACAAATATTTTCTAAGCCACCATTTGGCAAGATGTTATAATTAAATCCAAGATTCTGCAGTACTCTTGCCTCTTTCCCAAAAAAAAGACAATATGAAGTGAAGCACGTTGGCTTATTTCTCTATTGTGATTCCTCTATTGTAACCAGTAGTCACTGAAATCCTTAATGATGCGATATGAAGGCAAAGTCGACCCAACAGCACAGGTGAGACTGTGTTAACCAGCCTACAGCTGTGTTAACCCTACAGCTCGCTCCAGCACAAGACGCCAGAGCAACTTCCTGTGACCGCACCTGCCGTAGAAGGAAAATGAATGGTCTGATTTTTTTAGAAACAGCCTAATTTCAACCGGCACTCTCATGCACCTTCTAGGAAACTCCAACCTCATCTCAGTGAGGCAGGCCAAGGCTGCTCCTCCTACAGCCCCTTACCTCAACTTCCCACCACCAGAAAATGGCTCGTTCATCCAGCTCCAGAATCTTACAAGCTCCTGAAGTCAAGACTCCGGGGCATCCACAAAACAGTGACTCCTTCCACTACCTCCAGCACCAGCCAGGGCCACTCCACCTCTCAGCCAAGTTCCTGCTTCTGATTTAAAGTTCATGTGAAAACTAGAGATGACCCTGAGTCGGAATCTACCTTCCAATGTGGTGGCCAGGCTATTAGCTCACCAGTCAGCGGCCTGCCTGCCTGCCTTATGACAGGTTGTGGCAAAAGCCCTTAAGATCATGCCCCTGCCACACAGGTTGGGCAGCTTTCAGGTCTCCTGGGAGACAGTTTCCTCTGTACCGTGGCAAGCAAACTTCAGAGCTATAAGCAATACCAGACTATGGCAAGTGTGGTGTGCTAGGAAGACACCATCACTCAGACATGGGCGGCGCGTGAGTGGAGTCTATAGAGGCCTGCACACGGAGAGTTCTCAGTTCTTGCCTTACAGCTTTTCTGTAAGCTTGAAACTGCTTAAAAAAAAAAAAAAAGAAGGCTGAGCACGGTGGCTCACGCCTGTAATCCCAGCACTTTTGGAGGCTGAAGTGGACAGATTACCTGAGGTCGGGAGTTCAAGATCAGCCTGGCTAACATGGTGAAACCCCGTCTCTAAAAATTAGCCGGTACAATGATGCGTACCTGTAATCCCAGCTATTCGGGAGGCTGAGGCAGGAGAATCACTTGAACCTGGGAGGCGGAGTTTGCAGGGAGCTGAGATGATGCCATTGCACTCCAGCCTGGGCAACAGAGCAAGACTCTGTCTCAAAGAGAAAAAAAATAAAAACAGAAAAGAAAGGACAAAGACTTAGCATTACTAGAGAAAGACTTAGCGTTACTAAAGTTGAGAAAGATTTAGCATTACTAAAGTTGAGAAACATGATTGAAAGGTAACTAGAAAACGTACATGGTGAAGAGTATCTTGAGCCAGGGGCAGTGGCTCCCACGCATACTTTCAGCTGCTCAGGAGGCCAAGGCGGGGAGATCACTTGAAGCCACGACATTGAGACCAGCCTGGCTAACATAGCAAGACCCTGTCTCTAACAAAATAATGAAAATTAGCGGGTGTGGGGTGTGCACCGGTAGTCCCAGCTACTCGGCTACTCGGCAGGCTGAGGTGGGAGGATCACTGAAGTCAGGAGGTCGGGGCTGCAGTGAGCCATGATCTGCACTCCCGCCTGGGTGACAAAGTGAGACCCTGCCTCAAAAATAAAAGGAGCATCTCAAGGCAGATGGCCAGCTGTTGTCCATCTCTACCCAGAACTACTAAAAAATTGGCTGAGATAACATTAAGTGAGCCATCTCATGTTAAATACAGAATTTCTTTCTTATAGAGCTTGGTTACCAAGGTAACCAATGACCTCTTTGTTCTAATTTCTAAAATAGTAACGTAAAACTCTCTTCATTGGCCCACAATAGTAACACTGGGGAAGCATCCGTTCATTGGTAGAAGGGGCGTGTGAGGTGTCTCCGTGGGTATGCACTGTCATCTGTCATTTTTTCTGTAGGGCCTTAAGGGATTGAATGGTTTAAAGGTGCCAGGTCACAAGAGAAGGTCCTCAATGATAGGGGCAGCACTGTGGGTGGTGTGGCATAATCAGTAACATTTATTTTAACAACTTCCATGCATATCCTAAGCTGAGCTAGGGCTGGCCACAGAGTCATCCCAGGTTCTCCCCACTTTCCTTTCAGGACAGCCTGCCAGCCTCCTGGCTGCTGGCAGAAGACGTGGGCTCCTGGGTGACAAAGGGGATTTTACTCACAGTAACGGTGGTAGCAAGAAGGTCAGCATTTGTCTGAACATCCGAGGCCCCAGCCCTGAAGCGCGATGCAAAGTGGGCCAGTGGACGCCTGCACGCACGCCTGCCTCGCAGCGCGGGGAGCACACAGCACACTTGCAGGTCCAAGCCTCTGCCTGTGCTTAAGGGACAGCACTCTATTCGCTATCACAGGGAGTCCAGCCTCCGGGTAAAATTCACCTGGAAAAGCACTGCCAATAGTTGAGACAATCCATCAGAGTGGGAACACACTTTTTATAATTTCATAGTTTTGTTAAAAAACAACCAAAAAAAGCTCTTCCCTCACCCACTCTATTTCAAAAACTGTCAGAGCAATATGCCTCCTACAAACACACAAACAAGCAAAAGGAACAGTAAAGCCATTTCTTACCATCCCATCTTAGCCACATTCAGGAAGTCAACATCACTTTAATTTTTTCAGTCCAAAAATATCTGGAGTCCCTACTCAGTGCCAGGAATAAGGTGATCCAAGAAAACATATAGTGTAATGTGTTGTTTCAACAGGATGATGACTCTCAATTACAAACTTCTCTAACAGTTTGGAAATGTAAGGCATAGTAAACTAGATGAATGTGTCTTTACAAAGAGCCCGATGATACACAGTAACTCCATGGGTGCTTCTGGGAAGTCCAGAATCTGGTATCTCTCATAAACAGACACTGATATTATGATGGATGTGCACTGCATTTCAAGTCACTCTTTAATACCTTTCAAACAAGAGAGAAAGCAGAGAGCAGGAGCCTGGGACATCCTCCAGGATTTAAATGCCCTGGACTTGAATATGTTGCCAATTCAGCATTGCTCTATTGTGTTAAGCCATGGCAAACGGGACCTAGAGGAAGTGTCCACCTTTCAACAGTGATAACTCACGCAAAACTCAAAGAAGTAAATATACAGGAGTTTCAAAATAATACAAAAGCTATTTTTATTATTTTTAAAGCCAGCACAGTGGCTTTTGGCATCACTATCCATTTCTAATACAAAACTGGATTAAATAAATATCATCCAATGTATAAATAGACCATGAAACAATTGTGAAGATAAAAAGAGAATTCTTCTGTAAATAAAAAAATTAACTTTAAAATTTTCTTTAGTGGTGAATCAAGAACGAATCCCTATGTCACTTTAGAATTTGTCAATGATGATACAAATCTTAATTGAATACAAAAGTCTTCATGCCGTAAAAAGTGTTACACGTAAAAGATTAAATAGAAAAATCTCTTCTGACTGCCTATTGCTCCTGCCATTCATGCCGATCTTCAGTTTTTAGTACCTGAGTTGTTAGCCATCCATAGAAAGAACTGCCACGATGCCTCTGTGTAGGGAGGGTGAGTGTGTGTTCATCCGTGCATGGGAGTCTGAGGAGGGGAATCCGTTCGGAGAGGGCCAGCCGCCAAACAGGACGTGTCGCTGGCGAGCCACACCGTGACAAAGAACATGTCTCTGCTAGGAATGTGTGGGCATCCGACCCATGGAGAGCTCTGTGGTTCCCACTTTCTCCACAATGAAGATGCCAGCTCAGTGGCCTTTGGCATATGGTCTTTCATTAGCATACGGAAAAGACGTGGAGGCCCCAGGTAGAAATACGACATTAAATTGGGTTATGGGTACAGGCCTTTTGAAATTGTCTTCTAAAAAATCCAAAGTGCCTAAGTTACGTGAACACAGATTAGGTGACACAAAGAGAACTCTTCCGTCAGAAGTATCCATTGCATAATCTCATCTCTGCCTCACTTACTTCCTATGCAGTAGGTCTTGGAAAAGGGATAAATTCGCAATGATCAACGCTTGGATTAACTTTTTTTTAGTGAGGGAAGGGCACGGTATTAATTTTGAAATAAGCTTCAGAAAAAAATGTAACAAGTAGGAATGAGATAGCCTTAATATACACTAAAGGGAGTTCTAGATATCTATTTCCTGAAAAAATCTTATGTACATAAATCTTGAAATTGATTTACATGCCAAACTATTTTATCTTGAATATTTCCAAACATAAATCTGTGTGGTCATTTCATGTTAAAATGTGTATCTTAACGAGTTACAAATATTCTTCTAAAATGAGGAAAACCCACAGCAAGAACAGAAATCCACTTCTACTTTTAAAAATCTTGTACCTGTGCTAACACATGCGTCTCTTGTAATAAATGTGATATAAGAGTTCAAAGGAAGACACAGAACACTAGCTATAATTTCAAAATTCAAGTTTCCTTAAAACATTACAATGGGGGAGTAGAAAATATGCACGAAGGAAACATCCCCTAGTTAAGTGCCGGACAAGCACAGAGGTTTCATGTCCCACCAGCAGAACATTGTCAGGGAGAGGAGAGCAGCGTTTGATGAGCCTCCCACTGGCCTGGCTGCAAGCTGGCAGATGTCGGGTCGTAGGATTTCTTCTATTTAGATACTTTCTAAGTGCCTCAAGTTTTTTAAAGGGGCAAAAGCAGAGCTTGATGGGGTGGGGTAGCATTTGAATCTGCATGTTTGAAAACATTTCCTCATTTTCATCTATTGCCATTCTGTGGAAACGCAGCCGCTCAGGCATTATCTAGCAGGTGGGACTCCACACATGCTACGTGCCTCCTGCTTCCTCGGTACCTGCACCCCAGCTTCACGCTCAGTATCTTTGCACGGGCAGTTCATTCTTTCAGCTCCAGTGCTCCATGGTTACTCGAGCACACAAGCGGGATCAAAACACTTAGGAACTTTCAAAAGGCTCCTCAGTGACTGGGTGCTGTTGAATACAGCAGCAGATGAAAGGGAACAGGAACAGTTCTAGCACATGCACGGGGCACTGTGCTGACGCCCACGACTCGCTGTCGCGGAGCCATGCCCTGATTTTTAAAGTCTGAAGCCTTTCCAGTGGACACTGCAGGGGTAGACGCCTCTGAACTTCACAGAGGTAAAGGAAAATACCACTAAAGTTTTCTCTTAAAAATCTGAACTTGAAATTAATTTACATGCCAAACTATTTAATCTTATTTTCAAACAAAAAAAATTAATCACATTTCCTAACTTCATCTTTTATTTATAATTATTCCAAAGCAGATATGCTATGATGAGATAGTTCTAAAAATACAGTCTTTATCCTCAAAACCCTGGTTATACATGAGGCTAGAAATCTCTTTTCTAGAATTTTTAAAACAACAAGTAAAATATAAAGATCAACCTGTACCCCACAAAGATTCAAGTAAAATGATGTCTTTTCAAAACCTTATATTTTCAAGGAATGTTCTGCAAAAAAGCAGCTTTTTATAATTAGGAAGTAAATCAAAATAATACATAAAATGTCTTGTGTTTGACTGCTAATAAATTGAGAAAAGACACAAAATTGAATTATTGATATTTTCTTTTTCTTTAACCAAAATAAAAGTAGGCTCTAGATTCACCTGTTAAGGCCTTAAACAGTCAATTAACCAATATAATTCACCAAACTAGCTTTCTATACAACTAGGAATTAAACAACCCCTTTTAGAGATGTCCTGAGATGACATTTAATGCTAAAATCAAAATAAATAACCGAGCAAGAACAAAAGTTTAAAATTCCAATAATTTCAACTTTGGGGATATTCGTTCACCAAAATTAATCAACATTTCTAAAATATTTCAATACAAAATTATAAAATAAAAAGTGCATTAAAAGCAGAACCTTTAAAACTCTAGCACAATTACAATTATTCTAAATATGCGTCAGGTTTACACACTGACATTCAAGGAAGGAAACCTCGGGATTGGTAAGAAGTCCAGTATCACAAGAATAAGTCAAATAAGGCTTTTCTTTTTCTTAAAAAAATATACAATACACAAAGCAGTTTGGAAAAGAAGTAATATTATTTAACAATTTTCTGACTTAAATATTTTCACATAACAAAAGTTTTCATATCACCATCAATATTACTTATATACATATGCCGAAAATGAACAACAACAACAAAATCAAAAGATGCCCTTTCAAAATAACAGTAAAATGTCTATTTCTTTAGGAATCTGAAATGAGCTCCTCTCTTAATATACAAAGTCCATACAATATTTATAATAAAACTACTCTCTTCTGAAACCAAGGAGGCAATGAGAGAAAATAAAGGCAATTATTTTTCAGGAAAAAAATAAAACCCAGCTTTATATTACAATGAAAAAGATATCCATTTATTAATAAAATGAATACAATACTGATCTGAAGTGCTTGTGGGGAGGTGAAACTCAGACGCTCTTTCTGCAATTAGGACTAGTACTTATATTTACAAAATATACTGTTCAGCCACACAGAGGCCCATATATCTGTCTATGTACATATGTATTTATATATAGAACATATAAATAATTTCAAAGGGAAAATTAACATGAAGTAAAGAACCTTCCATCTTTGGAATGCTGTAGGAATGGCGTGCACGCACTCTGCCCGGCACGGGTGGGATTTGGTTTGGGACATGTGTAATGTGGCACCATTGACGATACTAAAGAATTCCCTGAAATCAAAAACACATCTGTTTACGCACGAAGAGAAAGTCCTGGGGTTTTTACGGATTCTCGGCCTCAAGCTACAGATACACTTCTTATTTGCCGGGGTAGACAGGGCCACGGTTGCTTGCTCCTGGCAGACGGTTCTGTGGTTTCCTACCTGCGATGTATGGCTTGTGCTTCTGCAATTATCTAACCCTGGACCTGAACACAGACTGATGCGGTAAGTGTGTCACCAGCCCGTGTGGACAGCTGAATCCCTATTGGTGAGTCAGGTCTACTTGAGTCCCCGTGTTGGCGACCCCCAGACACTGCATTCTTGTAACTAATGATTAAACATTTGTCATGGAGAGAGAATTGGTCCAGCCATCTCTCAAGGTATCAGTCATATTACCTTATGGTAGACTAAAAAGAGTCCATTTTGACTAATTTTCAAAATGCACAGAGAAAAGAGTGGAAAAAACTTCCCTGTGTGTTGTAACATTTTTTTTCTGAACTTCATGCCCCAATCTTAAACTTGCTTTCAAGCTATGCTTCTTATAACCGGAAGCATGAAGGAAAATCTGACGTACTTTTTCCATGTTAGCTTTTTCGTCTTTGCTAATACAAAGAAATCACACTACAATGATAGTAAGACCCAGTTAATTGCTTTGTGAACTAGACGCACTAGCCACGGAGGAGACCAAGGAGGAAACTGCCTGCCGTAGTACCTGAGTTCGGTGATTTGTAGACAGAAGAGAACAACGCGGTGACACTTTTCCCAGTTTTTTTCCTATGAGTCTCTGAAAGACAATGATTCTTTAGATAACTTTATAGCTAAAAAACTATTGTGGTAACATTTTTAACACTTGAAGCTTTAAAACAGAGATTTCAAGTGCTTTGCTATTCACAAAATGTAACTTCAGAAACATTCTTAAAGGTGTACTTCCGACTCGCATCAGAAGACGTGGGTGAGGGTCTGCCACTCGCCCGCGGCCTCCTGCACCACCTCCTCCAGGTGGAGGGTCCGGCTCAGCTCCTCCCCGTCCTGCTCTGGGTGACCTGCGGACTCCTGCAGAGCTCCTGTCATGCAAAGAAAACACAAGCAGCCTCAGACCTTCCAGAGCACAAAATGATAGCCATTTACTAAAGACTTCCTGGTAAAAAGAGACAAGGAATTTCTAAAGTAATTTGCTATTCATTCCAATGAAAAAAGAATAATCTGAGCTGCAGGTTAAACAACTCTGTCGGCAGTAGTTACTGTTAGTGAGTCTGAACACACACAGAGCACTCGTGATGAATGCATTCCCGATGAGTGCACTCCCATGACAGCTACGTTAACATAGCATCAGGAATGAGCAATTAATAACCAACACACATGATTTTGTAATAAAAAGGAAAGCAGGAAGCACTACAGTGTTAAAGAGAAAAATTATCCCTTTTTCCTTCATAAAAAATTCCCCACAATATAGTGTTCTGCCCTTGGGTTCCCTACACATCTAAATGTCAACCACTGAACACTGCAAGCCGTTGAGCTCCCCTCACAAAGGACACCTCAAACAACCAAGAAACACCTGCAAGCCTCACGGAGCACACCACCACCTCCCACAACAAATAACAAATCTCACAGAGCACACCACCTCCAACACCAAATCATATAACTCAGAGCACACCACCTCCAACACCAAATCACAAATCTCACAGATCACACCACCTCCAACACAAAATCATATAACTCAGAGCACACCACCTCCAACAACAAATAACAAATCTCACAGAGCACACCACCTCCAACACCAAATCATGTAACTCAGAGCACACCACCTCCAACAACAAATAACAAATCTCACAGATCACACCACCTCCAACAACAAATAACAAATCTCACAGAGCACACCACCACTTCCAACCAAATCACAAACCTCACAGATCACAGCACCTCCAACAAATCACAAATCTCACAGATCACACCACCTCCAACACCAAATCACATAACTCAGAGCACACCTCCAACACTAAATCACAAATCTCATAGAGCACACCACCAACAAATCACAAATCTCACAGATCACACCACCTCCAACAACCAAACCACAAATCTCACAGATCACATCACCTTCAACAACCAAATAACACATCTCATAAATCACATCACCTCCAACAACCAAACCACAGATCTCATGGAGCACACCACCTCCAACAACCAAATCACAAATCTCACAGATCACACCACCACTTCCAACAACCAAATAACAAATTTCACTAATCACAGCACCTCCAATAACCAAATAACACATCTCACGAATCACACCACCTCCAACAACCAAACCACAGATCTCACAGAGCACACCACCTCCAACAACCAAATCACAAATCTCACGAATCACATCACCTCCAACCCACCTCCAATAACAAATAACAAATCTCACAGATCACACCACCTCCAACACCAAATCATATAACTCAGAGCACACCACCTCCAATAACAAATAACAAATCTCACAAAGCACACCACCACTTCCAACCAAATCACAAACCTCTCACAGATCACAGCACCTCCAACAAATCACAACTCTACAGATCACACCCACCTCTCCAACACCAAATCACATAACCTGAGCACACCTCCAATACTAAATCACAATCCTGCAGAGCACACCACCAACAAATCACAAATCTCACAGATCACACCACCTCCAACAACCAAACCACAAATCTCACAGATCACATCACCTTCAATAACCAAATAATACATCTCATAAATCACATCACCTCCAACAACCAAACCACAGATCTCATGGAGCACACCACCACCTCCAACAACCAAATCACAAATCTCACAGATCACACCACCACTTAACCAAATAACAAATTTCACTAATCACAGCAATTCCAATAACCAAATAACACATCTCACTTAATCACACCACTCCAACAACCAAACCACAGATCTCACAGAGCACACCACCTCCAATGAACCAAACTGCCAAATCTCACGAATCACATCACCTCCAACAACCAAACCACAGATCTCACAGAGCACACCGCCTCCAACAACCAAATCACAAATCTCACGAATCACATCACCTCCAACAACCAAACCACAGATCTCACGGAGCACACCACCTCCAACAACCAAATCACACCCGCAAAATGCATAGAGCACCCCAAGGGGTCTACTCAGACTTTAACATTTCTAGTTCCTTGCACAGCTACTGCCACCCTCTGAAACCTAGTCTAGGTCATTTGTTGTCATTCCTTCCTCAGAGATGGATGATACTGCTAGATTCTGTGTAGGAAACAAAGATGAACAAGAGACAGACAGGCAGCAGGATCACACCCCAATATCCACACCCTGAAGGGCATGAACGTTAGCAAATCAAGAGAGAAATCAAGGCCCACATGTTGTCGTGCCAGGTCAACAGGATGCAGACAGGAGCAGTTGGTGCAGATTCTGTTTGCTCTGTGCCCCTGAGCACCAAGATAGCACCTGAACCGCATGCTGCAGGAAAAGGGGCTTCCAGACACGCTGTGAAGACAGACAGAGATGCTATTCTGGGCCTCTGACTGCCCAGGTGCTGACAGCCCCTACAGAAAGCTCTGTCCAGAGAAAAACCAGCTGCTCAGAAATGCTGTGCTTGCTCAGGTTCTGGGCTGCCATTTCGCTCCAATAAATTTCTGCGTCCTTGCCAAAATATATCATAAATTTAATCTAATCAAATTTGTGTGTGTGTGTGTGTGAAAGGGGCAGTCCACAGCCAGCTTCAACAACTGCATACACTAAGTATTAAAGTAACAAAAGCACAGGCTTCCAGAGATCATGGTGGATGGGAGGCAGGACTAGACTCAGGGACAGAGCAGCATGTGGAGGCTCGCACTGTGAATTTTTGCCCCAGAACAACTAGAGGAATAAATCAGGAAACCTGAGAGAACCCATAGACTCTCTGAAGGAAGTGGATTGCTCCTGCAGGACCCAGGAGACACCCCAAATACTCAGCCACAGCAAGACCCGCCCAAGGAGAGTCTGAGCTCAGACACGCATAGCCCAGCCCCCACCCAATGGTCCTTCTCTACCCACTCTGGTAGCGGAAGACAAAGGGCAGATATTCTTGGGAGGTCTAGGGCCCCGCCCACTGCCTGTTCCTCCCTATACTACCATAGCTGATGCGCTCTGGAAAGCACCACCTCCCGGCAGGAGGCCAACCAGCGCAAAAATAGAGCATTAAACCACCAAAGCTAAGAACCCTCACAGAGTCCATCTCAGCCCCCTGCCACCTCCACCGGAACAGGCGCCAGTATCCACAGCTGAGAGACCACGGATGGTTCACATCACAGGACTCTGTGCAGACAGCTCCAGTACCAGCCCGGAGCCGGGTGGACTTGCTGGGCGGCTAGACCAAGAAGAAAGGTAACAATCACTACAGCTCTGTTCTCAGGGAGCCACAGCCACAGGAAAAGGTGGACAGTACCACATCAAGAGAACACCCCGTAGGACCAAAGAATCTGAACAACAGCCTTCAGCCCTAGACCTTCCCTCTGACAGAGCCTACTCAAATGAAAAGGAACCAGAAAACCAACTCTGGTAATATGACAAAACAAGGCTCTTTAACACCCCCCAAAAATCACACTAGCTCACCAGCAATGGATCCAAACCAAGAAGAAATCCCCAATTTACCTGAAAAACAATTCAGGAAGTTAGTTATTAAGCTAATCAGGAAGGCACCAGAGAAAGGTGTAGCCAAAAGTAAGGAAATAAAAAAACGATACAAGAGGTGAAGGGAGAAATATTCAATGAAATTGATAGCCTAAATAAAAAAACAAGGAAAACTTCAGGAAACAACAGACATAGAAATGCAAAATGCTCTGAAAAGTCTCAGCAATAGAACAGAGCAAGTAGAAGAAAGAAATTCAGAGCTCGAAGACAAGGTCTTCAAATTAACCTAATCCAACAAAGACAAAGGAAAAAGAAGAAGAAAATATGAACAAAGCCTCCAAGAAGTCTGGGGATTATGTTAAACGACCAAACCTAAGAATAATCGGCATTCCTGAGGAAGAAGAGAAATGTAAAAGTTTGGAAAACATATTTGGGGGAATAATAGAGGAAAACTTCCCCGGCCTTGCTAGACCTAGACATCCAAATACAAGAAGCACAAACAACACCTGGGAAATTCATTGTAAAAAGATCAGTGCTTAGCCACATTGTCATCAGAAACAGCAGCTAAAAAAGCAGAGGGACGTTATATAATGATCAAAGGCCTTGTCCAACAGGAAAATACCACAATCCTAAACATACATGTCCCTAACACAGGCACTCCCAAATTTATAAAACAATTACTAATAGATCTAAGAAATGAGATAGACAGCAACACAATAATAGTGGGACACTTCAATACTCCACTGACAGCACTAGATAGTTCATCAAGACAAAAAGTCAAAAAAGAAACAATGGATTTAAACTATACCTTGGAACAAATGGACTTAACAGATATATATATGTAACATTCCATACAACAATTGCAGAATACACATTGTATTCAACAGCACATGGAACTTTCTCCAAGACAGACCATATGATAGGCCACAAAATGAGCCTCAATAAATTTAAGAAAATGGAAATTATATCAAGCACTCTCTCAGACCACGGTGGAATAAAACTGGAAATAAATTCCAAAAGGAACCTTCGAAACCATGTAAATACATGAAAATTCAATAACCTGCTCCTGAATGATCACTGGGTGAAAAATAAAATCAAGATAGAAATTAAAAAATTATTCGAACTGAATGACAATAGTGACACAACCTATCGTAACCTCTGGGATACAGCAAAGGCAGTGCTAGGAGGAAAGTTCATCGCCCTAAATGTCTACATCAAGCCTGAAAGAGCACACACAGACAATCTAAGGTCATACCTCAAGGAACTAGAGAAATAAGAATAAACCAAAACCAAACCCAGCAGAAGAAAGGAAATAACCAAGATCAGAGCAGAATTAAATGAAATTGAAACAAACAAAAGATAAAATGAAACAAAAAGCTGGTTCTGTGAAAAGATAAATAAAACTGATAGACCATTAGCAAGATTAAGAAGAGAGGAAATCCAAATAAGCTCAGTAAGAAGCAAAACAGGAGATATCACAACTGACACCACAGAATATAAAAGATCACTGAGGCCGGGCGCAGTGGCTCACGCCTGTAAACCCAGCACTTTGGGAGGCCAAGGCAGGCGGATCAAGAGGTCAGGAGATGGAGTCCATCCTGACTAACACGATGAAACCCCGTCTCTACTAAAAATACAAAAAATTAGCTAGGCGCAGTGGCAGGTGCCTGTAGTCCCAGCTGCTCGGGAGGCTGAGGCAGGAGAATGGCGTGAACCCGGGAGGCGGAGCTTGCAGTGAGCTGAGATCGCGCCACTGCACTCCTGCCTGGATGACAGAACGAGACTCCGCCTCAAAAAAAAAAAAAAAAAAAAAAAAGAAGAAGATCACTCAAGGCTACTATGAACACCTTTACACACATAAACTAGAAAACCTAGAAGAGATGGACACATTTCTGGAAAGATACAACCCTCCTAGCTTAAATCAGGAAGAACTAGATACCCTTATCAGACCACTAACAAGCAGCAAGATTGAAATGGTAATTTAAAAATTACCAACCAAAAAAAGTCCATGACCAGATGAATTCACAGCAGAATTCTACCAGGCATTCAAAGGAGAATTGGTACCAATTCCACAAGACACAGGAAAAGAGAACTCTCCCTAAATCATTCTCTGGAGCCAGTATCACCCAAATACCGAAACCAAGAAAGGACATAACCAAAAAGGAAAACTACAGACCATTATCCCTGATGAACACAGATGCTAAAATCCTTAACAAAATACTAGCTAACCAAATCCAACACATATCAAAAAGATTCTCCACCACATGATCAAGTGGGTTTCATACCAGGGATGCAGGAATGGTTAAATATACACAAGTCGATAAATGTGATACACCACATAAACAGAATTAAAAACAAAAATCAGATGATCATTTCTACAGATGCAGAAAAAGCATTAGACAAAATCCAGCATCACTTTATGATTAAAACTCCCAGGAAAACCAGCATACAAAGGACATACCTCAATAATAAAAGCCATCTATGACAAGCCCACAGCCAACATAATACTGAAAGATGAAAAGTTAAAAGCATTCCCTCGGAGAACTGAAACAAGACAAGGATGCACACTCTCACCACTCCTCTTCAACATAGCAGTGGAAGTCCTAGCCAGAGCAATCAGAAAAGAGAAGGAAATCAAGGGCATCCAAATTAGTAAAGAGGAAGTCAAACTATCGCTGTTTGCTGATGATATGATTGTTTACCTAGACAACCCAAAAGACTCTTCCAGAAAGCTCCCAGAACTGGTAAAAGAATTCAGCAAAGTTTCCAGATAAAAAATTAATGTACAGAAATCAGTACCTCTTCTATACACCAACAGCAACTAAGCTGAGAAATCAAGAACTCAACCCCTTTTACAATAGCTGGAAAAAACAAAACAAAACAAAAACAAACCAACCAAAAAAAACCTTAGGAATACACCTAATCAAGGATGTAAAAGACCTCCACAAGGAAAACTACAAAACACTGCTGAAAGAAATCACAGATGACACAAACAAATGGAAACACATCCCATGATCATGGTTGGGTAAATCAATATTGTGAAAATGGCCATACTGCCAAAAGCAATCTACAAATTCAACACAATTCCCATCAAAATACCAACATCATCTTCACAGAATTAGAAAAAAACAATTCTAAAATTGATATGGCATTAAAAAAGAGCTCACATAGCCAAAGTAAGACTAAGCAAAAAGAACAAATCTGGAGGCATCACATTACCTGATTTCAAACTATACTATAAGGTCATAGTTACCAAAATAGCATGGTACTGGTATAAAAATAGGCACACAGACCAATGGAACTGAATAGAGAACCCAGAAATAAACCCAAATACTTACAGCCAACGGATCCTCAACAAGGCAAACAAAAACATAAAATGGGGAAAGGACACCCTTCTCAACAAACGGTGCTGGGATAATTGGCGAGCCACATGCAGGAGAATGAAAGTGGATCCTCATCTCTCACTTTATACAAAAATCAACTCAAGATGGATAAAAAAACAGTCTAAGACCTGAAACTATAAAAATTCTAGAAGATAACATTGGAAAAACCCTTCTAGACATTGGCTTAGGCAAGGACCAAGAACACAAAAGTGAATGCAATAAAAACAAGGATAAATAGCTGGGACTTCATTACACTAAAGAGCTTTTGCATGGCAAAAGGAACAGTCAGCAGAGTAAACAGACAACCCACAGAGTGGGAGAAAATCTTCACAATCTATACATCTGACAAAGGACTAATATCCAGAATCTACAACAAATTCAAACTAATCAGTAAGAAAAAAAAAATAATCCCATCAAAAAGTGGGCTAAGGATATGAATAATCCTCAAAAGAAGATATACAAATGGCCAGCAAACATATGAAAAAACACTCAACATCACTAATAATCAGGCAAATGCATATCAAAACCACAATGTGATACCACTTTACTCCTGCAAGAATGGCCATAATCAAAAAAAAAAAAAAAAAAAAAATAGTACATGCTAGCATGGATGTGGTGAACAGGGAACACTTCTACACTGCTGGTGGGAATGTAAACTAACACAGCCACTGTGGAAAAGTGTAGAGATTCCTTAAAGAACTAAAAATAGAACTACCATTTGACCCAGCAATCCCACTACTGGGTATCTACCCAGAGGAAAATAAGTCATTGTATGAAAAAGACACTAGCACACGCATGTTTATAGCAGCACAATTCGCAACTGCAAAAACAGGGAACCAACCCAAATGCCCACAAATCAACAAGTGGATAAAGAAACTGTGGTATATATACACAATGGAATACTACTCAGCCAAAAAAAAGGAATTAATTAATGGCATTTGCAACAACCTGGATGAGACTGGAGGCCATTATTCTAAGCAAAGTAACACAGGAATGGAAAACCAAACATCTTACGTTCTCACTCGTAAGTGGGAGATAAGCTATGAGGATACAAAGGCATGAGAGTGACACAATGAACTTTGGGGACTCATAGGGAAAGCATGGGAAGGGATTGAGGGATGAAAGACCTATAAATAGGGTGCAATGTATACTGCTTGGGTGATGGGTGCACCAAAATCTCACAAATCATCACTAAAGAGCTTACCCATGTAACCAAACACTACCTGTTCCCCCAAGAACCTATGGAAATAAAAAAAATAAAGTACAGGTTTCCAGCCCACACAACTGAGGCTGTACCACATGCAACGCACAATCACCAAGTGAACTGAAGGAAACAATGTACGCGAAACACAGGGTGCCTCGCGGGCCACCGAAGCGTACGCACTCCCAGGTGCAGTGTTCTCACCAGCATAGCTGTGCGCCCGCTTCATGTGCAGCTTCATGTTGCTCTTCTGCGTGAAGCCCATTACGCAGTAGGCACACTTGTAGGGCCGCTCCCCCGTGTGCTTCTTCATGTGCACCTGCAGTGCGCTCTTCTGGTTAAAGGCTTTCTCACAAAGCGTGCAATGGAACGGCCGCTCCCCTGTACAGAAAATGGCACATGTCAATGTCTCTAAGAAGAGGGTAGTGGACGCCTGGGCTCTACCCTGAGGTATGAACAAGAGGGACTGAATGTTCCTCTTTTCTCTTAGGCTTTCAGCCTGGCTGTCGTCTGAACAAAGGGCTGGAGGAGCCATGGGGAGACCAGAGGGAGCCTGGCCAGGTCCTAACGACCCCCAGCAGATGGGGCGGAAGGATCAGAGAGCCATGGAAGGGCCACGGTGGACGCAGCCTGTGGAACCCCAGGCCCACGGTGAGTCATCAGATGATCACGACAAAAATGAGCATGGGATGATGTCTTGTCAGGGCAGGGCGGAGACAGAAGGGCTGACACAGAGCTATCATGTACCAGTCAAGAGGCAGAGAGATGGGAGAGCTTGTTTCTTTGTACTGTGTGGTTTTTGTTCTCTAAGACAAAAGGTTTGAGCAGATTTAGGTGGTGTAGGAAAAGCCAGTAGAGAAAAAAAGTTTTAAGATAGAAGAGGAAGATTAAAAATTAAGTTCCCCAGTGACATGAGGACATGGGACCCAGGCACTGGGGGCCGCCGGTTTGCTCTAGCAGGAGGGAAGGAGGGACGTGATGTGGTCAACATCCCAGACACGGCACAGGAGCCTTGCGTGATGCTTCTGTTTCCTACGGTCATAATGTAAGCAGCAAAATCTTCCATGTGAAAAGTTAGTTAAGATGATAAATAGGTCAAAACTCAGGGGAAATAGAACATGTAGACCTTGCTTTATAAATAAAGCATTCCATCGCTCGTGAATATTGTACAGGTGGAATTCTGTTTTCTCGCCCATAGTGTCTACTTCAAAGAGTAAGGAAACAAAAGCGCATCCCTCCCCGTTACCTGTGTGGATGCGGCTGTGGCGCTCCAGCTGGCTTGGTTTGGCAAACGCCTTCTCACAAGTGTCACATTTAAACACTCTTGGCTTCTGGGAGCTCAAAGAGGGGCCGGCCTGGTGTGTCTGCATGTGCTCCTGGGAGACCACACACAGAAACCAAGAAATGAGATCAAAACGGAGCTTTCGCAACCAGAAACAAGAGGAAGTAAATGACTGCAAAGTTCAAGTCAGTAACAAGGACGAAATCAAAGGCTAATCTGTGATTTGTGTTCTTAAGGACTTTATCCATTGGTAGTGACAACAGGGTGATGGGCTTGGGGCTTCTCGGGGAGACTCCGGTCCCCATCTGAGCTTTACCGCCTGCTAGTTATGTGGCTTGGCCACATCTGTGTCCCAAATCGGGGTAGAAATATCTCCTTCATCAGCTTTAACTGAGACCAAGGGCGTCAAGCCACGAGCCTAGTGCAGGAGTCCAGGTGAGCTCTCTCCGTTGACTGTGGGGGATCCTGTCCCCGTTTCACACAAGAGTCCACCCAAACGTCACGGCCCGAGGCCACCCATAGGTTGTGGCCCGAGGTCCTGCGGCACCCAGCTGGATGTGTTCAGTGACTCTCACCCACGAGTCCTCGCAGAACGCCTGTGATTCCGAAGTGCATTCTCCTGGTGATATGACAACTGCCTCACGGTGGCTCTGGAGGCTTCTAAAGCCAAGAGGAAACTGTTCCCTTCTCACGTTGTGACTGGCAACTTGCCAGAGATACTACATTCATGTGACCGCAAATTTCTCAAAGATCTGATAGCTGCTGCCCTTGCAGGCACCTGAGGATGTGCAACGTGGTTATTTTCCAAAATTGCACAAGCATAATAATTATCCTGATAGAATCCCAGTCTTTAGACCTAACCTCTACCCTGTAAGGCAGGAGTCATGGAAAAGTACATGCTTCCTGTGTGTGTTCAATGTGACTGCCTGTGTTCCAGTTGCAGACGTCGCATTGCTCAAGGCCCAGCACAGCCTGGGAGGTGGATGTAATGAAAGCCGCAGGGTGGGAAAAACAAACTCGGGAAGTGAGTGCGGGAGCCTCCCCAGGACAGCAGACCAGGCAGAGCCAGGACTGCAGGTGAGGCCTGACCAGTGACGACACCACCCCTGATGACACCAATCACCATCAACAGCTAGAGGGCATTCCTCGCCCACTCCGTCTGGGGTTCCCACCCAGTCTGCATTGGATGTAACTACAGTCAGTCACACTGAGCACTAAGCTTCCTGAGGATGGAGCCACCTGTTTCTGGGACCACCTTCTTTGCATACAGCAGTTTAGCACTGTTTGCTAAACTGAAAGGAGGACAGAGAGAGTCCATGGGGGAACAGAGTGTCTGGTGGGACGGAAAGGAAAGCTTTTATAACCTTGGCTTCTGTTTCTCTGACCCCAGAGAGAGAAACTTCCTGCGGTGGTAACAGTACCTGCGGCTGCCACTCTATGCTGCTGACTTTAAAAGAAATACTGAGGAGCTGTACTCCTCAAAGGGAGGAGTTAGGCTTACCCTGCGGCACAGGTTACTGTAAACCTAGTTCTCCCTAGAAAGTGCTCTCTGAGACAATGGTAAATGTTCCTCAAGAAAGAATTTCATCATAAAATAAGTTTGCAGTCACTGGAGTTAATATCATTCTTACTGCAACACACCTGTCGGCCTGGCCCTGCTACAAGGGAGGTGTGAAGTTTTAAGAAGGGGAGGTGTTGTGCCCTGAAGTTGGTGGGGACTCAGCAGAGCCGCCAGCATGGCCATCAGCTCACCGCACCACAGGATGCTAATGCAGTCTTGGGGCAGGGAGATTCACCAGAAGGTTTCAAAAGAAAGAGTCCTGTTGATAGTTTATTTTGCTGTACAGAAGCTCTTAAGTTTAACTGGATCCCATTTACCAACTTTGGCTTGTGTTGCAATTGCTTTTGGCATCTTTGTCATGATATCTTTGCCTGTTCCTCTCTCCGGAATGGTATTGTCTAGGTTATCTTCCAGGGTTTTTAGAGTTGTGGGTTTCACATTTCAGTCTTCAATCCATCTTGAAACAGAAAACCAAGTATCACATGTTCTCACTGATAAGTGGGAGCTAAATGGTGAGAACACATGGATCCACAGAGAGGAGCAACTCACACACACTGGGGCCTCCTTGAGGGAGGAGGGAGAGGAGCAGGAAAAAGTATTGGCTACTTAGCTTAGTACCAGGGTGATGAAATAATCTGTACAACAATCCCCTGTGACCTGAGTATATAACAAACCTGCACATGCACCTCTGAACCTAAAGTGAAAGTAAAAAAAATTAAAAATAAAAAAGAACCCAAGCAGCCAAGCAACAGGCTTCCTTCAGGCACAGAGAGGGAGGAGTGAGGGACTCGGGGCTCACCAGCCCCTGGAGGGACCGGGGAGAGGAGCCACAGCAAGTGCCACAGGTGGGGCCCTGGGCTTCCCAGCCCGGACAGGACAGGGCCATCACCACTGACACCACTGGCCTACAACACACCCAACGCCCGTGTGCCCTACTCCACACTCCAAAACAGCCATCCTGGTCACAGGGATCCAAGGATTCCAGTTCCTGGGACAGGAATTTCTCCTTGAGTAGGACTCTCCCTTCTTCTTATCCTACACTCATTAAAAGACAACAGACACACGAAGGCCACAAACAATCCCCGCCCCCCAACATACACAGGAACCCCAAGGGTCCAGCCGTCTTAGCACAGCTTTCCTTCCCGGCCGGCGTGGCATGCCTCTGCCCTCCGCATGGCCTGGCCAAGACTGGTCAGAAATTTCGCAGGCTATCCCTCACTTGGAATTTGTCTGCTTTTCTCATGTCGTGAGGTTTTTGGGAGAAGTGTCATTTTCATCCCACTCTGCCAAGGACAGATGCAGTCTTGATGTGTGGGTACTGACGCTGGCCACGACCTCTGGGCTGGAGTGGTGCTGGCTAGGCATCTGTGCTGCACGCTCCTCTGTGTTCCACCCCTTCCACACCCCATTCCCTTCACATGGAAGACGTAGCGCCCTGGGCTGGACATCAGAGCACCCTGCTGGAATTCTGCCTCCTGCCCACTGTAGCACAGCACCGTCTGTGGGGATGTCCCAGAACTCATCCTCTGCTTCCCACATGCAGGCACTCAGGTCTCCACTGTGCAATGATGGCTCTGCTGCAGTGGAAAGCATGCGCAGCTAAACCTTGGGAGGCTGAAGGGGCATCTTCGGGGCTGGTCCCCAGGGTGGGCACACATACATTTGTTAGGGCTGCCCAATGCCCCTACAGAAAGTTCTACCAAGTCACAGTCTCAACAGCCATTATGTGAGCCAACCTCTGTTTCCTGACAGCCTCGACAATGGGTGCTGACAGACGTTTACATTTCTGCCAGTCTGACAAGGGAGAGAGGGCATTTCAATGTTATTCTAATTTGTGTTGCAAACTGATTGTGAGTTGCAGGTGAACATGCAATCCATCTGTGCAGCAAGCAGACCTCTTACAACCAGCACAACAATAAGTCTACATCTATTGCGCTTTTCCTCAAAAACACATGCCGGATTCCCGGCCGGTGTTAAATCTTGGACTCTGCATCTCTAGCCACCTGGGGGGCACACAGCTGTGCTGTGGCACGGTGGGCCTACCTTGAGGTGCGTGGCGCGCTTGAAGGCCTTCCTGCACACGGGGCAGCCGTGGATGCGCTCCCGGCCGTGCACCTCCTTGCTGTGGTGCATCAGCACTGCCGCCGACGAGAAGGCGCGGTCACACTCCAGGCACTGGTGTGCCCGGCCCTCCTTCTCGGGCTGGTTGCCCGGGGCCAGGTTCCCAGAGACGCCAGCTACCTGGAAAGAGTCAGAAATTCTGTGACTTTCCACTCACTTGGCTGGATTTGTGCAAGTTTGTGAACTGACAGACACCATGGTGATAACAGGGACATTCCTAGCATGGACGCGCCAAGCCCACGCTGCATGTCCTATCATCAGGATAATTTAGTCAGAGGCACCTTCCACACAATATGAGACCAGAATGCACACTGTGTCCTGCAAGATTGAGACCACACAACAGCAGCTAAGGAATGAGCTCTGTGCCGCACAGACCAGGTGCAAAGTTCAGCTCCAACGTGACTGTCTGGGCTACTCTGGGCTAAGTACTTAACCAGTCTGTGCTTGCGTCTTCATGGGAGAACCACCTGCCTACCAAAGGCTGCATATGGCAGGCATTCACTAAATGCTCACTACTGGTAGTAGCTTTAGATAAACAATTCTTAACAACAAAAGGTGTTTTTAGCTTTTAATGGAATTAAACCATTTTTTCCAAACCGTGGATCACAACCAATTAGATTTTCAAATCATCTTAATGGGATGCCACCACCACTTGAAAAAATCATTTTCAAAAATTTTGAAAAAAATTTTTTGAGATGGGGTCTTGCTCTCTTGCCTAGGCTGGAGTTCAGCGGCACAATCACAGCTCACGATAGCCTCAAACTCCTGGGCTCAAGCAATCTTCCCACCTCAACCCTCCCAAATACCTGGGACCACAGGTACGTACCACCTCACCATCATGCCCAGCTAATTTTTTTATTTTTTGTAGAGACAGGGTCTCCTTATGTTGCCCAGGTTGGTCTTAAAACTCCTGAACTCAAGGGATCCTCCTGCCTCTGTCTCCCAAGTGCTGGGATTACAGGTATGAGGCACTGCACCTGGCTGACTCAGCTTTTATAAAGAAGAGATTCCAGTTTTGCAAATGTAAATTTCTATGTGATGGCTTAACAAAACAATTATAATACAAATTAATGAGATCTGTCCACATTTTTATTATTCCTAGTTTATCAAATACTTTTTCATTAATTCTGGAATATAATAAGTAAACATTAAAGAAAAATACTTAAACAACAAAAAAAGATTTATACAGGGTGCTATATTATTAATCTGTGCTGTAATTTGAAAAAATGGAATGGGAAAAAAGGAACAAAGGAAAAGATCAGAAAAGACATTGCAGCCATGTGAGATGTGCAGGAACTGGTGTTATTCTAGAATATGACACCTGCGTCAGGTGTGTGTCTACACGTATCTGTAGGTGTTATTCTATAACATGATACCTGTGTCAGGTGTGTGTGTCTACACGTGAGTATCTGCAGGTGTTATTCTACAATATAACACCTGTGTCGGGTGTGTGTCTACAGGTGAATATCTGTGAGCATAAAGAAAAACGACAGAAACACACGTGTGTTGAGGTCACTGCATATAATATATTCCATGTGAGTCAAAAAAGTCTGAAAAGCACAGGAATAAATGATACTAAAGGCTGGTTGTGTAACCACAGATAAATGCATGCTGACGAACATCAACTCAAACAAAAACCTGTAGTTATGGAGCGGCCTAATGTCCTCCATCAGTGTTACAAAGCATCTACCAGGAGTCGTGGCAATGAACAAAACACACACAGAAAATTGTTTCTGAACCAAACATTTTACTCATGAGATGTGAGAATTCAATATCCGGTCCACATCATTCAAGGAAAGACAAACGAACACACTAAACTTTAAAAACTATTTCTGCAAAATATTTTTCAGCATAATCGCATCAGAAACAAAGCTTCTGAATCATTGCTACTACTGTGAAACAAATCTCCAATGTTCCGCTGGATTCCATAACTACATATATATAAAAATCTACAGACTGAATTATATTAATAGAATTTTGCTAAAATCATACTTGCCCAAAGGAGAAGGGGAAATTGGTTACAGAATGAGCGTGAGATGATTTTTAAGCCTGAGGCATAAACTTGGCCACAGCTAGAAATAATGTGCTTCCCACAGCAGGTTATTCTGCGTGGGGGTGGGAGGGTAGAAGTGTATATGTCTACCCCCTCCCAAGCATGAGGAGTGTGGCTGTTGGGAAGCAGAAGAGGAAGGAAGGCAGCCTCTCACATCCACCTCCTAATGCGCCCGGAAAGGCCTGGTGCGGATCCAACATCCTCTGCGTCCAGCGGCCAGCACTGGCAGGAACTTAATTTTATTTGCTGAACTGAAACAAGGTCAATATTTCAGAGAAATGCTGCCCACAACACACACCTGGGCACATGATCACCCTTCTGACCCCAAACCTCCCTCTAAAAACCTGCCCCTTACTAAAAAGTTCCCAGCTGAGACCAGCTGATCTCAAGTAACAGGAAATCCAGGTGTAAATGCTCAAAATGATATTCTTCTATTCAGACATGAAGAGTGAGGTAAGACAGATCTAGGTTCAAACGCCAGCTCTGTCTCTATTGGCAGGGTGACTAAGTTATTCAAAGCTACCCTTAAATCTCAGAATCCTTGTGAGTAAAACGGGGCCGTGACACTTCAGACACCTCCCAGGCTGTGGGAAGGGCTTGGCTACATAAGACCACATGCCTAGTGGGAGCCTGGCCTTAGTCACCTGGCCAGCAAGTGTCAGCTCTTTTCTCCTGTAAAACCAGTTCAAAAGAAGGCCATGGCCCCTTAAGCAGTGAGTGAAGGAAGAAAGGCAGTTTGCTGCAGCAGCTCCCCTCTGATTTAATAGCTTGAAGTTGCTAACAAAGTTAGGTCAGGTCTCTTGATCTTTATGGGAAGGGTCAGGCAGAAATTAGTTCATTCGCTTTTGTAAAGACAGGCTGAGTAACGGGGCAGTCTGTCAATGGCTCTCTTAGGATAAAAGACATTTGTACATTGTGAGTACACATCTTGTCAGATCAGTATGGATTTCTCTTCAGATGAACTACGAAGAAAAAGATTTTTAAAAAGCAAAGGTTGTTGCTCTAGGGACTTCACCAGAGAGTGATGTGAGTCCCAGGCCGTAGTAGCTGTTCCAGCACCACCAGCAGTGTCCTCACCTGAGCACTTGCTTTGGGCCAGGACCTGTGCTCCATGTCAGGGAACATTACATGCCCAAATTCTGACCACTATGAGGCAGTCCTAACTACACCTCTGTTTGGGGGTTTGGGTTTTTGTTTGTGTTTGTTTTAAAACACGAACTTGCTCTGTCACCCAGGCTGGAGTACAGTGGTGATCACAGCTCACTGCAGTCTTGAACTCCTGGGCTCAAGCAGTCCTCATGCCTCAGCCTCCCAAAGTGCTGGGATTGCAGGTGTGAGCTACTGTGCCTGGCCACCTCTGTCTTAAAAACAGGCCATCACACAGATGTAGGATTGCCTGAGGGCTCCTGGCCAGAATGCACGGGAGCAGGGATGTACACACATCACCAGAGGCTGCAGCCAGCACCCCCAGCCACTCCGTAGTGGGTTCGGATAAACCCAGGGTGCTTAAAGTGGTCCCAGCTTCCTCCCAGAAGCACAGGCCAGAGGCAGACCCAGGCATGTGTCTGAAGTCCCTGGTCAGAGCCCAGGTCAGAGCCTGGAAGCATCAATGTGCATTCCATCTGTGTCAAGAGAGCATTAGGATGAAATTAGACCATGATTAAAACCAATTAATGTTGCCAAACAGTGCTACAAGCTAACAAGGGAAACTTACAGAAAACATCTAAGAGAATTTCTCTTGCTAATTATAGGCATACCTTGTTTTCACTGAACTTCGCTTTGTTTGCCCTCCATAGATATCCTGTCATTTTCACAAACTGAAAGTTTGTGGCGATGCTGCTTCGAGCAAGTCTACTGGTGCCATTTTTCCAATGGCACATGCTCACTTCGTGTCTCTGTGTCATATTTTGGTAATTCTCGCAATATTTCAAAGTCTTTCATTACAGCGTATCCGTTACGGTGATCTGTGATTAGTGATCTTTGATGTTACTGTTGTAATTCTGTTGAGGCACCACAAACCCTGCCCATATAAAATGGCAAACTTAACCTATAAACGTTTGTGTCTGACTACTTCACCAACTGGCCACCCCACTTCTCCTTGGGGCTCCCTATTCTCTGAGACACAACAACACTGAAATGAGGCCAATTAATGACCCCACAACGGCCTGTAAGTGTTCAAGTGAAAGGAAGAATCACACATCGCTCACTTCAAAAGCTAGAAATGATTCAGCTTAATGAGGAAGGCATATAGAGAGCTGAGAGAGGCTGAAAGCTCAGCCTCTTGTGTCAAACTATTAGCCAACTTGTGAAATGAAGGAAAGGTTCTTGAAGAAAATTAAAAGTGTTATCCAGTGAGCCCATGAATGATAAGAAAGTGGAACTACACTATTGCTGATAAGCAGAAAGTTTTAACGGCCTAGACAGATCAAAACAGCCACAACCTTCGCTTAAGCCAAAGCCTAATCCAGAGCAAGACTCTAACTCTCTTCCACGTTATGAAGGCCAAGAGGTGAGGAAGCTACAGAAGAAAAGTTGGAAACTAGCAGAGGTCGGTCCATGAGAACTAAGGAAAGAAGCCACCTCCATAACACAGCAGTGCAAGGTGAAGCAGCAAGTGCTGATGGAGAAGCTGCAGCAAGTTCTCCAGAACATCTAGCCAAGAGCATCGATGAAGGTCACTCCATTAAACAACAGATTTTCAGAGTAGACAGAACAGCTTTATAGTGGAAGAAGATGCCTCTAGGACTTTCATAGCTACAGAAAAGTCAGTGTCTGGCTTCAAAGGACAGGCTGACTCTTTTATGAGGGGCTAGTGCAGCTAGTGACTTGAAGTTGAAGCCAATGCTCATTTACCATTCCAAAAATCCTTAGGGCCCTTAAGAATGATGCTAAATCCATTCTTTCTGTGCTCTACACATGAAACAATAAAGCCTGAATGACAGCACATCTGTTTACAGCATGATTTACTGAATATCTTAAGCCCACTGCTGAGACCTACTGGTCAGAAAAAAATGATTCCTTTCCAAATATTCCTGCTGTGGTCACCCAATGCACCTGGTCACCCAAGAGCTGTGATGGAGATGTACAGAGGGACGAATGTTGCTTTCATGCCTGCTAACATGACATCCACTCTGCAGCCCATGGATCAAGGAGTAATTTCCACTTTCAAGTCTTACTAAGAAATACATCTCATAAGGCTGTAGCTGACACAGATAGTGATTCCTCTGATGGATCTGGGCAGAGTAAAGTGAAAACCTGTGGAAAGGATTCACCACTCTAGATGCCATTAAGAACATTTGTGATTCATGGGAGGAGGTCAAAATATCAACATTAGCAGGAGTTTGGAAGAAGCTGATTCCAGCCCTCATGGATGACTTTGAGAGGTTCAAGACCTCAGCGGAAGAAGTAACTACAGATGTGGAGGAATGGGCAAGAGAATTAGAAGTGGAGCCTGAAGATGACTGAATTGCTGCAATCTCATGGTATATATAACTCAGCAGATAAGGATCTCATGGTATTTACAACTGTGCAGATAAGGAGTTGCTTCTTATGGATGAGCAAATAAAGCAGTTACTTGAGATGGAGTCTACTCCTGGTGATGATGCTGTGAACATTGCTGAAATTACAACAAAAGATTTAAAAGATTACAGAAACTTGGTAAAGCAGCAGTGGGCTTTGAGAGATGGACTCCAATTCTGAAAGAGGTTCTGCTTTGGGTAAAATGCTATCAAACATCATTGCATGCTATGGGGAAATCTTTCATGAAAGGAAGAATTGATGCAGCAAACTTCACTGTTGTCTTATTTTAAGAAATTGCCGGCCGGGCGCGGTGGCTCAAGCCTGTAATCCCAGCACTTTGGGAGGCCGAGACGGGCGGATCACGAGGTCAGGAGATCGAGACCATCCTGGCTAACACGGTGAAACCCTGTCTCTACTAAAAAATACAAAAAACTAGCCGGGCGAGGTGGCGGGCGCCTGTAGTCCCAGCTACTCGGGAGTCTGAGGCAGGAGAATGGCATAAACTCAGGAGGCGGAGCTTGCAGTGAGCTGAGATCCGGCCACTGCACTCCAGCCTGGGAGACATAGCGAGACTCTGTCTCAAAAAAAAAAAAAAAAAAAAAAAGAAATTGCCACAGCCACCCCAAACTTCAACAACCACCATCTTGATCAGTCAGCAGCCATCAACATCAAGACAAGACCCTCCACCAGCAAAAAGATTACAACTTGCTGAAGGCTCAGGTGATTGTCAGCATTTTTAGCAATAAGATATTTTTAAATTAAGGTATGTACATTTTAAAAAAATATTAATGCTGGTCAGGTACAGTGGCTCACGCCTGTAATCCCAGCACTGTGGGAGGCCAAGGTGAGCGATCACTTGAGCTCAGGAGTTTGAGACCAGCCTGGCAACATGGCAAAACCCCATCTCTATTAAAAATACAAAAATTAGCCAGGTGTGGTGGTGCACGCCTGTGATTCCAGCTATCTGGGAGGCTAAGGCAGGAGAATCACTTGAACCCAGGAGGCGGAGGTTGCAGTGAGCTGAGATTGCACCACTGTACCCTAGCCCGGGCAACAGAGCGAGACTCTGTCTCCAAAAAAAAAAAAAAAAAGGGAAAAAAAAAAAGAAATAATACTGCTGAACACTATTATTACAGTATAGTATAAACATCATATGCCCTGGGAAACCAGAAAACTAAATCATAATGTTAATGTATAACTTGCTTTGTTGTGATAACTGCTTTATTGCAGTGGTCTAGAACTGAACGCACGTTATCTCTGAGGTATGCCTGTATTCACTGATACAGATTAGTTATCCACCTCATTTTTATATTTAATTAATCTGTCAAATTTTGAAAAAAATTACACGCTAGACCAAGTATTAATATTTGGTTTCTCTCATTACCATCTACTACTCAAATGGAAGTTAAAATGGAATATATCACTTCAATTGGGACATTTCAAACTAATCTTAACATAGGATTACTCTAAAAAAAATTATTCTTCTAGCTATATTAAACCAAATGCTAAAATCATAATGTTAAAAAATAGCAAAGTAGTTTCATTTACTAGTCACACAAAATACAGGAATTAGGTAAGGTGTGCCTTGGAACTGATTTACGAACTCTCTGAAACATACCAGACTAATAAGGTTTCACTACAAAAGCACCATGAGAAAGAGAGCTTAAAAATATGACCAAGCCGCCAATGCGTTTTCTGTCTCAATGGATGTGTGTGGTCAACAGTTACCTCACCAGGCCTGAGGTGCTCAAACCCTGCACACTCCCCAGTGCCCTTGATCAGCTCCCAAGCATCACCGATAAGCCCCTGGAACATCCTGCTATTAGTAGGTAAGAGTGTATTTCATACCCAGGACCTTGGGCAATGCCACATAGTTTGTGCTGATGATGTGACTTATGGTGAAGGCCTATTTTTGTTTCATCTGGGGACCTGGGCCTCTGCATCAGTTTGATCTGGAGGGGCTGGGGCTTAGAGACCGCATAGCTAAGCCCAGCCACGTGGGCACTCCATGGCCACATGTCTGACCCTAATACAGTTCTGGATACCAGAGCTTAGCTGAGCTTCCCAAGTTGGAGACAGTTGGCAGGCGCTGTCACACAACGTTCCTGGGAGAATCAGCAGTGTCTGTGTGACCTCACTGGAGCGGACACCGGGAAGCTTGTGCCTGGGTTCTCTGAACTCCACCCCACATGCCTTTTCCTTCTGCTGGTTCTCATCTGCACCTTTCCATTGTAACCACAAGTATAAACCACAACCACCAACAGATCAGATTTCTCTGAATCCGGTGAGACCTTGTAGTGAATCGTCAAACCTGAGGGCAGTCTTGGGGACCCCAGACACAAATGTGTTAAGTTATACAAACTGAAATTCAGTGAGACGAGCTCTGGTTACTCAGGTCAAACTCCAGGACATCCCCAGTGCTGGTTATATCTCATCTCTTTGTGAAAAAGCCCTTGTCCTACTGAAAAACAGGTAAGTCATTATTTTGAAAACTCATTTGCTAAAAATGTTTAATGCTTCCTAAATTCAGAGATTATTCATCATCTGTGCTTTAATTCTGACCCTGGAAACTTTTAAGCAAAGAGTTTTTAGACTCTTCTATATTTAGACTATTGCTTACTAAATATTCTGTCTCCCAAAAACATGTATTTTAAGAAAAAAGACTAGCCAAATGACAAATAGATCTTGCATATAGATGCACACACACGTATATGAAAATGTATATGACACTTAACAGAACCAGCAAAATTGTTACTAGGAAATCTGCAGAAAGAACTAAGTGCAAGTGGCTGGATATGCAAAGTCTGATCAGTAGGCAAATATAATATTAATAAGTTTAAAATTAGATTTACATATCACTGGTGGCTACATCTAATTTCATGGTACTAAAACCTCACTCCCTAAGAAACAAATCACAAGATGACTGAGATGTCGTACCTGTCATTCAACACACACCCCCGCAGAGCCTATGTCCACTCAGGATTCAGCTGGGGACACCTCAGAAGTCAGCCCCAGCCACCCAGGCCACACAGCACCCCCATGACCCTCTACCACCATCCCTTCTGAATCTGTATGTTTTTAAAAGCGATGAAAGCTCTGTGGATGAAGGAATATCCTGTACCTGGTAGGCTATTTCTTCACAAGCAGCAGACGCTGACTGTGGCGTGTGGCTCACTAGTATGACTTGCGGCGAGCCTGCTCCACCCTGGCCCGAGAGAGAGGGATCCGTGAGGAGTGCTGGGAACTGCTGACCCTGGCAAAAGATTAGTACTATTTCAGAAGTTGTAACATTAGCAAAACAAGTAATAATTTAAAAGATCTTTTATGGTGCAGCTACCTTGGAAAACAAGCTGGTAGCTCCTCAAAAAGTGAACTGTGGAGTCACCACGTAACCCAGCAACCCAAGAGAAGTGAAAACAGAGTCCACTCAAAGCCTTGTACAGAAATGTCCACAGGAGAATTACCCATAACCAAAAAATGGAAACAGCCCAAATGCTCATCAACTGATAAATGCACAAAGGAAATGTGGTATAAGGGAATACTGTTGAGTAATAAAAAGGTAGAAAGTTCTGGTACATGTTACAGCATGGAGGAACCTTAGAAATACTCTAAGGAATGAAAAAGTCAGTCACAAAAGACAACACAGATGATCACATTTCTATGAAATATCCAGAACAGATGCATCTACAGAGACAGAAAGTGGACTGGCAGTTGCCAGGGGCAGAGGTAAGGGTGGGCCAGGGGTCAGGGAAACATGAAGTGATGGCTCATGGCTCCAGGTTTCTTTAAGGGGTGATGAAACGCTCTAAAATTAGACTACAGTGATGGTTGTACAACTCTGTAAATACACTGAAAACCATTCAATTGTATACTTTAAACAATGAGTTGAACTTATATAAATTACATCTCAGAGTCTCTACATGTGTGTATATTTACAACACACTTATTTGCTTAGAAACGCATACACAATTTTGCTATGCTATAGAAAACTACTGTAAGTCTTCTTACCAGCCCAGCACACCTCTAGCTACGAGAATGGATCTGAGAGAATAAGAGAGAATGAGAAAGGTAGGGTGGTATGGGGCACGAGAGCAGAGAGGAAGCTGCAGCTTAAAGGGTCTGAATATCTACTGCAAATGCTGAATTTATAGAGGCAATTCAGCATGCAACTTGAACTGCTGCAATCAGCACTGATTCTAAACATATTTCATACACAGTTAAAACCGTGGCTGATCACAGGAAGCATGGCTGATGTTGTTGGCTCCTGTGCTTTAAGGTGAGGGGTGTTTCTCAATGTCTTAGGGAACTACGCAAGCTGAGGTCCCAAAAGGAAAGTTAAGAATTGAGGAGGGGATGCTGTATTAGTCCGTTTTCATGCTGCTGATAAAGACATGCCTGTGACTGGGCAATTTACAAAATAAAGAGGTTTAATTGGACTGACAGTTCCATGTGGCTGGGGAAGCCTCACAATCATGGTGGAAGGCATGGAGGAGCAAGTCACATCTTACATGGATAGCAGCAAAGAGAGGAGAGCTTGTGCAGGGAAACTCCCCTTTTTATAACCATCAGATCTCATGAGACTTATTCACTATCATGAGAACAGCACGGGAAAGACCTGCCCCCATGAATCAATTACCTCCCACCAGGTTTCTCCCACAACATGTGGGAATTCAAGATGAGATCTGGGTGGGGACATGGCCGAACCATATGAGACACAGTAGAGGAAAAATAGGACTGAGCTGGCATTTTTAAAAACTTCCTCCATCAGAGAATTTCAGGTTCACTTCTTAAGGGAAAGAGTGGCAGGTGGCAAAATAGAAGTCAAAAACATACAAAGTCATCATCAGGGATTCCAGAAAAAGAGAGCTTCTAACTTGATTTGGGTTCCTTACTTCCCATAAGCAGCTTTTTAAAAAAGCAAAATGAGGCTATTTTAGGTATCTCCATATAGCAGCCTAATTTTTTACATAAACATGATCTAAATCGAAAAGTTTTTTCTTTTTTTTTTGAGATAAAGTATTGCACTGTCACCCAGGCTGGAGTGCAGTGGCTTGATCTCAGCTCACTGCAATCTCTGCCTCCTGGGTTTAAGTGATTCTCGTGCCTCAGCCTCCTGAGTAGCTGGAATTACAGGCATGTGCCACATGTGTGGCTAATTTTTGCATTTTTAGTAGAGATGGGGTTTTACTATGTTGGCCAGGCTGGTCTCGAACTCCTGACCTCAGGTGATCTGCCTGCCTCAGCCTCCCAAAGTGCTGGGATTATAGGTGTGAGCCACTGCACCCGAAGTTCCTATCTATACTAATAAAGCTTCACGTTCCCTATCCCCCTACATAGAGAAGTTGATTGAATATTGCTATTTTCAAATACCAGTGAATGCTACACTTTTTTGTGACATGTCTGTTGCCAGCTGCTGCCACCACCCTTATCAGACTACCCAATTTGAAAAATTGTATTAATCAACCTGGACTTATTAATTCACATTTATTTTATTAATCAAAGACCAAAAAAACTGGTCAGAAATTCTGATGCACATAAGAACCAACTGGCTCAATAAATTCATATATTCCCAAACTAAAGGTAAGATATTTGAGAGTCTTAGCTTATATAGGTATATCAAGGGAAAAATTACAACTTCTTGCTGTTTTGAAATAGCAAAATTACAGAAATAAAGAACAGAGTGGCAGATGTCAGGGTTAAGAGGATCTTGAAGTCATTATAAAAAGCAACACAAGGAGTCCTTTAGGTGATGGAAATATTCTGTATCTTGCCTTATCATTGATAATAATTGTTTGTTATATTATACTACAGTTCTGTAACATGCTCCTATTGGGTGAAACTGGATAAGTATATATGGAATCTCTCTGTACTATTTTTTAAAAATTGCCCGTGTGTCTACCATTATCTCAAAATAAAAACTTTAATTAAAAAAACTTGAAAGCAATGTAATTTACTAGCTTATCATTTGCGTTTCAATTGCAAACCTTAAGTATTCTTTTTTTTTTTTTTTTCTTTTGAGACAGAGTCATGCTCTATTACCCAGGCTAGAATGCAATGGCACGATCTTGGCTCACTGCAGCCTCCACCTCCCGAGTTCAAGCAATTCTCCTGCCTCAGCCTCCTGAGTAGCTGGGATTACAGGCACATGCCACCACGCCCAGCTAATTTGTTGTATTTTTAGTAGAGATGAGGTTTCACCATGTTGGCCAAACTGGTCTCGAACTCCTGACCTCAGGTGATTCACCAGCCTCGGCCTGCGATTACAGGCGTGAGCCACCACACCCAGCCAACTTTAAGTATTCTTAATGCAAATTTCCTGATTTAAAAATCAGTGTCCAATAAAATCTATACTCAACAATTAGCTATACTTACGGAAGTGATACACAAATCAGCTAAAACAATATAAAGGTTATTTACTTTTGGTTGGTATTATTATTTGCAGTTGGTTTCTTTGCTATATTTGGTTTACACTGAGGTAAAGATTACAGGAATTTGCATTCCCCTGGAGCACATGAACTTTGCAACATGAGAATGTAACAGCAAGCACTGAGTCCCAGCAGAGAGGAATGGGGCAACAGCTGTTGGCCCTGGCAGCTGGGGCAGCTGCGTCAGAGTCACAGGGAGGGTGGGTGATGAAAGCACAGATGCCAGCCTCACCCATGACTACTGAATTAACTTGAGCCTGCTGGGACCCAGGGAAGACAATGTTCGACTAAATCTGAAAAATGCTGTAAAATATGAGCAAGGGCTGGATATTGATGAAAGGTATTCCATGCAATAACACACTTCACTATACTATTACCAAGTACCCATAAATCAACCTCACTTCCTGCTCACATGTACTATAATTTCATTAGAAATACTTTTCTTAGCAGTTCATTTTACTGGCCTATACACAACTCTTAATAAACTTAAAACAAAACATTGTGCCTCAATAAAAATGTGTAGATATTTACATGAGTAAATATGAACAACTTGTAGAGAATGAAGGCTAAGAAAGCCACAAAATTAGGAAAGCTTTAAACAGCATGGGCCAGATGACTCTCAGTGTTAAACTTACAACTAACTTGTTACTTCAGAGTCGGCCTCTTTTCCCATCAGGAGTCTGTAATAAGATTTGCCAATTTCTGGGTCACCCCAGTCAAATTTAGACTTAAAAAGCCACATTTATATATCTAAAAGCAAAGTTTTAAATGTTTTGCCCCTGGCCAATTATCTGTAATAATAAGAGGTTTTTTTTTTAAATGACAAGAATTAGTATAAAAGAGAATTCCCCTCATGAATAAGTAAATTACTTCTTCTTGTATTCAGAATAAAAACTAAAAATCATTTTGCTTTCTTGAATAGATTTTCTGTGTGCATGTTTACACCTCCTGATAAAACTGTCAGACTTCAGTGGCTAAGCAGGACACACACTACCAGCGGCCTGCTCCTCCTCCCCGCTGAAGAGTCTGAAGTTTGGAACAAATACATCAAAATTATATTTCAAAATTAGCTAACTTTCTCTGAATTACAATTATCATTTACTCCAATATTCTTCCAAAATTGGGCCCTTTCCAAGTTTTAAATTAGGATTAATTATGCACTTACAAAAACATATACATTCCAAACTTTTTACTATTATGGACTCAAATTTGCCCTTTTATTTTTTTAAATTTTTTATTTTTTTTGAGACAGAGTCTCACTCTGTCTATCACCCAGGCTGGAGTGCAGTGGCGCGATCACAGCTCACTGCAACCTCCACCTCCTGGGTTCATGCTATTCTTCTGCCTCAGTCCCCCAACTAGCTGGGACCTGCCACCACGCCCGGCTAATTTTTTGCATTTTTAGTAGAGACGGGGTTTCACTGTGTCAGCCAGGATGGTTTCGATCTCCTGACCTCATGATCCGCCCTCCTCGGCCTCCCAAAGTCCTGGGATTAGAGGCGTGAGCCACTGCACCCAGCCACATTTGCCCATTCATTAAGAATACTATTTAGTAAACTAAGACCACCTTTCTTTGTTTTTAGGAACATTTTCTTTCATGGATTTTATAAAGAAATAAAAAATAATCCATAATAAGTTCATGTGACTTTTCTATCTTTTAAATATGTACAGTAATTTCTACGTTTATATTACTGTTTCCTTCCGTTCCTTTAGGGAGATTCTTATTTTCCCATCACAGAGTGCAGTGTTCAGGGCGGCACAACGCTAAACAGTCTGAGTTCTTCACATTGGATCGCTTCCCCGTGCTGTTAGTCCGTTTCCTCACTCAATTCAAGGAGCATGTGCCACTTTAAGGAATTAATATTAAATCATTCGACATTTATCCCCTAGTGAATGACTCTTAAATGAACAATCGTCATTACACACTGGCTAATTTCTCTTGACCACCTTCTAATTTTCAGGTTAAATTTTTATTATCATAAACAATCATAATAATTGACATATTTACAGACATTTTCTTATAGGTTCATTAATCTCTTGACAATAAAAAGGTGGTTTTGTTGCTACAAGGATTCATTATGTTTGGAAAAATACCATTCACAAAGCTAAGAAAGGTTTCATCTGGTTTTTGCAAGTTTTCAGAGTATTAAATCAGCATCAAGTCTAAGTTTGCCAGCTAACAGAAAAAAGATTCAAATAAAGCTACACAATTTCTACTGGATATTTTAAAATTACTTATTGGACAATGTATGCTAATTAATCAATTTGGTTTACAAATTTTGCATATGAAGTACAGAAAAGAATATATAAAATGAACTTAACCCACCAAAGCTTAATAGAAACACGAATGTATCTGGCTAGACACAGGTTCCAGAAGAGCCACCTGGCTCCTGCTGCTCACAAAGCCTCCTGCTCCCACGTCCTCAGGCCAGAGTGGAAGGGCTGAGCGGGGCGGCAGGGAAGCACTAACGGCAGGGTGTGTGGCTGCAGGCACACCCTGGACGCCAGGCACAGGAGCCACCTGCGCAGTGGGTGGGAGGGAGAGGGTGTGGCAAACGAGGTACTTCTGACAGATCAGCAGGCAAAGCCCGAGTCCACGTGATGTGGCAGGGGCCAGGCAGGAGCCAGAGGGGCAGCTGATGGAGTCTGCCCTGAGGCGCTGGGGACCCACGGGACTTCTGTCCCAAAAGCAGCATCCTAAATGAGACAGTGACCCCACCAGGGGATTGGTGTGGAGCCAGGGAGCCTGGGTTGCCTGCTGGTGAGGACAGCAGGCCCAGAAACGGGCCACAGCACGTCCCAGGGTCATCACTGCCACCAAGGCTTCACTCTACAGCCCTTCTTGAAGAACCTCCTTGGAGAACCACCTGCCCGCTCACAAGGCTCCCGGGTGACCCACGTGCACTACACCAGCAGTCCCTACTCTTTTTGGAACCAGGCGGGCTGGTTTCGTGAAGAAAAGTTTTCCACGGATTTGAGGTAGGGGGTGTTGGGAGATGGTTTCAGGATGAAACTGTTCCTCATCAGGCATTAGCTAGATTCTCATAAGGATCACACAACCTAGATCCCTCACATGTGCAGTTCACAACAGGACTCATGCTCCTCTGAGAATGTAATGCCCCAGCTCATCGGACAGGAGGTGGAGCTCAGGCGGTAATGCTCACTGGCCCACACGCACCCCGGCTGTGCGGCCAGATGCTAACAGACCATGGACAGGTACCAGTCCACAGCCTGGGAGTTGGGGGCCGACTGTTCTACAAAAAGGCATGGGACATGCTGGCAAATATCTGCAGACTTTAAAAATACAACCTGGAAAATACTGAGAACTACTTACTGAACTTTCACTTCAACTGTAGTGGATAATTCTCAAAGTGATAAAACTTAACATACAGAAAATACACTCTCATAATCATTGAAATAAATGCCTTTCTTTAAATTCATCAAACTCAATCCCCACCCTCCAAAAGTTATTCAAAGGCATTTAACTAATTAAAATTTATATTTTAAATAATTTTTACTTCTTTACTATGTCTTTAATTACTATAGTTAAAAGTCTACAATAAGAAACACAGCAGGGACCCTGGGAGCTGACTCACACATATAACAGGACAGTCACCGTGTTCCCAAATGCAGTGCTAGGGTAGTCCAATGCACGTTACGCCCTTAAGGCTTTGCAAGACAACAGGAAGTGTAAGGTCATATTTACAGTCATCACTTAAATATAAAAACATCTTAGCAGCAAATAAAAAGGTGGGAAAGACAAATGGACTCCGAGTTAGTGTACAGACTCCTGTACCTGGATTTGAAGCGTATTCCTTGAATGGTAAATAAGTAAAAGTGCTCTCCCATCCAGCCTCCCCCCGCCCACTGCCTGCCCCAGACCTCAGGGGGCTTCACTAGGCCCTGAGACACAGTAACCAAGATCACAGGTAGGAAAGAAGGAGACATGGCTGGTCCATCACAATCATCATGCTTCCTGCATCTAGGAAAGCACACCCCAGTAATTTACAGCTTAGGATGGGAACTTTTTTGTTTATTTGTTTTTGTTTTTGAGATGGAGTCTCACTCTGTTGCCCAGGCTGGAGTGCAGAGGTGCGATCTCGGCTCACAGCAATCTCTACCTCCCGGGTTCAAGTGATTCTCTTGCCTCAGTCTCCCAAGTAGCTGAAATCACAGGCGCCCGCCACCATGCCCGGCTAATTTTTGTATTTTTAGTAGAGACGGAGTTTCCCCCATGTTGGCCAGGCTGGTCTCAAACTCCTAACCTCAAGCCCACCTCGGCTTGCCAAAGTGCTAGGATTACAGGTGTGAGCCACCACACCCAGCCAGTTGACTATTTTTGTTCCAACCACAATTTTAAAACATGATACGAATTGCTAATATTTAGAAGGTGAATTATGTGACAAGCAGGAGTTGATGGTGCTAAGAGCAGGTGAAGAAAGTGTGTTAAACTCCATAAGTAGTCATGCTCTCCGCACAGCTCAGGAGGAATGCCTCTGAGTGAGATGCACGCTCTGCTTCCCAGCACCACATGTGGCTGTCAGGGGTTGCCCGACAGGTCCCTGGGGGCAGGACGTAGGCAGGGCTGCTTGACTACAGGCAGGTCACCCAGAGGGGAGCCCCTGTGTCCAGCGAGCAGGAACCCTGGCATGTGGTGTGCCTGGGCCACCTCAGAAGAGGATAGTGGCTGTGCAGGGGTCCTCGGTGAGGAGCCCTAGGAGAAGCCTATTTGCCAACGACATGTAAGTATCCCACAACCCAGGGAGACTGACTGAACACTGAAGCGATGCAGAGGAAATGCTGCTATTTCACTAATGAAAGGGACTAGAGCTTAGAGAGATCATTTCTTCAGCAAGTGGCTGTGATAGTATTAGGACCAATCCTGCTCTAGATGCCAAAATCTGTTTTTCTTGTACGGTGAGCCTAAAAAGCAGAGACAGAACCATCAAGGAATGTGTTTTGGTGAAAACAGCCTCAGCTTTTGTTTTGAGAGAGAGAAGGTCTCACTCTGTCGTCCAGGCTGGAGTGCAGTGGTGCAATCACGGCTCACTGCAGCATCAACCTCCCAGGCTCACCCAATCCTCCCACCTCAGCCTCTGGAGTACCCAGTACTACGGGTGTGCACTGCCGCACCTGGCTCAATTCTTTATTTTTTGTAGAGACAAGAGTTTTGCCATGTTGCCATGACTGCTCTCAAACTCCTGGGCTCAAGGAATCCTCCCAGGCCTCAGCCTCCCAAAGTGCTGGGATTACAGGCACGAGCCACCTGTGTCCAGCCTCAGCTTTCTAATTCTGCTGTGTATTTTGCTTCTATTACAGCCAGGAACAGATACATAGAAATCACAATTTACATCAACTAAGAATAGATTTTTTATAGTCAACTATGAAAATTCTGACACAGCCTTATTATAATTAGTCTTCAGCTATCAAAATGCGGGCATAGCTTTGTTACAATTCATCTTCATTATAACGAATCATAATGTATCATTATGATTTTCCTAATTAAACTCTGAAAGGTTTTTCAGCATCTTAGCTCAAGGAATCATGTAAAAATGTACACCCCTTTGGCACAGCACTTCTACTGGTAGGAATTCATGTAAGAATCTCAGTGACTGAGGGCATGAAAATTTCCATGCCACTTATTGAAACCATGAATACAACATAACGCCCATCAATAAACTTCATCTACATGATGTGTACACAAACTTATTTCTGCAGAAAGTTATAAATATGTACCTTATACATTCATATAAAGGTGTAGAAGGATATATACAATAAAATGTTAACTGTGGTTCCATTTGGTGGTGGGATTAAAGCTTTGGGTTTTATGTTTTACCTTATTTTTTTACATTCTTCCTTCCATATTATCTGAATTTTCTTTTTTCCCCTTTTTACATTTACTGTATTATTTTTTAATCAGAAAAAAAGCTACTTCGATTTTGAAAAAAAAAAATGCTCAGAATATATATTTAGGAAGGAGTCAATGAATAATATTTTCAAAGACCACTTTTTGAAAGGACCTTTGCATCCCTCTCTGAGGAGCACTTGCCTGAGAGGTGATGTTGAGTGTGACAGTGTCCAGGCCTCCAGACAGCATACCCTGAGTATCGGCCAGCGTCAGCGTGACACTAGCGTCACCTCCCACACCCGACGAGGACATGACCAGGTTCTGAGTCGAGATGGCCGATGGAGACATCGGTGTTGTTGAAGGAAGGCTTCCACTTGTAGTGTTAAGTTCTACAAAAGAGGCGAAGTAAGTAGGTCAATGGGGAGGCCAGACAAGTCCAGGTGTAAGGGCACAGGGAAAGCGATGCTCCCACCTGCATGCAGGAAGCAGCATTCATGCTGCCCGAGGTCTCCAAGCTGCACCAAAGAAATCACAGGGTCTTCAATTCTAATTTTAGGATAAAGCTTTTCTTAGTTTTTAAACATCTTTATGCATGAATATACTGTGCTTCTTAATTATAACACACACAGAGAAAAACCAGTAAACAAAGAGTGAAAATGTGACCCCACAGTTCCAGTCACAGCTACTACTGTAGAATGAAAACTCAGACAACAATTTCCAGGGCACTGTCCCCATCCACAACTAAAGAGAACAGTTGAAGAAAGGAAGCAAGTATGATCCACTGACGAATAACTAGTTCCAAAGCTTACAGGATAAATTTGACCATCTCTGCTCATTTTCTCACTTTCATCACCCTTACTGACTCTTATTCTAAAAGACAGGAGGTCAAAATAAACTTCATGAAATCCTTTAAATATTCATTTATCCTACATGACATCTTAATTTTCTTCGGAAAAGACAACAAAACTGAAATATCCCCCCTTGTAGCCGATGCTAAGAGAAAAGAAGGTACCTGGCAAAGAAAGGTCTTTTTTTTTACAAAACAGACACTCACGCACCTTGCTGACAGATGAGACGGGGTCAGTATGGGATTATCAAAGTCCTGTAGTGGGCACCAGTGAACACAACGTTGAAAGGATAAACACACGGGCACATACACGCACACTCACTTTATCTGACAGTCGAGCCATCCATTCATCTAAAATATGTATTCCTCATCCACTCGTGCCTGCCACTGTGCCAGGCGCTAAGGATGCCGGATGACAACCAAAAGAGAAAAAGCTATTTCCTAACCAGGTTTCAAAACAAAACAAACACGCTCCTGTCAGTACTTTGCTGTGACTTGGGTCACATCAGTCCAGCGCTCTCCTAGGAGTCAGGGGCCAACAGGAAAACTAGGTTACTTACTTGTCGCTGGAGTTCTCCAAATACAATGCCTCCACAGATCCACACTCCTGGGGTCCCACACTGTGCTGCACAGACCTGGAACCTTCAAAAGCAGTAGAACCATTAGCAGGCTGGGAGGCTCGAGCGCTGAAGCAGCCGCCGGGGCTCCACAGATAGCTAGGTCAGACCCTCCCGCCTGCTCCAGCGTCCGCACAGAGTGCTGGCGGGAGCCCGAGGAGTGTGGCCTTGTGGAGGATGCCTGCATGCGCTAAGCGTTCCAGTGACCAGTACAGCAGCCGACCTAATAGCTGTCCTCCTAAAATTCCCTCCACACACCCTTACTGCACACTAGCCTGCAGGTACGTTTTTAACATGAGTGGTCAAAACTGTGGAGAGGCTGGGGCGGGGGGCAGGTGGCAGCTGCCAATGAGCTTGCACAGAGGGAGGACAGGGAAGAGAGGCACGTGCCTGTGTATCTCGCCCAGGATCACACATAGAGCCAAGGCGAAGGCAGCACACAGCAAAAATGCAAACCTCACCCCAACTTCTGAAATAAAGGAATCAAAGATCTTCTCCCCACTCCCACCAGTCAACTAATCCTGACTTTCTAGTGATTATTAAGGTATCAGAGATTCTGGGACTGTGCAGCATGAAAAATGTAAAAAGATACAGAAGCCTTGTGTTTGATTAAAGTGAAACCTGACACAAAGTTCAATGAAAACAATAAACAACTTCAGACAGTGCCAACGTTCATATTTCAACTCAGTGAACCTTTAATAATGTCCTAATTCAACGGATTTTCCACAAAGAGGATGATACCAGTTCCAGTACAACTGTCCTCAATATGATTGAAAAGAACACGTGACTAGAGCAGAAAAAAGTTGAAATTTTCTTAAGCATGCAGTTAAATTACAAGCTACAAATAGCTCTTAACTATCTATTTGTTAAAAGCTACAATTTTATATTCAAATTAAATACTCTTAGCATGAAAATGAAGATCCCACGCTGAAGTGAAGATTGTAGACTCTTACTTTTATTCTTCACTTATTTTTCTGAAACCACTGTTCCTCCAGCATGTAGAGAGCAATACAAGTCTGACTTTATGATTCTGACTCAAAAATAAGTTAAAAAGATTAATAAACCATACACTCATCAAACCCAACATTATCTTAAATCTCTTGGGATATTGCCTCATAGCTTCTAAGAAAACATAATTTTATAAGGTTCTAAAAATAGCTTAAAAGATATGGTATCAGTTTTTTCTTGCAATTAACTTAAATGTGGGAAGAGAGAAGGTGGGGACGACAGAACAGGAGAGAAGCATTGGGGTAGCCCCTCGTTCCCAAGCATCCAGGTCACTCACAGGGACAACTTGTGAGGATAAGAATGTCCTCTTCAGTTTTAATACACGCTGGCAAATAGAAAATGTTAAATTGTTGAACTATTTAAAATTAAAATAAGTGATTATACTTAAATCTAGAAGAAACTAAGGCTGGAATAACCTTACAAATAAATAGAAAACAAATACTGGTCTTTGCTTTCATTGAAAGCAGAACTCAATTTATTCATCAAAATTATCTTAAATTTAAAAGTGGGTGAAGGTAAGAACAAAAAGATAATACTCATTTGAGATGAATTCTTTAAAAAGTTGTGCTAAATTTCTCAAGCCTCTATCAAGACTACGATCTGCTTCTGAGGCAGTACTCACATTCTACGGGAACACGTTTTAAGAAAAACTCTTTGTGTCAGATTTGGGAATGGATGTTGCTGGGATGAAACTCTGAAATAGTCTTCAACTCCTGCATCACAAATCTAAACAAAAGCATGTTTTTATCCTGCATGTGAAATTGTGAGTAATTGTCTCACTTGGATTTATTCGCAAATCCCTAAGTGGTGATACACTTCTTTCAATGCCTTCGATTAAGATGAAACAGCCACAGTTAACCTAGAAGCTGATGAGTCTTAACCAAACCTTGCTTGCATAGAGAATCAAAAAATAATAATAGCCACATACATATTCATTATGCTCAACATAAGTTTGGTAGAGGTTTTTATTTGAGTGTTTACTTTAGAAGAGCCATGTTTAATTTCAAAATAATGTCATTTTAATTTCAGTTATTAGTGGTGTGGCCTCAAGCTAGATCTGAAACTGACTATGACTCTAGATAAATATTGCTCACTAAGAGGCAATCTCCTAACTACTATTACAGAGGTGAGATCCACTACATAATTATAACTAGGACCAATGGGATGTGTAAGCCACTCTAAAAACATCTGCTTAATATCAAGGATTGAGTGGGTCAATATATGAAGAATTGCTTCCTATACCCAGGATTATTCAAAGATGCTAAAGGTATTCAAGAACATAAGACAACTTACTTGATCACATAAAACTAACCTGATATTTAAGAATAGCCGATATTACATTAGTACACAAATATTCTTTAATTATGCATTCATCTTTTAATGTCACCCAATCCCTTGAAAAGCTTTTTTTTTTTTATTTTTTATTAATTTAGCAAGAGGGATATAAGCTAAAGTAGCCTGAGAGAGAGTGTGAGAGAGAAAGAGATTGATTTTCTCAGCTGGCTTTTTTTTTTTTCTTCTTGAGACGGAGTTTCGCTCTTGTCACCCAGGCTGGAGTGGAGCAATCTCAGCTCACTGCAACCTCCACCTCCCAGGTTCAGGCAATTCTCCTGCCTCAGCCTCCTGGGTAGCTGGGATTACAGGCGCCCATCACCACGCCCAGCTAATTTGTTATATTTTTAGTGAAGACGGGGTTTCACCATGATAGCCATGCTGGTCTCAAACTCTTGACCTCAGGTGATCCGCCCACCTCGGCTTCCCAAAGTGCTGGGATTACAGGCTTGAGCCACCATGCCCGGCCTCAGCTGGCTCTTTAAAAAAAAGGTCTAAAAGAATAATAATTTTAAAAATGCAAAGCAGCAAAGTGGGTATGTTGCTGTCTGTACAGAAATGTCGGCTGCATAACATGTGGGAGCCTTGAACCCACTGACTGAGGACAGCTCGCCTGCCCTGAGAGGACCCTCACCTGCGTGTGAGACGCTGGTGTGACACTTTCAACATGTGTCTGTGGAGGTGAATTTACAGGTACAGCACTTACTACCGAACTAGCCAGATCGCAGGAGTTTAAAGAAATGCAGGCAGCCAGAGCAGAGCTCTGGAGTGCATGCGCCCTCATTCCATCCAACTTCTCCCTTCGGTCAGAACATCCCCAATTCTGAGTCAAGCAATCTGCTGCACCTGCAAACATCCAGGATCACCAAGAGGCACAAACCACTCCACTCAAACCGAAACCTCTACAACCTGACTTGTCTCTCCATCAATGTGCCAGGGGCTCACTAAGGATGTTGAGCAGAGTTTCCAGGAAGACATGAGGCTGCACCGCTGACAGCCAGTTTCCTGCTCAGTGAGGCCAGCTAGCGGGGCGTGAATCCAGACATCTCACCTAGAGCCCCGCACCATGAGCGACCACCGCTCGCTTCAACCCACACACAAGCAGCACGTCTTCACATTGCAACATGAACCAGGCAGCGGGGGAAAGGTGATGAACTCACAGCCGAGGATTAGAATTCTAGAGATGGGAAGAACACACTGCCTGATCCTTTAAAATCCACAAACTATGAGGTTTAGAAAACATTAGGAGAAAAACATTTGCTATGTAACTTCAACAATACATCATATATTTTGGATCTTCCACACATTAAAATATTCACACCTCCTTGCTTCAGCTAAAGGCCACCACAGGTCATGCAAAGTCGAGCAGCTGGCATGGGGAGAAAAGCTGCTCCACTCCCAAGCCCCTCTCTCAGCTCAGCCAGGACGTCCTCAAAGAAGTCGCAGGGCCACCCCTGTGACATGTGCTCTCTGCACCATCATCTCTCCTTTATATACGGTTACAGCTGTAATTTCACAGTCACTTGTGGATTCTTCAAAAAATGTCTGCATTCCACTTGTTTCTAAGATCCAGAACGCAGGACCAGCTCTGACCTGTCCAGAGTTATATTCCCAGATTTCACACAATTCTTACCACACAGCAGACACTATAATCTTTTATGGAATAAATGAACTACTGGACAAGAGGTCGTTTCAATTAAGAATTAAGCATGAAAAAAGGACTAGCTTTTGGGTACAAACATATCTGAAGATTAGTTTTTTTTCCTCACAAAGTGATATACATAGTTGGAAAATAACAAGGCTAGGAAGTGAACGCAATCTCTACAAGGTGAAAAGAATGAGATAGGTGTGTTATCCTAAACTGTTAACGGTTACTCACAAAATTATCATTATCTCATGTGAGCTCATTTATTACGTTGGTGCAAAAGTAACTGCAGTTTTTGCTGATACTCATATGTTTATTTTCCATAAAATTATATGCTTTAAAATCTTAGAAAGCTGCCTCCTTTCCATTTTTCTATTCTATTTTCAGCTGGTGTCAGAAAATTCTCACTGGAGGGCAGAAGTAATGAGCTGAGTAAGAGACTTCCAGTGCTGGGTTAGAAAGGGACAGCTTTGTACATGGAGTTATTAACATGATAACGTATAAATATATGATGCTTTGTACAGTTGAATAAAATAATTTACTTTCATGACTTAAAAAGTAACATTATCGATTGGTTGGTAACATTAGAGAGAATTTTGTATCCTAGAATTAGACATAAGCCACTAATCCTTACAGAATGGTACTCCATGTGACAAAGAATGATGCTGACATACCTGTCGTGCTACAGGACAGTTTACCTCCTCAGTTACTGTGGGCTGAGCTCTTCAGCTATGACCTCTTATAAGGTCTCTCTTGGCTAACTCTTGGGCGGCGTACCTGAAGAGTTCAATGTTGTACTCTGTGAGAGAAGCTGATCATTGCTTATTGTTAGGGTAGCACCTGTAGATTGATTATTGATTTCAGGTGCTAACAATCTTATGCTCCCGTTTATTAACAGTTCACTATTTCCTTTAGAATTGTGTTGAATAAGTTCTTGACCTAAATGGAAATTAATATTGTGATACCTGAAAACAACATTCTCAGATGCGTACTGGCAAGTGTGTTAAACATACAATTGTATCCTCAAAGCTTTCATTTTCAATTCAGTAAAATTATGGAAAAATGAAAATGAAACCACAAAAATGCATTTCCCTAAATGACAGTATTTGTTCACACTTTTTAAGCTGTGAAGTATTTTAAAAATACTTCTTATGAGTTCTACTTTAACTCAGTATTTAGGCCCTAAAAATCACAGACTTTGTTGAATAAAACTGTCAATGAATTGAAAATATTTCCAAATATAGTGCACGGCCCAGGTATAGCAAAAGCATGTTAAAAGGATCTGAGGGGCATCAGCAGGCAATAACAGACTCTCCCCTCCCTGCCCTCCACTGGGCAGGCTTGCGAGCCCGTGATGCTGCAGTTTCCCGTGTGCTGTGTTCCTATCCTGTGTGTTCTGAATGCTCTCAAGTACACACTAACATGCCTGCAATACATTCCTACTAAAACACATTTGCTTGATTCAAAACCCACTAATGCTAGCTTCATCAGCTACTGTAATGATATAATGAAATCATATAGTATGGCAACTAGAAATGAATATGCGAATAAAAAACCTGTTGGAATTCCAATGGAAACCAAATTGAATGCCTTGGAAAGACCTGGTAAAGAGAAGATACTTTAAACATTCTGCTGTCAAAATAGGCGTAGGCAAGACAACTACACAAAATCCGAGAGAAAAAGATTCAAAAGACAAAAGTATACTGCACTATGATTGCTTTACAGTGACCTACATTCTCACGCCATGCTGAAGAAGCAGGAACAGGAAATGAAACTGCATGATGAACATGAGTACAGGCAAAAATTTTAAAAAGTAGAAATGTATTATCACCTGAGCAAACCCATATTCAAAAGATCCGGGGATAAATCTCCAAAGTATGCAGGTGTCACTTGTTTGGTTCCCAAATTTTATATACCTTTTTATTAATAACTGGGCTTTTGAAAACATCAGGTACAAGGACTTTCATTGTATCTGGACAGGGTAATTCCGGGAGGCAAAGGACTGTCTTTGCCTTTTACTCAACGTATAACCTTCTTCTGAATGCCAGGACTCATGAACTGCCTAAAGTCTGCAAAACTTAGCTGAAGTGATATGTGCATTCTCTAGTGCTTGTGTGCATTTCTAATCCTATGTATTAATGGAAAAAAGAACATACTACGAAATCTTTGAAAATTTCTATGGAATATCTAGATGCTTTTAACAGGTTACCATAAATTAAATGCTTTCTGCAGCCCTTTCAAAATGGGATAAGGAATTGTATAGTCAATTCTCATTATCCATCATAGTAAGTCAGAAAAAACAATCTTAAGCCCAAAGTTGAAACCAAACTTATTTCATTAACTCATTTAAAGTTTTCTCCTAGAAGCCAAATTCTTTTATTTTTTGTTTTTTTTTTTTTGAGATGGAGTCTTGCTCTGTCGCCCAGGCTGGAGTGCAGTGGCCGGATCTCAGCTCACTGCAAGCTCCGCCTTCCCAGTTTACGCCATCCTCCTGCCTCAGCCTCCCAAGTAGTTGGGACTACAGGCGACCGCCACCTCGCCTGGCTAGTTTTTTGTATTTTTTTAGTAGAGATGGGGTTTCACCGTGTTCACCAGGATGGTCTCCATCTCCTGACCTCGTGATCTGCTCGTCTCGGCCTCCCAAAGTGCTGGGATTACAGGCTTGAGCCACCACGCCCGGCCCAAATTCTTAAAAAAATAGTTATATTCATCTACACTTTCAAATATACTAACAAAATAACCAAATGGCCAATAATAAAACACAGGAAGAAAAGAGGCACAATCCACAAACTGAAGAATATATTTTCTTAACTCTGAGCAAGAACCACGCACTATGTGGTTTTGATAGGACCTGGCACAACGCTTCTTATACTAAGTGTATTCGAGAAAGTTAACTGGATCAACCAAACAGCCTTCCTTCAGATATAAATATAATTTTAAAAGGAAGAAGGGTACTGAATTATATAAAATTCAATGTTAATTTTCGCTTTCCAACAGCATCTAAAAACCACTGCATTTCATTCAAGAGCAAAGCTGTACCTAAAAATAGTTCCTCAAATTTCTCACTAATATATTAAAAGAAATAAATACATCTTCCTGAAAAAGAAAGCTTCTGGTTTTCTTATGAATACCTTTTCTTTCAGTTCTGAAATTAATTTCTGCAGAAATATCTCTGAAACAGCAGAAATGCTGCCCTTCCCGGTTGAGTCCATCTAGAATGCTGTCCTTCTCCACAGCTGTGTTTCAGGAAGTGGGGCTGCTTCCCTCTGTCACCTCAGATCTCCACGGAGGTGTTTTGATTCCTAGCAAAACGTTTTTGTTAACAGCATCATCAGGTTACGAGTCTTAAATAAGTTAATATTGAATGAGTTAATATCTGTGGAAGTTACTAGAATAATATCTAGCACTTAGTAAGGGCTATAAAAGTTGTTGAATTAACAAATGACTCTTAGTTAATACAGAGAGTTTATAGTTAAGAGTCATGTGAGCGAAGCACACCAGGAAAATATGTTCAATGCTCACTGAGATCCGAACACGCTATGGGAATTAATGATACGTAAGGACCAAGGAAGCCACACAAGGAGAAAAGTCAGAATATGAGCAGCCTAGCCCTGAAACAGGGAATGAGTCAGCCTGGTGACTGGTGGAGAGAATTAGATTGCCAATTTTAGGTGGGCTTTACTGCCAAAGGGTATTTCCTACCCGTTTATCTATTTTTAAATGTTCTCCCATGTTTCAATTTTTCTGTATAATCCTAGTAGAATTCTGAAGACATACGGTAGAGTGCCATGGGGATCTATAACGCCCTAATGTAAAGTTTATACCAGTTTCACGAAGCATGAGTGAGAACCACAAAGCTATGCTTTCTGCTCTGTGCCAAATAAAAATAACTTATTCTCTAAAAATGAGTCAATAAATGAATGAATTAAATAACTGTACTCAAACTGGAAATGACATGAGAAACTATAATTTTTCATTTTTGGTACCAGATCTGAATTAGAACACATTATTTTCACTAAACTTCAACTTCTCCCATAAATTACAAATATGTATTGAGCACAGGCTTTATGCACAGCAGAGTACTGTAGAAAAAGAGATAGTAAGATATACAGTACTTAAATTGCAGGGTGAAAGGATGTTTAAAATAATAACTTACTAACCGGAGATAGTCAGGGTAATTTCCTGTGGAGACCCCGAGGAAGATGTGGCAGTGGGCCCAGCGGCCTGTGCCAGGACCTGGCTCAGGCTGGAGTTGTTGATGGTTAAGGTGATCTCGTGGGGACCGCCGGAGGGGGACACCAGACCTTGCGAAGTCATCACTTGAGTGAGGTCTTGGGTCCCTGATTGTCATTACAAAGCAAAACAAAGTTGAGCTTCAAAAAAATCAATTTCCCCTGTTTTTATATTAAAAATATTTTAGTTAAACTGTTATTAAATATTTCAATGAGAGAAAGATATAAAACAAAGCATCAGTCATCTCTAATTCCTTCATCTAAAAAGAAAGCCTTACGATGAAATGAAGCCAGGATGAAAAGAGTAATTAAATGAAGGTAGTAGTAATTAAGAGCATATACTAAACACATATCATTAATTATAAGAAAAGTTTATTTATTCTCAGGACATTTGATTTATTCTCTTCCACAAAGAGAAGAAAATGACATCATAACATCCTAAAATCAAATATGTGATCGCAAGCAAGAAACTGAAACTCCAGCTGTCAAAATAAGCAAAAGTGAGTGGCTCTTACCACTGCTGTTAGTGGTCAGCACTGAATCCTGCTCAGACAGTGGGCCTATGGTCAGGTTCGCAGAGGTCACTGTGGGCTGTAAGGACAGGCCTGAGATGGGCTGGATGACAACACTGGCAGGGACCGTGCTGTCTGACGTCTGGAGAGAGCTGTTCTGTGGGGCCAGGCCAGGCTCCCCCGTGAGCTGCTGAGCCAACAGGTTGCCCTGCTGTAGTGTCTGCTGCAGAATGCTCGGATCAATCTGAAAAGCAGCACAGGTACTTGTAATGAAAACTTCATGCTTCTGTGTGATGCCAAGAGAATTACAGCACAGGAGACCATGGAAGGTGTCATACCTGCAACGTAATGTTATTAATGCTGGCAGCATCGATTCCAGAAATCTGTACATTTGGTCCAACCAAGTTAGCAGCCAACTGTAACTGGATGCCTTCTAGGGTAGCCAGGCTCCCATCTGTCAGAGACACAGTCAGGTCACCCCCAGCTGGCCAGAGAAAGAGAAAGGGAATGGACGAATATTGTGAATGCTTCTTAAAACTAAAGTAATTCATTTTTTACACAGGGATTTTTAAATACATAAGTTATACACATTATGTCAATACAATCTTGTTGTGGAATACCAACACCTACTTTATACCATATACACACATATGCTGTCTAATCACACTTTATACCATATGCACACATACATTGTCTAATCAGTCTTTATACCATATACACACATACTGTCTAATTACCCTTTATACCATATACACACATACACTGTCTAATCACCCTTTATACCATATAAACACACACTGTCTAATCACCCTTTATACCATATACACACATACTGTCTAATTACCCTTTATACCATACACACACACTATCTAATCACCCTTTATACCACATACACACACACTGTCTAATCACCCTATATACTGTATACACACACTGTCTAATCACTCCAGAAACCTACTTTATACCATATACACACACACTGTCTAATCATCCCAGAAACCTACTTTCTACCATATACACACATACACTAATCATCCATTATACCATATACACACATAAACTGTCTAATCACCCATTATAACATATATACACACAATGTCTAATCACCCCAGAAACCTCCTTTATACCATATACACATACACTGTCTAATCATCCCAGAAACCTACTCTATACCATACACATACACTGTCTAATCATCCCAGAAATCTACTTTATACCGTATACACATACACTGTGTGATCACCCCAGAAACCTACTTTATACCATATACACACACACTGTCTAATCACCCCAGAAACCTACTTTCTACCATATACACATACACTGTCTAATCACCCCAGAACGACTCTGTGAAATAGATACTCTCATTACCCACTTTAAATATATCAGAGAGGTAGCTGGAAAAGATTCTACTGATTAGCCGAAGGTTCAAAACAACCACTACTACTGAGTGGTGATCAGGCTGCAATGGTGCCATGAGTCACAGAAACAGAAAGAAGGGCACACAGGACATCTGACTGCCATGTACGACTGCTGCATTTACTGGCAGGTACACAAGTCAACACAACTAGCTAAAACGTCACACTTCTCAAGCACTATGTGACCCAAGAACAAATGGAAAACGGCACTGTATCAAAACCAATGCTAATGAGTATTTAGAAATTACACTTCTCCCTCCTAAATTTATGAGAATGCCAACTGAATAAACAAGTTTACATCCACTAAAAACAAAGGCTAAACAAAGTGCTTAGTGTAAAAAAGCAGCTGTCATGGAAGACAGAACGGGAAATGGATAGGGGCGATGTCTGCAAGATGGAATTCCCATTTTTCTGAATGCCTTATAAGGGAAAGGCTCAAAGAAGGGAAACATGGTGCTATGGTAAACAACATCTCTTCTACTATGGGAACAGATAGAAGCAGCGCAGAACAGTTCAATCACTGAGCTGTTCCCATTCCCCCGGCGCAGTGTTCACCTGACACGGAGGCAGGGAGAATAGCTTGGCCCACCAGTCCTGGTTGCAGCAGATTCTGATCAAACTGTCCTGTTAGAACAGAGTTGTTCATGATAAACACATTAGGGTCAGTAGAGGAGGAGTTGAGGAGGTTTACGGGCTGCAATCCTTCCGACGAGCTTCGAGTCACAGGCTTTCTGGCCTTCTTTGGGTCTGGTTTATAATGAAACTGCATGTGTGTCTTCCTTCTACCCGACGTACGGAAACGCAGCTCGCAGTGCGGGCATTTGAAGGGCTTGGCTCCCGTGTGCAGACGCATGTGGACCTTCAGACTTCCCTTGGTGGAGAAGGCGTTGCTGCAAACGTGACAGCTGAAGAGCTTCTGACCTGAGAAAAGCCCAGCCAAGAATCAGCAAAGGCGATGGCAGCCGCGACACTCACACCCACCCCACTCAGCTGTCAATCTGGATGTAAATATGTTGAATCAGTGGATGGAAGTGCTTTAATGAGAATCCCTTTCACCTATAAGATGTTATGGATGTCACAGGCAATTGTTGCAGGAATTTAACAGTATATTATTTACAATTTGAATTCAGCATTTTCACAACCCTTTGAGCTTTATAGTGTTTCTAAACCACTGCATTATTCTGAGCCTTGATTGGAATATTTGATTTATATTTATCAGAAGCTAATGGGTGGTATGACTTAACAGCCCAGCTCTGAATTACTGTCACTTTTCTTCAATTTTACAAATGGTACTTTAACATCGCAGCATCTCTCTGTCTTCTCTTCTGCCAAACAGGAGCGACCAAAATGCCAGCACAGGTAGGCATCACATTGGGAGAATGTGCAAAGGAAAGTTCTATTCTAGGGTCAAAGAGCTGTGTGCCTAGTATCATGTATCTAGTTCCTGAGGCTCTTTTCATGATTACTGGGTATATCAAAGGCCACGAAGGCTCAGAGCACCACGAGCACAGGCTCCACCCTCCAAGAGCCTCTGGGAGCTGAAAAACTTCCTGGCTGGCTTTTCCCCTTTACTGGTCCAGGAACAAATGCTAATTTTTACAGCATGGCGCACACTAGGATCCACAAAGGGACTAGAGCAATCTACTATCCCAATGCCACCCTGGGTTCCTCAGAAATCACACCTCTACTTCAGAATGGAGAAAGAGGCACTAAAAGGTATTTATCCTGAGACTTCCATTTCTAGTCCTTATCCACATAGCCTACACTGAACTCCAAAACCAAGGAAATGATGAAGCAGCGTGCACCAAGTCATCGTGGATGTCACTGGGCACCTGCTGCATGACAGGCCATGCCCTAGGCCTGGGGGCGCAAAGGTAAATGAGGCCAGGCCCTCCATATCCGCAAACAGTTCACTGCATTACACAAATGTAAATAGACATTTACAAAATAGAGAGACAAATACAGGGAGCCTAAAGAAACAACAGAAAAACTGCACACAGGACAGTCATATAAACAAGCTCAGGGATCTGTTTATCTAGCTCCAAATATTAACCCATCAGAAAAGAATCACAGGGTCAGGTGAATGTGTGAAAGTCCATTTGTTCTTGTTGGTTGAATTCTGCTTATAACCAACAATGAAGAATATAAATTGGTCTGATAATCGTAATTCTATGAATCATTATAACAACAGCTCTGCATTCACTGTGCGTTTACCACAGGCCAATCCATTCCTGAGCGTTTAGCAAAGGCCAAACACTTTTCCCAGCTATTTAAATGTCTTAATACTTAAAGCTATTTAAATGTCTGAACTCCCAAAGACGGAGGTACAACTATTAGCCCCATCTTCTGCAGGAGAAACCTGTGGCTGAGAGGAGAACCTTGTCTAGGACCACAGAGTTCACAGGAGGACTACAGGATTCCCAAGCGGGCAAAGGCAGAGCCAGCCTCACCACCGCTAGGATGCACTGTGCGGAATTCCAGAAGCAAAGGCGCAGAAGAGATGAAGATGAGAAAAAGGCCAGGAATACTGGACATTCACTTCTCCCTTTGCAAGATTTCCCCCCAAATAAAAATAATTATGAAATGATAACTGCCATCAGATTTGCTAAGTGCCAGGTTTTACAAAACCTCAACATACTAAATCTCTTTGGCTTAAATGAGACTAACAGGTAATCTTTTTAACAAAGTTATTTACGCATGAGTAAGAATACATGACAATTTTTAAGAAAAATGTAACTTCTGAGACCTAATCCTTTTTTTCCTTAGTGTCATTTGGACAGCTTTCCCTGTGTCACGAATAAAAAAATCTTTCATATCACTTTCTTCATGGTGCTTCATTTTTAAGCTTTCTAATTTGGAAAGTATTATGTATGCAAAATACATAGGAACAAAACATACGAAATGCTATCCTAAGATCTCTACCAATGACACAGGAATGTGTTCCTTACCTGTGTGAGTCTTCACATGGCAATCGAGAGTGGATTTCACAGTAAAACTCTTTCCACATTCATCACATTTGTATGGCTTTTCTCCAGTATGGATTCGAACATGCCTATCCAAAAAGCGTTAATTATAGACGCATTGACAAACGACTTCACGATTTGAAATTTATAACTATATAAATTAAAATTAGGTGTTACTACGTTTTGATTAAGTTTGGCCAAGAAAAACTTTAAGCTTCACTCCAAACAAAAAATACTATAAAAAAATCCAAATAACAATGAAAATATTTGCAAGACAAATAATAATAGAGATAATTTCTGTAGGGAGGGGAGCAGTGGCTCACGCCTATAATCCCGACACTGTGGGAGGTTGAGGCGGGCAGATCATCTGAGGTAGGGAGTTCGAGACCAGTCTGGCCAACATAGTAAAATCCCGTCTCTACTGAAAATACAAAAATTAGCGGGCCGTGGTGGCAGGCGCCTGTAATCCCAGCTACTCAGGAGGCTAAGACAGGAGAATCGCTTGAACCCAAGAGGCAGAGCTTGCAGTGAGCTGAGATCCGGCCACTGCACTCCAGCCTGGGCGACAGAGCGAGACTCCGTCTCAAAAAAAAAAAAGAAAGAAAACAATTTCCTTAAAAAACCCAAGAACTCTGACAAATCAGCAGGAAATCCCAAACAATATCAGAGTAGAAAAGTGAGCAATGCACAGAGAGCTTACAGAAGAAATACAAACAGTCTAAAAACATATGCAAAGTTGTTCAACCACACTTAGAACCAAAGAAGAGCAGATGAAAATGACATCCTGTTGGCTGGAGCTGTAAAACAGGCACTCAGAGTCTCTGAAAGACAGAGGCACAAGGCCCTCTGGTGGCCTTTGCCAGACTCTACCCTCACTGAGCCATCAGAGGCATACAGGCTCACAGAAGACAATCACGGCAGCACCCTGCCAGTCATCACACATGGAAACTCAGTGTTCGTCAGGAGGGGTCTGGTAAAATTAATTTGGTATGCCCATGCGACAGAACCCTGCATTGCCATTAAAAAGAATGAAATAGGTTTATAGATCCTGACAAAGAAAAATATCTATGATTCACTGACATGTAAAAATTTAAAAACCAGAATCGTACAACTTAACATTGGTATATGTCCAGACATTTCTGAAAAAAAAAATACTTAAAAAACTGTTAACAGTGGTTATCTCTGGAGAATAGGACACCCTTCAGTACCGTTTTTTGTTTATCATCACATTTACTCACTGGGAGTCTGAACATTGAACTTTTTAAAAATGAAGGCTAGGACAAGAAGAAGAAAACGCAGCTATAAGAATGCCCCGCTCTTGGAGTTAGCAGTGAACCAAGATCACACCACTGAACTCCAGCCTGGGCGACAGAGCGAGACTCGTCCCACTCTTCTGGTCTTTAGCTATAGTCGATGGAGACATGTTTAGCACTTCATGTCACCTTGGAGGCATCTTGTCTCTGCTAATTGGCTGGCACGCCCCACCCACAGGCAGGTCACAAAGTGCTGTCTCAACACCTCCACGTGACACCCTTGCCAGGCCTGACTTTCTCATCTATGACTCCACCACTAACCCCTACTGGAAAACTCTCTATCGGTTAGTTCACGAGTTCCTCTAGGCCACATACAACTGCTGGCCAGACTGGACTCCTTCTTATAAACATCCCAAGTTTTCCATCAGAACCCCTTAGCTCCTGCTCTCCTTAGTTTAACTTTCTATGTCTTATTCCCAACCTCAGATCACACCATCAACTTAGATCCTACCCTGGAACTTCACTACATGGCTTAACGAGAGCTTGCTATTCAAGGGTCCTGTGGCTGCACCACCCAGTGGGACCTGGGCTCTCTTTCTTCTCCAGTCACCTCCCTCATTGTCACTCTCTAGCTGAACATACCCCGCCGTCCTGCTGTGGTCAAAACACAAAGGCCAGCAGTCAAGGTGTGTGCTCACTAGGGTGGCACTGCCAACCCAGCAGTTCCTTGAAACCACCTACCCTTTCCCTGCAGCACCTGCTGCTGCCCTCTGTAGAATAAAGAGTACAAGGAACACACCCTCTTTGGTTTTCTGAAACACCTGCAATATCAAAATCTTTGCAGTTTATTTTACTAAGTTGCTGAATAATTAGTTCTACCTCCTAGAGCAAAACATAAGCTTCCCCCTTATATACAGAAACTCTTCTAATTCTTTAGGAGAATGCTGCTACTTTGGTCTTCCTTTCTCTAGAAAGGAAGGACATTCTGAGAGCCCCTTCTGCTCTTTACCATGGGTCTTGGTTTCCAGATTCTTCATGGTTCTGCTAAACTCGATCTCATGTATCAGCCACTGCTGTTTGGCCAATTGCCAATGAGACTCCCTCCTGTCACGTGATCGTGTCCGGCTTCTCACACTGACTGGCAGGCGTCAGGCGGGAGGGCGCCTGCTGCTCTTCTGCCTGTCCACAAAACTTAGAGCCCTAACTTCCTCAATGGACAGATTTGTTTTCATTGTTTACTACTATGACAACCATACAGAAATAAGCATAAGCAATCTACAGAGAAAACAGACTTTCTTTTTTTTTTTTTTTTTGAGATGGAGTTTCATTCTTGTTGCCCAGGCTGGAGTGCAATGGCATGATCTCAGCTCACTGCAACCTCCACTTCTTGGGTTCAAGCGATTCTCCTGTCTCAGGCTCCTGAGTAGCTGGGATTACAGGCACCCACCACGGCCCCCAGCTAATTTTATACTTTTTAGTAGAGACTGGGTTTCTCCATGTTGGTCAGGCTGGTCTCAAACTCCCGACCTCAGGTGATCCTCCTGCCTCGGCCTCCCAAAGTGCTGGGATTACAGGTGTGCCCCACCGTGCACAGCCAAAAACAGACTGTCTAATTAATATTCTGAATGAGCTTACTACAGAGAAGTAATTCAAGCTTAAAACCACACACTCTTAGTAAGCAAGCTGCCATCACTCAGGTGACACCAGGCTGAGAAACTAATGGCCCTGCTGCAGTGAAAGTCACCAAAGGAGCAGCTGCCTACACCGCCAGTCTTCAGAGCAGAACCCGCGCAGCGTAGCCATGCCCTCACCTCACCAGGTCGCTGGGCTTCTTGAAGCTCTTGGGGCAGTATGTGCAGCAGTTGGCATGCTTGGGCTCATCCTGCAGCTCCGCCTGCTTGTCCCTCAGCTCGCTGATGCGGTCCTTTTCTGCCGCAGACTGCACCAGAACCTTCTCCGACACCGTGGCGCTCTCCTGCGGCCGGATCTTGGCTAACTGGGCTGTCTCCTCCTCTGTGAAAGTGATGACCTCAGGACGAGACTTCCGTGATGCATTTCTGTCAGAATGTTCTTCCTCCTCCTCCATACAAATGTCTATACAAAATCAAGGAAAAGGGATCACAAAATTCTAATGAAGAAAACTTAATTAGCAAAACAATTAAAACTAAATAGGTATGTATGTAATGAAAATCAATAACTCAACCAAGCTATTTTTATGATGGTAGAGAGTTGCTATATTTTCCCACCTCTATTGAGAAACTTAGGTCATGGAAAGAAAACAGCCAAGTGTACTGGAAAGTAAGGGGCGGAGGATGAACAGAGGTTGGTGAGGAGGTGAAAACATCCACTTAGATAGAAGGAATAAGCTCTAATGTTTGATAGCAGAGTAGGGTGATACAGTTAAAAACAATGTATAGTTCAAAGCAGCTACAGGAGAGAACTTGAAATGTTCCCATACTTAGAAACTGATAAATACTTAAGGTGACAAATACCCCAAATACTCTGATTTGATCATTCCACATTCTATACTTGAAACAAATTATCACATGTACGTCATAAATATGTACAAATATTATGTAATAAAAAAAAAACCAAGTCAAGGGCTTCCCTTAGGAGAGCGATGACCAACATTAGGAAGATGCTCAGATTAAAGACCTGCTTCTACCCCTCCCTGCAAATTCAGGAGTAAGCTTTGAGGCTGATAGTGTCCACACAAGCTATTGGTATTCATAAATACAGATATTAATTTATTAATAAGGGCAAAAAATGAATTATCCTGGGATTTTTAAAAACCAGAAGCCCAAAAATGGGAGACGAAATTAATAAATTGCAAATGGTCCCCAACTAAAAACAATTACTATAAAGAAGAAAATAAAACTTTAAAAATATATATGGTTGGCCCTCTGTATCTGTGCCTTCCACATCCATAGATTCAACCAACTGCAGTTAGAACATACTCACAGATATTTTTTCTCTTGTTATTACTCAATAAACAATATGCTATGATGGCTATTCACAACCAGGTGCAGTGGCTCACGCCTGTAATTCCACTGCTTTGGGAAGCTGAGATGGAAAGATGGCTTCAGGCCAGGAGTGTGAGACCAGCCTGAGTCACATACCAAGACTCCATCTTTACCAGAAATTTAAAAATTAACCAGGCACGGTGGCACGGACCTGTAGCCCTAGCACATTGGGAGGCCAAGTTGGGGCTTGGCACAGAAGTTCAAGGCAGAAGTTGCTCTGCCTAGGCAACAGAGCAAGATCCCGTCTCTACAAAAAAAATTTTTTTTAATTAGCCAGGAATGGTGGTGAACCTGTAGCCCCAGCTACTCAGGAGCCTGAGGTGGGAGGATTGCTTGAACCCAGGAGTTCAAGGCTGCAGTGAATTACCATTAAGCTATTGTACTCCCGCCTGGGTGACAGAGTGAGACCCTGTCTCTCAAAGAACCTCAAACTATTTACATAGCATTTATATTATATTCAGTATTATAAGTGATCTAGAGATGGTTTAAAGTATACAAGAGGATGCGTGTAGGTTACATGCAGATACTATGCTGTTTGATATCAGGAACTTCAGCATCTGCAGATTTTGGTGTCCTCAGGAATCGAGGAACAAATCCTCAGCTGATACTGAAAGAGAACTATACGCGTAAGTATTCACTCCTAAATGAAAAATAAGGATGCATTCCAAATGATTAAAAAAAGAATAATAGAGAGGAAAAAAAGTTTGGCTGGGAGCAGGGAAGTCATTATTGTACGACTGACTGAAAAAAACTTACAACTCAACAGAAACACTAAATTGCAAAGTGAACAGTGATTAATTCACCAAATAAGTAAATTTAAAAACCAACTAGATAATTTTTCTTACCATATAAAATGAAAAAAAGATGAGAGATGGGTGCAGGGGGGGAAGAAGATAGAGAGGGGAGCAAAGGACAGCAAGGGTGTGGGTTGAGGGAGAAAGTCATGGAGGATAAAGCCAGTGGACTCAATGTCCATCTTGCAGAAATTCCAGAAAAAGATACAGCAAACTAAAATTTCACATTATACCAATAAAGCTTGGAATGCTCTGAGGGTAGCTTATAGATAGCAGCCCCACCAACACTCATGAGGAGATAAGGAGGTAACTCTGTTAACATTCTTTAAGGAACTGAGAACACAATCAGTATAGCACAGGCTGGAGAGAGACAGAACAACAAAATTAAGCACGATAGACAGACAGCATGAAACAGACAGCAAGTGTTAGAAGCAGGCTGACGTCGCAATAAATGTGAGGGAATTTAACCCCTATCTAAGTCTCTAGGTTTGGGCAAAACAATGCAATTTAACACATGACTTTTCTCCTATGGACAAGAGTTCATCTGCAGTTTCCCCCACAATGATCCAAGGAACATAAGACATATAAAGGTGAATCTAAATAAATATGTAGCAGTGAGATGAAGCCCAAACAGAACCCCCAAATTGATGCTAGAATTAGTAGCATTAGAAGCTTTATTAATTGACGGGAAGGAATATGTAAAGAGGCTTAGAGATTATTTGTATTTGGCTGATAAATTAACACTCTCCAAATGACAGGGTTCTAGAAATAATGCCTGTATGTCCCATAGCCTTTAACTCATTTGAAGGAAACGGCCATTTTCTTTTTATACTTTATGAAATCTAATGACAGAATTTTTAAAATGGAAAGAAAGGCTTTAATAAGTATCATCGGACTGAAGAGTTTGAACTCTCTCAGTATAACAGGTCAGAAACTTTTATTCCAGAATTATCTACTAAAGAAATGAGGTGCACAGTGGCTCTGGCCATGGTTAAGTCACAGTTTTTGTTACTTTGAGGGAGTTTAGGCAAGTTTTACAGACTTATTCCTCAAAACAGAAGAGAAAGGTAGACTACCATAACCCACCGGGGACCCTGGACGGTCTCACTGTGATCTTTCAGTCAGATGGTGGCAAAGCAGACAGAGGGGGCAGTACCTTGAGAGAGGATGATAGGCCACCAGCAGGTCTGACCTCTGATGACAGTCCCCATTTAGCAGCCCTGTCTCCACACAGCCACTGACACAAGATTCACTGACAACATTGCATACCAACTGTGCCAGGACAGGATGGCTGCAGCATAGGCAAGAGCCCAGGCCCACACATACACTCAGACCAGCCATGACCTCCAAGAGTATCAGCACTAACATGGATTTTAAAATGGCAATCTGTGTGCTGGCACAATGTGTCAAAATATAAAATGTGCTCCATTCTTTTTTTTTTTTTTTTGAGACGGAGTCTCGCTCTGTCGCCCAGGTTGGAATGCAGTGGCCGGATCTCAGCTCACTGCAAGCGCCGCCTCCCGGGTTTACGCCATTCTCCTGCCTCAGCCTCCCAAGTAGCTGGGACTACAGGCGCCCGCCACCACGCCCGGCTAGTTTTTTTTGTATTTTTTCAGTAGAGACGAGGTTTCACCGTGTTAGCCAGGATGGTCTCGATCTCCTGACCTCGAGATCCACCCGTCTCGGCCTCCCAAAGTGCTGGGATTACAGGCTTGAGCCACCGTGCCCGGCCGCTCCATTCTTAACTCTATAATTTCATTGTGGAACTTACTAAAAAGAAGTTGTCTCTTATAAGCACAAAAAGTATAATCACAAAAATAATACTTAGGATTTTTCCGCTTGGTATGGGACTTGGGAGAATTAACTTGTCTAATGTTTTGCTGGCTGGTGTACAAAATGAGATTAATCCCTCTAACTATGCAGTGTGTTGTGTCTATTACATGAGACAATGTAATGGTAAGCACAGGTTTTGCCAAGGTTACAGTACTCCATAAATGCTACCATTACCATTTCAGTGAAAGACCAGATATTAGCTACACATCCATTAATCCATCAACGGAAAATTATATAATAAAATATGATGGAATTCCATGGAGTCATCTGAACTGATGTAGATCTGTGTTCAGTAAAGTAAATATGCCTATAATAAACTTTAGTAGATGGAAAATTAAGCACACTACAACACTATTTAGAGCAAGATACCATATTTGTTAAAAAGCATTAAAGTCTCTAACAACATGTGCACGTAAGCATGAAAGGAAGAGCAGTGTGAGAGCGAATGCTCATTCAGCGTGTGGTGATTTGTAAGAGCAGATGTTTTCTTCATTGCGCCTCTGAATTTTTCTTCCAAGAGCATGTACAGCTTTCCTAATCAGAAAATAAAATTAACTATTAAAAACTCAGGGTGCTACAGAACTTAATCTGTACATAGCCAGGTTAAAATACTCACGGTGATTTGTGAATGGATTTATTCCTAAATTAGCATTGGGTTCATACACCTTGAATCAACAAACGGAAAATACCTCCTCCTTCTGTCTCTCCAGTGGCTGACACGGCAGAGGGGACGGCTTGGTGTCTCTTCATGTGCTTTTTACAGTGCACTGTGGTTCGGAAACCCTCCTCACAGAACGGACACTTGTAAGGCTTCATGCTCATATGTGTGGCCATGTGCCGGGTGAGGCTGCCATTGGTGGTGAAGGAAGCATTGCACACGCTGCAGCTGAACGCCTTCACTCCTACACGCACAGAAACAGAGAAAAAATGGCCGGAACCGATCCTATTTCATTACCTTAAAACCAGAAGCAGTCAAAACCAAAGATATGTTTAATAAGCCACAACATTATCCTGAGGCTTAGTAGAGTTTGGTTTAAAAAAAAGTAAATCACAAAATTATAGACAGTTTATTTGGTGTGGGTTTCCAATTTTTAGAAATGGGATTGTTTTAAGAACATGGAAGTTAACACAGGACATCTTACTGCCTTCTCTACTGAAATCAGCAGGCTCTGTGAAGTCACAGTCTCCAAAACAAATCAAGTCCTCTCTGCCTTCAGTCTTTTACCTTTAAACTGGCAACATGTGGATTCTACCCCAGAAATGTTTTTTCCAATCCATCTTTTCATCACTTCCACAGCACATGAGGTATACTAGGCATTAAGAACTAGTCTATAAATCTTCTATACAGCTTTATTTTCAAATAAAGTCCCATATAGAAGGCCTTCTCTCCTCTGGACCAATGACACAGAACCAAGTAACCAGCTATTTTCTTCCTATTTCTGTCTTTCTTCCACTGTTCCTTATAAAAGTCATATATTGCTGCTCTCTGGTCCTTCAAAGTACCATATAAATGACTCCCAGCAAGCTTTCCAATAACCACTAAAACCACTCCCCAATCATCAACCTATGGACCAGTCAATAAAACTTTTCCTTATTTTGCTTGGCTATATGTTTCTAAGCAGTATATCTTCATTTTCAAATAAAGCCTTATATAAAATATACACTGATATTAAACTTATTATTAATATACTGAATATATTAAAGATAAAATATGTTAAAAATATTTTTAACTGGACACTATGTATCTGATAAAGGTCCAGTAATCAGACTATAAAAACCTCTTACAACTCAATAAAGCAAATAATCCAATTTTAAAATGGGCATAAGATTAGAACAGACATTTCTCAGTGTCTGTGAAAGATGTTTAACTTGATCAGCCATCAGAGAAATGCAAATCAAAGCAAAACCACAATGGCACGTGGGAAGGCTCATGACCATCCACAAGGCCGGTCATGAGAGAAGCAATAATAGCCATTGGCGAGGATGTGGGGAAACCAGAGCCCTCCCACCCTACCGTGGGCTGTCAAATACCACAGCCACAGTGGAAAACAGTTCCATAAACTCAAATGTTTTAACAGAGTTAACGTATGACCAAACAATTCCACTCCTAGGTAGAGCAATGAGCCCATGTCCACACAAAAACTTACATACAAATGTTCACAGGATTACTTATAATAAACAAAATATGGAAATAACTCCAATGTCCATCAACTGACGAATGGATCAATAAGACGTGGCATATCCTACAATGGAAAGTAATGAGGTTCTGATCCACCTATACAGCACGGATGAAACTTGAGCACACTGTGCTGTGAAAGCAGCAGACACAAAATGCCACATATTTCTATAAAATACCCAGAACAAGCAAACCTCTAAAGACAGAGGTAGATACTGGGCGCCTGAGGTTCTGGGCATTGAGGGGAAATGGGGAGTGACTGTTAATGGGTACAGAGTTTCTTTTGTGTGTAATAAAAATGTCCTAAAATTACAGTTTTGATGGTTGCAGAACTCTACGAACATACTAAAAATCACTGAATTGTACATTTTCAGTGGGTTAATTGAATGGTATATGGATTATATCTCCATAAAGCTTTTTTCTTTAAAGGACTAATCTCCAAGTATAAGGCAGACAATGACCTGTGTGTGTCTTCTCGTGAGACTTAAGCACCCCGGAGGAAACAAAGCCACGTCCACAGAGTTTGCACTTGTAGGGCTTCTCCCCAGTGTGCGACCGCACGTGCTGCTTCAGGTGACTGGACTTCTTAAAGCCTTTGTTGCAATAGTCACACCTGCAAACATACAGAACCCAGACCACGTTAATTCATAGCACAATTACAAATACAGCACCTGAGACGGGAAGGAAAGCAAACAAGCTTCACCAACAACCATGAAACATTTAGGCACAACTGTTACAGCACCTGAGACGGGAAGGAAAGCAAACAAGCTTCACCAACAACCATGAAACATTTAGGCACAACTGTTACAGAATCTAGGTGTGCTCTCCAACATTGAAGAAATTATAAACTATAAAATATTGCCGACAATCATTTGTTAGACCAGATTCTTATAATCTTAAATGTATTACTTTAACAGCAAATCCTGTAACTCCCCAGCAGACATAAATTTGATTAATTAGAAACTCTCACTAAGCATAACAGGAAGAAAATGTATGCACTCTTTTCTTGAAGTCATTAGACACTGTGAATCCTTCCATCGCCTCTGAGGCAGAATCACCCCTGCATCTAGTCACTCGTAAATGCCAATCCATGTACTCCTTTGGTTTATAAAATACAAAACAGAGTGTACTGGAGTTATGCTGAATAATATATCAATATGCAGTATTATTTCCCCTTCAGTTGTTACTGAATAGACTAATGTTATCTTAAGGATTAAAATAATCATAAATTTCAAAACTTCTACTCACATATTATTAAAAGCTTATTGCATTAGTATGTCTCTTTTGTCCATTCTCAAGTTTTAATATCCAGTAAGAAGTTAGAGATGTCCCGACACTATAACCTAAGTCAAGATTGGGTGCCCACATAGAGGCAACTAACTTTCCTCTCAAGTCCAAATTCAACTAAAAGCTGGAAGTGTCTGAATACATTCTGAAAATTCACTCTTGTAAATTTGGTTTGGCGGTGGCTCACGCCTGTAATCCCAGCACTTTGGACAGTATATACTGCTGAGCCAGCGGACGGACATCTAAAAAGCTGTCTTTCTAATTGTGCTGTACCTTGGTACACAGATTGTCATATGTAAAGCACATGAAGAGTCTTGAACTAAAAGGCACAATATAAATTTAAGTAATTTCTGAAAATGGAAAAATAATGACTTAAAACAGTGACGGGAAGCTATAGCAGAATACTTCAAACAAACTGAAGACTGCTGCATCCAAATCCTGGCCCACTCGCTTATTTGCTGTAAAAAGTTTAGCAAGTTAATCTCTTTTGTCTCAGATCCCTTATTTACAGAATATGGATGACAATGGAACTGTTTTGAACAGTTTTGAGAGAATGAAATTGCAGAGCCCTTGGAGCAGGGCAAGCACACAACAGCATCTGTCACTGCAGCATCCGTCGCTGGGAGCCGGCAGTACCATGAGCTGGTCTGTGCAGACAACTACCTGTAAGAGCGCCTGCTCTGGTCCTCGCTGTCCTCCAGAAACTGGGAACCTTGTGTCTGCAGGTCTAGTTCCTCTTGGGATGACTCCTGAATCAAGCGAGTTGTCTAAAATTTAAGAGAAGTATAAAGCAAACTACTTGAATATCTGTGAATAAACATAAAACAACTCAGCAGCTAAGAACTAAGGATAAGAACATTCATAAACTGTGGATTTAAGAGGGAGAAACCCCAAATAGTCCATTGTAATCATTTGGGCCAGAGCAATAATAAAGATCACTTACACAGATTTTATTAAATGAAGATCTATTTATTTCCCATTACCCTACCTTAATACAAAGCTTAATCAACCATAAAACTGATTATTTTATATATTTTAATAAGAGATTCCCCTTCCATCTGCTCTACTCTTATTGACAGCGAATAAAACCCCACCTTCAGAGAGTATAATATTGTCTCCTCTTGTCACACAAACCAGAGGGTGAGAAGGACATGTTCTCCACCCCCAAGAACGGTACCACGCATGCTTGGAGCAGCCACACTGACCCCATCCCTTCCTGACGGTGGCATTACAACCCATGCTACCACAGCAAGGACGAGCAAAAATCCAGTCAATGTTTTCTAACCACTCTATAACAGACCCACGCTCACACTGAGCAGAGGTAAGCTCCACTGACCTTCAGAAGGCCTGGAGTCACAGGACAGACTGCGAGCAGTGGAGTCATCCACCCCTGTGCAGCAACTGCACGTTGCTGTAAGCAAGGGCTTGTGTCTCATTTGTTTACCTGACTTCCAAAACCAACTTAGATAAACCACAACAACAGAACTGAGTTTGCACAGTTTTATTTAGAGAGCTCTGGAGTAAAGTCAGCTGCTAAGAAGTACGTTCTCCACTTCCCAGATTCAGCATCTGCTGCCTGTTTGTAGTTTCTAGCTATGAGGAAAATGTTCTGAAATTTTCATGGGAGGATCCAGCCCTACCACTTGGGCAAAGCTACCAATGGTGGATTTTAAAGAGGGATAACAATTGGTCAATCATTTCTCATCGCTATTAAGAAATTTCCAAAGCAGAAAAATGAAAATAAAAACCAAAATTAAAATGTCTCTAACTAGGTATAAGAGATAAAATTTTACATGATGCATGTAAATGTTTTTTAATGTCAGCATTCATTATATTTTCCTTCTAACATGTTTAAAAGTCCACAATTAAAAATGTTTAGGTTTTGTGCCTAAAGCAACATAGTATCTTTCAACAGGTTATTACCTAACACTCTAGTAAATTCTTAGCTTTTAATCACAAATGCAAGGCCACACCATGGCACGGAAACCTTTAAGTAAAATTAAAATGTTTTAAGGAAAAAGAAAGCCCGATGTACTAACACTGAGGATTTCCCAGGTAATGCAGTAACCTTAATGTTACAAGAAGTGAGCACACCTCTTAGGAAATTTTATATAATCACAGGGAAGAATAAAATAGCACCTGCTAAATACTGCCACGTATGCACCCCTCTGTCCATACTCACTACATTCATCCCATCAGAGCTGGGAGCCTGCAGCAAGCTCTGCTGGTGGAAGCTTGTGGAGAGGGCCTGAGACTCAAGTGTGCTGGAATCCTGTAGCTGTTGGACAGGTGGAAACTGAGGCTGCTGATGGTACGTGTCAGTCACTGTAAAACCTGAAATAAATTAGAAAAGAGGAGTTCTACAAAAATACTAAAGTTACATTAAAATGTTTTTTTAAAAGGGTTTATAAATTTAAAATGTCTAAAGAGGCATTTCTTTTTTTTTTTTTTTTTTTTTTTGAGACGGAGTCTCGCTCTGTCGCCCAGGCTGGAGTGCAGTGGCCAGATCTCAGCTCACTGCAAGCTCCGCCTCCCGGGTTTACGCCATTCTCCTGCCTCAGCCTCCGGAGTAGCTGGGACTACAGGCGCCCGACACCTCGCCCGGCTAGTTTTTTGTATTTTTAGTAGAGACGGGGTTTCACCGTGTTAGCCAGGATGGTCTCGATCTCCTGACCTTGTGATCCTCCCGTCTCGGCCTCCCACAGTGCTGGGATTACAGGCTTGAGCCACCGCGCCCGGCCAAAAGAGGCATTTCTATTTTCTGAATTAGAATCAGGACTAGCTGTTATTAGCAAGCTTTAACATTGTTTGCTAACAGGCAGGAGGCTGTGCTCAGCAGACATTACAGCAGCAGAGGCTTTACAGAACCAGCCACCACAAAGTTCTAATTTCTACTCAGCCATCTTTTCATGGCTGGAAACTACGTGTAGAATGGCTGCAAAGGTCACTTTCCAGAAGACCTGAGCAGACCACAAAATAGTATGCATCAACAACAAATATCTCTACAATGCATGCAAAAAGTTATTTGGTTTGAAACCATACATTTTAGAAGGGCCTTAAGAGAAAACATGTAAGGCTGTCGTAAAATTAAATTTAACTGAGGTACACTGACAAATTTCATTGAAAATCCACCACTGACCTTGGGGTAGCCCTGCCGGTTCGAAGGACTGTTGCGCAGGGGTCTGCTCTTCAAACTGGTCTATGTGCCCTCGCAGAGGGTCCTGTGGAGCCACAAACCCATCTAAGGATGAGATGCAAAAAGGGGGACTCATACATTTGGAAGTTATTTCACATCTGCAAATCTGCCCAAAAGTACACTTTGGCGAGTCTTCAAATATCAGACACCTTATTTTGAAGAGACAACAGGGAAAATTTATATACATATATATGCTTAAAGCATTCTCTTTGCATTTCTAGAATATCATCCCTGAAAGCCTTTAGCATCTGTCTTAGGCATTATTCCATTAAACAATATTCTAACATGCTATTACATTCCATAATTGTTTAGAACCTTTTTGGGTGTGCATGGTTGCAGGTACCATAGGGTAAGTGTATAATCCTACCCAAAGACTAAATACATTTGAGACATCCATAAAACAAAACAGTAAACTGGTCAGCACATTGTCTGTTGACATGCCTGTGTGAAATAAGAAGCCTGTGCCAGACGCAAGCCAGCTATGCCACTAATCACACAGTCTACAGTTGACCTGACATTGTTTTTTGCAGCCAAACTTTACTGATGAAGGAAGCGATGTACTACTTTATATTCTGGTTCAGAAGCCTAATCTCACTGCAGACCAGTCACCAACAGTTCACTGACCTACATTAATCTTTGAATCTACATGGAGTGCACTTTGTAGAATACTAAAGATCACACAGATGTACACTTGAAAGATGTTCTCAATATATTGGGCATAAAAGTAGGTCACAAAATAGTATGCACTGCAAGATCCTATTTGTATAACTCTTTTTTTTTTTTTTTTGAGATGGAGTCTCACTCACTCTGTTGTCCAGGCTGGAGTGCAGTGGTGCCAGCTCGGCTCACTGCAACCTCCACCTCCCAGGTTCAAGCAATTCTCTTGCCTCGGCCTCCTACGTAGCTGGGATTACAGGTATGCACCACCACACCCAGCTAATTTTTGTAATTTTAGTACAGATAGGGTTTCACCATGGCCAGGCTGGTCTTGAACTGCTGCCCTTAAGTGATCCATCTGCCTTGGCCTCCCAAAGTGCTGAGATTACAGGCATGAGCCACCACACCCAACCTTATTTATATAATTATAGATGCATACCAAACACACACACACACACACACCCCTGCATATTTGTATGGAAAAAAAGTGGAAGCACCTATATCAAAATAAGGATGGTAGATTTTGCTGTAGTCCTAAAATTTCAACTACTTCCTAACAAGATTTTGAATATTTCCTAACAAGAAGTCTGATCATTCTGTTTTTGTTTAAAAAAAAAAAGAACTTCCCCTAAGAAATCTAATAAAATTGAAGAGTAAAAATCTAAGAGGACATGGAATGATATCAAATACTCAAATTCAATCTCTCTCACATACAGCACAAATTGTTTTAAAAGTCAGTGATCCACGGGATCACTCAAAGTTAAATATCCTGAAACATTTACCTTCATCTGCTTCCAAGGGCTGATCTGTCAACTGCTGGCCCAGCCCTGCTTCCTCTGTGCCCACCACGTGCTGAGGCTCCAGGTCCAACATGGCCTCGGGGTTTGCTGCGACCACCTCTGCCGTCTGTGGCAGCTCGTCGCTCTCGATCTCCACCTGCATCTGAGTGGAGGCCTGCATGCTCTGCTGGTCCACAGTGCTATCGTCTATCGAGGCTGCCTGCTGATGCTGTTGGAGCTGCTGGGCAAGTTCGTATCTTCAGAAAAATTAATGACAGTTCATCAGACTAGATGCTGTCAAAGGTTACTTGCGTGGGATACTACAGTGAAAAAGTTGTCATTGATTAAATAACATTTTTTATTAATGATTTCATTTTGAAGTCATGATGGCAATTCAGATAAAAATGAACACATTAGTAACTCTGAAGAGAGCTCGTTTGCCTCATCTTTAAGTGCTTCCACTGGCTACAAGACACGAGGCACAAATGGAGGATAAAGGACAATACACACCCGAATGCCTAATAGTTTAAACACATTAAAAAGATGTCTCGTGTTTAAAAGTAAAACTCTCCCAACTCAAGTTCGGCAATGAGTCTAAGTATTCAGAAAAATAATTGTACTAAATGAGACGACACCTTTATAGACTGCTCTAAATCTGACAACACATGTGGTGCACAGACAGAGAGGCTCCAGCCTCATCACCTACTGTCTCTCACAGCCCGGGCCACAGGCGCTTTATCGGACCAATGATCCAAATGTTGCTGCCAGCAACATTTACACACACAAAGTGTATCCGGCATATATTCATCAAAGTCAGCGATTTCTCTTTCAAAGGAAAAGATGAACAATGAATTCATCAATGAACTGAGAACTTGAAAAAAAAAAAAAGAAAAAGAAAAAAACATCACACAATTATCTGTCTAACAGGCTGGCTACTACAAAGAATATCTAAGACAAAGAGCTGGTTGGGCGCGTGGCTCACACCTGTAATCCCAGCACTTTGGGATGCCAAGGCTGGCAGATCACCTGAGGTCAGGAGTTCAAGGCCAGCCTGGCCAACATGGTGAAACTCCATCTCTACTACAAATACAAAAATTAGCCAGGCACAGGGGTATGAGCCAGTAATCCCAGCTACTCAGGAGGCTGAGGCAGGAGGTTGCAGTGAACCAAAATCGCATCACGGCACTCCAGCCTGGACAACAGAGCGAGACTCCATCTCAAACAAACAAACAAAAACACCCACACACACAAAAAAAGTGCCGCCTGGTCCCCTCTTCTGCCTCTGCACACACAGACCACACAAGCTGTGTCACAGGCTCTATTCCAGTGTCTTAGTAATCTGCCTACTCAGAATTTCACTCTCAGTTCCAAACAAAATTTTCCCTCTTCGTTTTCTAATATCCAAAATAGCAATTCATAACTACCTTTACTGTGGAAAGGAGAACAAAAATGTGTCGCATGACGGAGAAGAGTCAGAAAACGCATGCCTGCACCTACACTGTGATGCCTCCACACAGCAGCACAGTGGCAAGCAGAGGTCTGTATAAGCCACCCTAACCTACGCACCCGTGTGTCACATGCTAACTGATGGAGGCTTGTTTTCTGTTTGTTTCCTTGGTTGTTTGCTTTTTCCCATAAATTTGACTATAGTAACCTTCTTTACCTATCTTTAGTATATGTGATATTTTGGGAATTTCCAACAATTCAGACAAAGGAATGAAACCCTGGCTGGATGCTCTCCTTGTAGGCAGACTCCAAGTGCACACAATCTGTAAAAGCAAAGCACTGCAGCTCTGCAACGACAGGCTGATCTGCTTAGTGTCCTCTCAAAGCTCTACACTGATCTCCTACACGTGTCCCTCGAAACTGATGACAAATAATGGCCATACGATATACCACTTAATAAAGGTGACTCCGCAATTATGCCATTGGTCACTGGGTCTGGAAACAAGGGCCTGAACACCCACATTCCCAATACTACCACAAAAAGTACACTGGAAAAGGCTGGCTTCCTAACTAAAAAAAGATTTGATTTAAACATTCCACTGAGCAAGCAAGCACCCAAGCTCCATTCTTCTTAGCATGGTAAGCTCTCGGGCCAACTGGGGACCCGTCACCCTGCTACAGCGAGCAGAAACACAAGTACCTTCAACATCCATGTGCCCCCAAGTTCCCCAGTTCCCAAACACATGCAGTGCCCTGCACAGGATTCCCTCCACAAAATGCAGTGAAGTATAACTGGATATGTAATTGACAGGAGTCCACTATATAACACCGCCAATACCACACTCCCTGGGTGGTTTCAAGCAGCAGGTAAATTTCTCGGCTCAGCAATCAATGATGCTGAAATCAAAAATGTCAATTCTGTTCAGGGTGCTTAGGCATTCAGATCAATAATATCAAAAAACACTATCACAGTTAACTTATTCTAATATTTAGGGTTTTGCTTTGTAGGCGACATCCAGGCAGACATATCTGGGTTAAAATGCTGTCTCAAAGCAAATGTTTCAGGGCAGCAGCTTTAGGCCTAGTGACTCTCCCTTTCACGTCTCCTAAGCTGTGGTCACCCTACCCAGGTTTTACAGTACCACACGGAATTCTGCGGCTTCACAGAAATACTCATCAAATAGGCCCTAGCACTAGTCAGAAATGCATCTCCTCCGGATTACGTCCACATAGAGATGAGCTAGCCTTCCAACCATGTGGAAATATAAGCTAGGCTGAATGAAAAGTTTATGGAATATCTAAAACATGTATCCTTTAAAGTCAGCAACACAGAATAATTACCATTCTGATTTGCTGATGACAGGCCTAGAAATCACAGGGTCTTTAAGATTCTCTTTTCTGAAATATTCACTATCTGACTATACTAGATACAGTCCAGCATTTCATCTAATTATCAACTAACAGCTTTAAAAGAGAGCTTTACAGAATATAAACTGCTTCATTATTAAATTAAAAATGAAAATGCTAATGCTTCAGTCTATGGCTCCCATTAGATCCTTAGACACTAATACTTACATTTCTTGAGCCCATATAGTACAAGCTAGAAATAATCATGTAAGAATCAAAGACAATTATTTCCTAAAAACACTCCCCATCATCTACTGGAAATTATAAAGATGATAAAAAGTGACCATTAGAATTACACCCACCTGTGGGTTTTCATGTGCTTTTTGCAATTTAGTGAAGTCTTAAATGTTTTTTGACAATAGGGACACATATAGGGACGAAGGTCGTTGTGGATACCCATGTGTCGCCGTAAGCTGCCACCAGTAGTGAAAGCCCCATTACATATCAGACACTTGAAAGATTTCAGTCCTGTGTGTGTTCGGATGTGTGCTTTGAGCACACCTGCAGAAACAAAGCCTCTTCCACACTGAGAACATTTAAAAGGTTTTTCACCTGTATGGGATCTTAAAAAAAAAATACACATTTTAATGAATAAGTTTCTTATACTTTTATAATGCTTTGTGACTAGAATGCACTCTTGCATTTCGCTTCACTTCATCATCACATTTTTTAAAGCTAAGCAGCAATGCTGGAGCTTTTCACATTTTACAGGTGAGGAAGCCTGAGACTCAAGAGTGCTTAAATGAATTGCCTCAAGTCACACGACTGAGACAAAGCTAGAAGCCAAGTCTTTTTCTAAGTTATATACTTTTTTCATGACATCACACTGTCTCTCATGATCAAGGTTTGACTTCCTTTTCACTGTGGCTAGTACTAAGAATTCACTTAAACTCCGATAAACACATCTGAAAAACATAAACGGAAGTCTAAAAATAAACCAAATACTTCTTTGATATTTCTTGGAAACTGCAAACATTGAAATTTAATGAGCATATACATAAATTCCAGGGGCAATTTTGTAGAATATTTTAGTCAAGACATTAAAGAATAAAATAATTACCAATAAATGTTTTGGAGTCAAATGAGACATCTTAAATACCAAAAGCTAATGCTACCATCCTAAATACTTCTAGAAGTCATCAGGTCACTAAGTCAGTTTAATTATACTAAATATTTCCACCTGTGAATCCGTTACCTTACCTGATGTGTTGTTTAAGGTGGCAAGATTTTTTATATGCACGATGACAGTAAAAACACTTGTATGGTCTATCTGCTTCATTAACAAAATTATTATTAAAATAGCTTTGGAAAAACTGGTTTTTTGGAATGGGCTGGATAAGACCTACAAACCAAAAGAAAAGCAGACATAATTCACTGTCAATGCTAGTAATAAAATTAAATGTCACAAGGCATATGTTTTACCCAGAAGATGAAAATTCTGATGTTAGACTTTAATGTTGCAACTATTTTATTTTAATTGTGTTAGAAACCGGCTATTCAAAGAATACCTATGGGGAAACATAATAAATTAATACATTTATAATATAACATTACAAATTAATTTATAAATTAATATAAATATTATAAATATATATTAATGTTCATTTTTTCAACATGAGAAATATCTAGTCACAATTACTTCCTTTGATTCCACAGCCAATTTTTAATGAATTTCTACATTTACTTTCTATCTGGGCATTTGTCAATATGGAATGTACATAACGATGTCCAAAATTCAGGATAAGCACGATTTTAATACCTTGTTTATTCAGTATGAATACTGCACACTAGGTACTATAATAAACTGAAAACAAAAGTGACTATAACATGATCTTTTGTTCAACAAAGGTTAGCGTTTTCACAGATATCACTAAAGGGATATCTACAAACAACAAAACTACTAATTTAAATATTTCACATTTTATATACATTTACTAAATAAAGAATTCCTTCAGGTTGACCATCTAATAAATATGACTTGATCAAGCTACTGCATTATATCAGGAATTCAGGACAAACTTAGGTATAAACTTTCGAATTCCTTAAGAGTCACTTGGAACGCTAAGAGGAAGACGCACACAGTCTTCTATCAGCCTCTGTCAGCCTTGGGCTGCTCCTTCTGCCCAGACAAGGAAGCACTGGCCAAGATTCTGTCCTCTGCCCACAGCTCTCCATTCCCAGTCCTCTCTCCTCCCTCAGTTGTACCTTAACTTCTATGCAATGATTAGCAGGATGCACCTCTGAACACACTCTGCTTTCCCTGACTTTCCATAAAAATACAGATTCCATTTCAATTTCTTCCCCTAAAACCCACTTCTCCCAGCTTTCCTAGTTGCATGCCTGGAACAGTCTTCTCCTGGTCCCCAAGGCTGGGGAGGCCCGGACTTCTGAGAGTTCCCTTCCCTCTCTTGTACCCGGCATTTGCCAGTCCTGATGATCAACACCACTCCCATGTCTCTTAAACTTGCATCTTCGCTTCTTTTTCCACTGCCACCAATCGCAACAGTGAAACAATTACAAAGCTGGAGGGAGTCTGACAGCCCAACCAATTTCACTCAGCTCATTATTAGATTTAAAGAAATTCACCTATGCTTCCTGAAGCTTGCATCACAACCCTGCTTAGTTTTCAAAAAGTATTCAGAACTCTCCCTTGTGATATAATCCACACAGCACAACCCCTAAGACTGCCAACCCTTTTCTCATCTCACAAGCCTTCTGGACAATCAGAGCTGTGTCAAAGACCTCTCTTCGGGCAGCTCTGACACCACCCTGTGCTTGACAGCACAGTCTCACTTTTTCCTAAGAACTCGTTCTGCTCAAAAGAGAAAAATGCAGACTGGGCATAGTGGCTCAGGCCTGTAATCCCAGCACTTTGGGAGGCCGAGGTGAGTGGATCACCTGAGGTCAGGAGTTCGAGACCAGCCTGGCCAACACGGAGAAACCCCGTCTCTACTTAAAAATAAAAATAAAAATAAAAATAGAAAAATACAAAAATTAGCCAGGCATGGTGGCACAGGCCTGTAGTCCTAGTTACTCAGGAAGCAGAGGCAGGAGAATCGCTTGAACCTGGGAGGCGGAGGTTGCAGTGAGCCGAGATCGCACCACTGCACTCCAGCCTGGGTGACAGTGAGACTCTGTCTCAAGAAAGGAAAGAAAAAAGAAGAAAAATGCAGGCAACCAGCCCACGTCCACCACCTTCCCTAGGACACACATGCCAGGACACGCAGACTGAATGCCATGCCTGCTTCTCAAAAACAGTCACGGCACAACCCTGGACGCAGGTTTCCTCTTCTACAGTGCCCTCAGTCAAGGACTCCCTTAGACTAGCGCTAGCTTCCTCTACGAGCATTCTACTTTCATTTACTCTCACAACACTATTCTATGCTAAACCTCATCTTACCATGTTTCTATCAAACTCTGTCCCTCAAAGATTGTGACAGCCAAGTCTTTTCTACAGCCTCTAAGGAGCCCAGAGTCTGAGAGAAGAGATGAACACAAATACAAATAACAAAATTAAGCATAAGACAAAGTTACAATATTTTACAATTTACAGTGTGAAACTCCCTCTAGCAATCATTTCCCTCATATGTCTCCATCAGCCTAAACCAAAGAATTCACCTTCCCCTATATGGTCTAAGATACAGGTATCTGTGAAGCCAACAAGCAAAATATATCCCATTTTAACCACGAAACATGTCTGAAGAGTCAAGACTCTAACTCAACTGAAGATTCAAAAACTTGAAGTCAAGAAACCCATGGGAATATAACTTGATTTATGGCAACCTGAAAGAAGAAACTGGTCTGTTGTTTCATTTTGTAAGCAACCAAAACTGGTCAAGGATATCAAAGTATTCTAAGCTACCAAGGGGGTTTTGATCCCATTCTATGCTCAAAAACAGTTAAATACCATAATAATTATAGTTCCTAGGAAGCTTAGTATAATTCATATATCAAATTATCAGACTTTTTTTATTTTTACTTTTTTGAGACAGAGTTTCACTCTTGTTCCCCAGGCTGGAGTGCAGTGGTGCAATCTTGGCTCACTGCGACCTCTGCCTCCTGGGTTCAAGCCATTCTCCTGGCTCAGCCTCCTGAGTAGCTGGGATTATTGGTGCCTGCCACCATGCCTGGCTAATTTAGGTATTGGTAGTAGAGATAGGGTTTTGCCATGTTGGCCAGGCTGGTCTCAAACTCCTGACCTCAAGTGATCGCCCACCTCGGCCTTCCAAAGTGCTAGGATCACAGGCGCGAGCCACTGCGCCCAGCCAGACTGGTGTTTTGGAGAAGATGATCTTTTACTATCTTGTCAATTTGTTGTGTATTTTGGAGTTTTCTATTTCTTCTATGGTCAATTCTGCCAAGTATATTATTCTAGAAAAGATTCATTTTTCTATTTCCTTTTCTATTTCTTCTACAGTCCGTTCTGCCAAGCATATTATTCTAGAAAAGATTCATTTCATCAAAATTTTCAAATATGTTAGCAAAAAGTTGTAGAGTATTTGCAAACAATTGTTACCTCATTTGTATCTGTGCTTACAACTTCTTTATCATTCCTAATACTATGTTTTCTCACATTTCTTTATTAGTGACAAGTCATCTATTTTTTCTGTTCATTTTTGTAAGTTTTGTAAAACTTCAGTTCACTACAGTTTTGTCTTCTATCTCCAATTCCATTATATGTACTAATTCAGGGGTCCCCAAGCCCCAGTCTGCCTGTTAGGAACCGGGCCACACAGCAGGAGGTAAACAGCAGGTGAGTGAGCTTTACCATCTGAGCTCTGCCTCCTGTCAAATCTGCGGCATGTTAGATTCTCACAGGAGTGCAAACCCTACTGTGAACTGTGCATGTGAGGGATCTAGGCTGCGCGCTCCTGAGAATCTAATGTCTGATGATCTCAGTGGAACAGTTTTACCCTGAAACCATTCCCCTCACCTGATCCCCCATCTGTGGAAAAACTGTCTTCTGCAAAACCAATCCCTGATGACAAAAAGGTTGGGAACTGCTGTATTAATTCCTTTCTGCTACTTTCTTTTAATTTTCCTAGTCTTTTAAGTTAAATATTTTACTTATTTTCAATCTGTCTTATTTTCTAATAATACTCAAAAGTCTTAATTTTTCCTAGGACAGCTTTGATCCATCCAATCTGTTTATATAATACTCATATCTGTAGTATGTAGTATCTGTTTTGAGTCCTTCTTTTCATGTAATGAAATTTTGGATGGCTATTTTATAAGTTTTTCAGTGAACTGTAATCAAAGATTGTATCCTACACAAAATCAACTTCTGAGAATTTACTGAAATTTTTCTGTATCCTAGAATGTGATCAACTTCTGTTTCATGCATAATTAAAAGTGTGTAATTTAAGGCAAAAGGTTCTATGAAGCTATAAGTAACCCTTTGGATTTGTGTGCTCAAATCTTCAGTTTTAGGGGTTTATTTAAGTTGACCTGTCTAACTGAGGATCTTTCACTACACTTGAGAATTTGAGTATTTCCTTTCTTTGAATTTTTTTGGTTTATATATTTTGATGTTAAACTCTTAGATTCACACAAGTTTATGGCTGTTGATCATCTTATTGGTGGCCCCCAATTTTTAACAATCTAAAATCTCTCTATACAATAATTTGCAATTATTGTAAATAAAGGTTATGCTTTGGAATAAATGAATTATATTTTGTTTAATATTAATTTTGCTTATAGATTGAATTATCTTTCCTAGGAAAGTAGTGAAATACAGAAACTGCATAAAAATGTAAATTCACACATTAATAAGTGCTATGGCCTAAATGTTTGTGGTCCCCCAAAATTCATGTAGTAAGAGGTAGGACCTTTGGGAGGACATAGCCAGAAGGCACCATCTGTGAGGAAGAGAGACCTCACTAGACACTCAATCTGCCAGCACCATGACCTTGGACTTCCCAGCCTCTAGACCTGTGAGAAGTAAACTTCTAGTATTTATAAGCTACACAGTTAGTGGTATTTTTGATTCAGGAGCTCAAACAAATTAAGACAATGAGGTTTCTTAAGTTTTGTTCTAGCACTGACAAACAAAATTTTTCTGAAGATTCTAACAAGCACTGTTTTCTTTCTAGATCGTTAACAAAATCATAGTTTGGATTGATTATAATAACACTGAACCTAAAAAGAAAAGCAGGCAGATTTTTCTTTTCCTTTTTAATTCAAAGATTAAAGTAAACCAAATAATCTGTAACACAGCACAAAGAACCTAAAGATGAAAACAACAACGTGCACTGTGTGTTTCACATAAAAACCACTTGTCATTTTTGATGGTTCCACTGAGGTAGCAATGTTTCTTCAATGAGGACTTACACACTACTGTTTTCACTTACACATTATTTGTCTCTAATCCAAGAAAACAATTTGAGCAGTAGTTTGGATACAACTTAGATTTTAATCTTGATTGTAAAACATACTAGCCCATAAAGCAAAACAAGGCTTAACACAGACTTCATTAATACTATGCCTAAAAAACTATTTAACTACACAGACCATATGTGCATACACAATTCACAAAATACCAAAGAAAATAGTACTCGATAAATTGTAAAGACATCCTACAATCCATCTTACCTAAGTCAGTTATGAGAATTGGTTCCTGCAAAGGAATGTCAGGGACTGGAACGTTCGTCTTGCCAACACGAACCTTTGCAGGTTTACGCTGGTGCCTCATTTTCCTTAATTCCGTATGTTTAAAGTGGGAAGCAATGTGAGTCTTCCTATGGCCCGAGGTTCGAAATTTTTTGTCACAGTGAGGACAAGCAAAAGGTCTAACTCCTAATAAAAATGAAATCACATTTTAGAATTATTTCCAGAAATTACATCTCAACAGCAAATGCCAACATAAAATGTTAGTACTTCCAATATTGATTTGCACCTTCAATGTATTAAGCCATGCTTATAATTTAATGGATATTGTATATTATTTTCCCTTGTTTGTATACAGTGCATATTATAGATATTAAGGCATGTAATGAGAATATTTTAAGTTAAAAAAGAACATTTCATATTTTTAGGACAAAGTCGTACATTGTAAAATATGGATAGTAGTTCTTAAGGACGTTACAGTATGTAAGGATGCTCTCTCTCTTATGTCATCATCTGTAAAGTGGCTTAAGGACACCTGCCTCCAGGGCTGCTGCTGAGATTACTTAAGCTAATGTTTAAACAGCACTTAGCAATGTCTCACATTTTGCAAATAAACAATAAATAGCAGTTGTCACTGATTGTAAATGATGATAATAGTACTAATATCTTAATGCTCCTCTCACTACTGTGCCCCATTTCTAAAGAATATCTCCTTGTTTTACAATTTTATTAGCAAATGAAAATGTAAATTCCAAAGAAACACATACAATAAAATTGAGTAACTTCAGCTTTGTCAAATACTCATCAACATTTTCAGCCCAGAGGAGGATCCCTGAGGAAATTTGGGAGATATTGCCAGTGAGTATAGGGTTTCTTTGCAGGGTGATAAAAACGTTCCAAAATCAGACAGTGGTGTAGGGTGTACAATTCAGAATTGTACACATTAAAATGGTAAATACTATGATATGTAAATTACATCTCAATAAATATGTCATTAAAAAAATGGAGCTCCATAATGAAAGATTTCACACCTTAATACTGATCAGAAAGCCTCCATACAAACAGGTCCCTGGTCCTCCCCCGGCCCAGCTACAGTCTTCAGGTCTTCCCAGATCAAACGTAGATTACACGTTGTGTCCTCAGAAAGGCTCACTCAGTCTAACTCTAAATCTGATCCGGACAGAAGTCTCTTTTCAACCTCTGTAATTCTACGTTCATTTATAAGTGTTGCTTGTTTTTAATGCCTCCCCCAGCAAATCCTTAGCTCCATGGAGCTCAAAGTTGCACCTGTTTTCTTTACCTGTAGATACCTCATGCCCAGCCTATAGAAGAGACTCAGCAAGTGCTGATGAAAAGACAGAAATGCATCCTCCAAGTAGTCAATTATTGCTCGCCCAGGTGCTGCGACTCAATCCCTTCTCAGCACCTGTGTGCAGTACCTATTGGTAGTTCCTGTGTGTGGCACTGTGTTTGGTACCACGTGTGGTACTTGTGTGTGGTACTGTGTTTGGTACTGTATGCACTACTTGTGTGCAGTACTGTGTTTGGTACTGTGGGCAGTGCCTATATACGGTACTGTGTTTGGTGCTGTGCATGACGCCTGAGTGCAGTACTGTTTGGTACTGTGTGTAGTACCTGTGTGCAGCACTGTGTTTGGTACCTAAGTGCAGTACCGTGTGTGTGGTACTATATGCAGTACTGTGTGTGGTACTGTATGCAGTCCCTGTGGGCAGTACTTGTGTGTAGTACTGTGTTTAGTACTATATGCAGTACCTGTGTGTAGTACTGTGTTTGGTACACTATGTACTACTTGTGTGCAGTACTGTTTGGTACTGTGTGAGGTGCCTATATGTGGTACTGTGTTTGGTACTGTGCATGATGCCTGTGTGCAGTACTGTGTTTGGTACTGTGTGCATTACCAGTGGGCAGTACTGTTTGGTACCTGTGTGCAGTACTATGTTTGGTACCCAAGTGCAGTACTGTCTGTGGTACTGTGTGCAGTCCCTGTGGGCAGTACCTGTCTGCAGCACTATGTTGGGTATTGTGTGCAGTACCTGTGGGCAGTACTGTTTGGTACCTACGTGCAGTACTGTGTTTGGTGCCTAAGTGCGGTACTGTGTATGTGGCACTGTGTGCAGTACTGTGCATGATACTGTATACAGTGTCTGTGGGAAGTACTTGTGTATACTATGTTTAGTACTGTGTTGGGTACTGTATGCAGTACTATGTTTGGTACTATGTGCAGTGCTTGTGCACATTACCTATGCACGGTAGTGTTTAGTACTGTATTGGTTACTGTGTGCAGTACTGTGCTTGGTACTATGTGCAGTAGCTGTGTGCAGTACCTACGCACAGTACTGTGTGGTCCCTGTGGCCAGTACCTGTGTGGGTGCAGCACTGCAGGCCATATCTGTGTGCAGTACCTGTGTGCTGTACTGTGTTTGGTACCTGTGTTTGGTACTGTGTGTGGTCCCTGTGGGCAGTGCCTGTGTGAGTGCAGCTCTGCAGGCTGTACCTGTGTGCAGTACTGTGTTTGGTACTGCACATAATGCCTGTGTGCAGTAGTGTTTGGTACTGTGTGCGGTACTTGTGTGCAGTATTGTGTTTGGTACTATGCTTGGTACCTGTGTGCAGTACCTGTGTTTGGTACTATGTGTGATCTCTGTGGGCAGTGCCTGTGTGGGTACAGCACTGCAGGCTGTACTTGTGTGTGGTACTGTGGTACCTGTGTGCGATACCTGTATTTAGTACTGTGTTTGGTACTGTTTGACATGAGTTTGGTACCTGTGTGCAGTACCTGTATTTGGTACTGTGTGTGTTCCCTGTGGGCAATGCCTGCGTGTGTGCAGCATGGCAGGCTGTACTTGTGTGTGGTACTGTGTTTGGTACCTGTGTGCAGTACCTGTATTTAGTACTGTGTTTGATACTGAGTTTAGTACCTGTGTGCAGAACCTGTGTTTGGTACCGTGCGTGGTCCCCGTGGGCAATGCCTGTGTGGGTGCAGCACTGCAGGCTGTATTTGTGTGTGGTACTGTGTTTGGTACCTGTGTGTGGTACCTGTATTTAGTACTGTGTTTGGTACTGTGCTTGGTACTGAGTTTAGTACCTGTGTGCAGTACCTGTGTTTGGTACTGTGTGCAGTCCCTGTGGCCAGGGCCCATGTCATTGCAGCATGTGGGCCATAGTTGTGTGGGGTATTGTGTTTGGTACCTGCCTTTGGTACTTGTGTGCAGTCTCTGTGGGCAGTACCAGTGTGGGTACAGCACTGTGGGCCATACCTCTGTGCGATACTGTGTGCAGTCCTTGAGGACAGTACTTGTGAGCAGCACCTGTGCAAAGTGCTGTATTGAGTACTATGTGCAATACCTGTGTTTGGTACTTCTGGGCAGTGCCTGTGTGGGGGCAGCACTGTGGGCCATACCTGTGAGCAGTACTGTGTTCAGTACTATGTGCAGTACTGTGTTCAGTACTATGTGCAGTACTGTGTGCAGTACCTGTACACAGTGCTGTGTTGGATACCGTGTGCAGTACTGTGCAGTTCCTGTGGGCAGTACTTGTGTGCAGTACCTGTGCACAGTGCTGTGTGGGGTACTGTGTGTGGTATCTGTGTTTGGTACCTGTGGGCAGTACCTGTGTGGGTGCAGCACTGCGGCCCACACCTATGCGCAGTAATGTGTGTGATACTTTGTGCAATCCCTGTGGGCGGTACTTGTGTGTAGTACCTGTGCGCCTACTGTGTGCCATACCTGTGTTTGGTACATGTGCGCAGTACCGTGTGCCGCCCCAGTGGCCAGTGCCCATGTGGGCCCAGCCCTGAGGCCGTACCTGTGTGCAGGCGGATGTGCACCTTGAGGCTGCCCGAGGTGGAGAAGCTCTTCATGCAGTACTGGCACTTGAACGCCTTGATGCCGGTGTGCGTCTTGATGTGGGCTGTCAGCGTGCTCTTCACCGCAAAGGCGCGGAAGCACTGCGGGCACTTGAAGGGCTTCTCGTGGGTGTGAATGCGGATGTGGCGCACCAGGTCGCTGGGCTTGCGGAACTCCTTGGCGCAGTAGGGACACACGTGCCAGCGCACGCCGTTCTCCTCACGGATGGAGCCTGCGAAGGGAGAGGACACGTCCCGCTCGGCCTGGACGCCCCGCCCAGTGTCGGGTCCAGGGCCCCCTGCGGTCCCTACGGAAAGCTGCACGCATGAGCAGTTATGGGAAAGCTTGGAATTCCCAGGATCACAGACATCATCGAGGGCTATGAGTTAATCTCGCTGAAACCCCTAACAGTCGGGGAAAACACAATTCACAGTGTCTGAGAAAGAGCGCCCGCTGAGAAGGTGATCGATTCTGTAGGTCCAGCAGTACCAGGACACAGTCGGCTCCCTCTCAATGAAAATGAAAGTAGATGGGATCCAATGACCCCATGCTTAACGCAGGGAACGGGAAGAGAAGGAATGACGCTGGAATAAGTATTTATTGGGCCTACTGTATATCACCAACAAAAAATAATAGAAATGCAAATGTTAAGAAATGGTAAATTCATATGCTATAAAAGGAAATTTGTAAAGAGTTAAGACAGTATATATCAATTAATGATGAAATATAAGTGGATCTGTCTCATATTATTCAATTTTGAATCAAGTTTAAAACTATTTCTAATAGAAAAAAAATCATGAATTGATGGAAATAGAGTAAGTACACCTGTCCCTCTGTTTTCAGCAGGAAACAGTGCCAAGACCCCAGTGGATGCCTGAAAGCCCAGATAGTAGGGAGCCCTATGTACACTACGTCTTTCCATCTGAGAACCAAGCCAGCTACCGAGTGGCGAATGCAGCAGCATGAGTGCATGGGACAAAGGGATGACCTGTGTCTCCCTCACCCCTCTCAGGACGGAGCAGGACAGTGGACGGGGAAATGGTAAGCAGTTTACAGCTTATGAACTGTTTATTTCTGGAATTTTCCATTTAATATTTTTGAGAATTTGGTTGAATGCAGGTAACTAAAACTTAGAATCACTTTATTTTTAAAAATTTTGATTAGATTTATTCATCTGAAATTAAGGTAGCATCTACAGTGACTATACAGATAACTCACATAAAGAATCCACATGAAATCAGATTTTGGCCACATTAATGAAATTCACCAGAACATTTTAAGTAAAGTTTATTCAACTGTGTCTGTACCAACACAGTTTTCTTAGGGAAAAAGAAAACCTGTTTCCTTCTCTCTTATCATGAAATATACGGAATTCTCCATATATGCAAGTAAATCTGTAAAGATAGAAAACGTACTTTCTTGAATATTCTTTGCAAGAATAATTCACATAAAAAAAAAAAGGTGGGCTGGGCGCAGTGGCTCACCGCCATAATCCCAACACTCTGGGAGGCTAAGGCAGACAGACAGCTTGAGCTCAGTAGTTTGAGATCAGCATGGGCAACATGGCAAAATTCTGTCTCTACAGAAACATTTTAAAACAATTAGCTGGGTGTGGTGGTGCATGCCTGTGGTCCCACATACTCAGGAGGCTGAGGTGGAAGGATGACTTGAGCCCAGGACGCAGAAGTTGCGGTGGGCTATGATTGTACCACTGCACTCCAGCCTGGGTGACAGAGCCAGACCCTGTCTCAAAGAGAAAAAAGGAAAGAAAGAAAGGTAGAAAAAAAGAATGAAAAATAATACATTTTTTAAACACAGTGACAGAATGTAAATAAAAACAAACAAAGGCACAGACACAAATCACGGGGGTAAATATGGACAAGGAAATAAGGGAACTGGTTTTAAAAGGTGAGACATTTGTGGTGATAGTGCATAAAGATATCTAAAATTTAAGACTGCTTAAAATTAATAGGTAAAAATTAATTCAGAAATATGCATAATTACCTAAAGGTCTTATCATGACAAATCAAAAATGCAAGGTAGAAAAGGATATGAGAGACTATATCTACTAGTGAAAATTAGGACACCATTCCCCAGAAATCAGATTTTTTTCCAAACCAAAATGAAACTATAGCTCAAGTTACGCAAAATGACATAATCTAAATCTGCCACCAGGTTCTAATATCTGGGAATAGACTAGAACAGAGACTACGAACTGGAAGTCCTGAAGCTGTCTCCAAATCTGGCCTGCATATGTTTTGTTTCACCCACACAATGTTAAAAAAGAAAATGGAATCCAGATCCCCAACTCTGACAAATGGAAAGTTCCGGAAAGCTAGATCTGCAATCCCACATGGCAAGCTTTCCTGGAATTGGGCAGTAGCTTCCCTCTTTAAATAGTAAGGCCAGGTGCGCTGGCTCACACCTGTAATCCCAGCACTTTGGGAGGCCGAGACGGGTGGATCACCTTAAGTCGGGAGTTCGAAACCAGCCTGACCAACATGAAGAAACCCCGTCTCTACTAAAAATACAAAATTTGCTGGGTGTGGTGGCACATGCCTGTAATCCCAGCTACTCGGGAGGCTGAGGCAGGACAATCACTTGAACCCGGGAGGCAGAGGTTATGGTGAGCCAAGATTGTACCATTGCACTCCAGCCTGGGCAACAAGAGCAAAACTCCGTCTCAATAAGTATACATATAAAAGATTAAATCAAAGATTTAGTTTAAAACATTAAATTATGACGAAGCACAGTGGCTCATGACTGTAATACCAGCACTTTGGGAGGCCAAGGCAGGAGGACTGCTCCAGGCCAGGAGTTCAAGACCAGTCTGGGCAATATAGCAAGACTCTGTCTCTACAAAAATAAAAATAACAAAATTAGCCAGGTGTGGTGGTGCACACCTATAGTCCTAACCACTCGGGAGGCTGAGGCAGGAGGATCGCTTCAGCCTGGGAGGTCGAGGATGCAGTGAGCTATGATCATGACACTGCACTGCAGTCTGGGCAACAAAGTGAGACCCTGCCTCAAAAAAAAAAAACCTATTAAATTATAAAAGTCAGATATAAGAGACGTCATCCATAATGTCCGTGATGAAGTCTAAATATCACCCAAGCCCAAAGTCACTAAACATTGACAAACTTAGCTACACATATATATAAATTTCTCCCCAGTTAAAAAAAGTTTTTCAGCTCAAAAAGGTAAACAAATTAGAAAAAAAAGTACAACTGACCCTTGAACAACTCGGAGGTTAGGGGCACTGACCCCCAATGCAGTTTAAAATCTGCCTATAAGATACCCCAAAAACTTAACTATCAATAGCCTCCTGCTGACCAGAAGACTTGCCAGCAACATCAACAGTTAACACATATTTTGTATCTTATACAACTGTAATCTTACAATAAAGCTAGAGAAAAAATGTTATTCAGAAAAGCATAAAGAAGAGAAAATACATCTCCGATTCATTAAGCGGAAGTGGTTTTCCTCTCTGTCTACATGTTGAGTGGGCTGAGGAAGTGGGGGGTCTTGTTCTCTCGGGGTGGCAGAGGCGGAGTAAAACCTGCATAAGTGGACCTTTCAGTTCAAATTTGTGTTGTCTAGGAGTAAACTGTATCTCACAAATATAGGTCACAAAATACTAGCATCTTTAATACCTATGGACAAAAGAAGTCAAGAGTTAGTCTTATAGGAAAATACAGGTACTCTTTAACATGAAAAGCTCTCAACCTTACTCCCTGTAAGAAAAATGCAAATTCAACATACAATAAGATACCATCTTCTAACCTATCAGATGAGTAAAAAAAGTCCCCAAATTTTGATAATTTCTTGAAAAGGCTGTGGGAAACAGGTGCTCCAACAATTGCTCCTAGAAGGTAAATCTACATGACTACATGAAAGTTAACTGTTTATCAAAACTTACTCCTTTTCACCAAAAGGAAAGTGTAACTGTTTACAAAATCCTTTTCATTTGTTATCAAGTACATTACTGATACCAATGATAAAATTTCAACAAGGTCGGTACAGTAGACAATAGTTCTGGTCCATTTTAATTTCCTGATATTGATGATTTTACTATGATTATGTACAAGGATGTCCTCGATTTTAGGAAATAGACATAAAGTATCTACAGTTAAAAGGGCATTATATCTACAAGTCACTCTTAGTAAATTCAGGAAAAATAGAGGTAAACAGCGAAAACAAATGTAGTAAAATGTTAACATTTGGGGGAATATGGATGAAGGGTATATGGGAATTCCTTGTATTGTTTTGAAACATTTCCGCTAAGACTGAAATTATTCTAAAACTGAAATGTCCTTACAGATAAACGTACATGTGTGAAATGATGCAGCTACACTCATGGCCACTGCAGCATCATTCATGTTAGCAAATGGCTGCAAATTGGTTACATTACGATACATTCACAAAATGAAACACTATTCAAGTATTTTGAAAAATAAGATATCAAGTGGAAAAAAGTAACCTGAAAAATATAATCACATTATATTATACTTCTAGAAGGAAGCCACTCGTCCTCCTAGAAAACAATCACACAGATGCCTGTGCTTGTTTAAAAGACACAGAAGACAGTAGTGGTGAGCTTCCCTGGGGAGGGGTGGCAGAAGACCCCTCACAGAAGTTCTGTGTACACGACTGTGTCTTTTGAATTGTGTGGCATGAGCATGTTTCACCTATTTAAAAATAATTTTAAAACACATATATTCATTAAGCACTTATTATTGGTCAGGTACCACCATACTATCCACTTTACATGGATCCTGCCATTTGTTTCTCTTTCATTTATTCTATCCTTAGTCCCACCTTACAGATGAGAAGCTGACAGCTTAAAAGTTAACTGACTTGCCCAGGACCAGATGGCCAGTGAAGTCCATGCGATCCTAGCACCTAAGTGCAGTTTTCACAAGGAGGCCTGTCTTCCCAGTGTCTTCAAGCACAGCATGACAAGTGCCAAGTGCCATGCCAGACATCAAAAGGTATCTGCCCTGGAACGGACTGTGGTCTAGGGGAGAAGCGGGCAGGGCAGTGTAACCAACCATGTATGGCAGAGCATCAGAGGTGCCAAGACAGATGTGTGCATGGATGCACACCAGGAATGCAAAGACAATGCTGATTACTTCCGCAGGAGAAGGCTCAGAAACTTCTGCAGAAATAAGGTGGCCCTGTGGGTGAGCTTCGAAGGCAGATATTTGCCAAGAAGGACACAGCCTGAGGTAC